TGATTAGCCTTGTAGTATTCCAGTGTAAATCTGGCAAAACAATGGAATATAAAACGTACTTTTCCACCTACTTATCATCTAGGTTTCGGTGTAACGGGAGAATTGAAAACGCCGATGACCTTAATGCACAGAAATAAACACAAAGTGGCTGACAAACATGTGTTTTAGAAACCACTTTCAATGTTAACACACACGGAAGTCAGCGGTTATTGGAAAGGCAAATATTATTCAACTTATATGAACAGAGATGATAAAAGAAACAATTATTATCCACTTCCCATCTAACCTTTCTAAAGACCCCATTTCATTCAATCCAAAGTAAATCTTCGCAAGTGGATAGTTCCTGTACCCGAGGGCAGTTTTATCTAATTAATTCCAGCTTCCAACTAGTTACAGGATAAGTTTGATTAGGTACCTAATGCACTAACAAGGGCAAAATTCCAATGTTTAAGCACGCGAATTTGCTCATATCGATTGAGCTGGGTCATTCAACTGGTAATTGTTGTTCTTTGTGCATACGACCCTAACATGCGATGACGAGCCATAGTAACGATGGCAGAAACAAGGAAATGACCCAATTAAAGAAAGTATGAGTTGCCTAGTTCCTTTGAAATACTTTAATAATCGTAATGGACAACTCGTATACTGAAACGGAGTTCGCCCTCATTGAATTCTACTATTAAAAGCAATACAAATTACTTAACACAACTAATTAAAGCTGAAGCTTTAATAAGCGTCTGTTTTTTGTTTTACCAAAAAGTAACTTCTAGTGATTACAATAGTGAGTCATCATTAATAAGAAGGCAATTGAGATATGAAACGTGCAATTTGTTCTACGATTTATGAGATGATTTCTGACGATGAATGATTACAGTAATTTCGCTCGCCGTTGCCGAATTGTGCGAAATTAACAAGCTTGCACACCACATCTGGGGCTTATTCGTATATATTACACACTGTATATAATACAGTGGCGATCCTCTGCGCGGTTCAGTTGCTGAACAAGCAGTGCAGTACTGATTCTTTTTCTGAGTTGTTTATTCTATCTTAAAAGACCTGATGCATCGCAACAATCAACTTTCAATTATATATATAAGGTGACCATGTATCAAAAAACACTTAAAACATCAGGCACCTAAGGTACATTACATTGATAGACTTACCATAATTGACCACATTGTATCGACATTACAATAAAACGATCGTTCAACCGTTTTAGAAGGCTATTTTAACTTCATTATATATTCAAACATAATCATTAAAGCAAACACACGTATAATTTATTTGGCAATCGTAACATCTCATGTTATGATTGCCGGTGTTTTTTAATCCTCAGCAAAAACTAACGTGTAATGAAATTATTTAATCGCACGCTTTCTAGGGTCACCATGCGAATGGAGCTTTATAATTTTGCATGTCGTCATTTTTTGCCGCATTGTATTACCATCTTGCTCCATGTTTTTTGTCATGAGGTAGTGCGTTGACATGCTCATCAGTTGGATTAGCATTTTTTAATTTTCAGTTTTATTATTTTTTATATTTATTTATATTTTGGTACTAACCTTTTGATATTGACTTAAAAATGAGAGGAGAATTTATTTACAGACATTTTACTTAATTATTTCAGAATTGTTTTAGAACAATTCTGAAATAATTAAGTAAAATGTTTTAATCTATGGAAATCTATGGAACATTTTACTTAATTAATAATTAAGTAAAATGTTCCATAGAATTCAAGTTAATATCTATTTCAATACATATATCTGTTTATTAAAACTCACATGGCAATAAATTAGTGTTGATTCCGCGAACCGTGCTCACGTTTTTTACCGGATTAAATACATTTGGTTACAAAAACACATTGGTGTTACTTGAAACTGAGACTACCTACATAACCTAATACTATTATATATTATGTTGAATGGTATACGTGGTTCTAGTTGTATGTTATGCCTCACCTTCCTACATAATTTGTCCTGATATCCTCCTCTACTACATACAAACATTTTAGACCAAAGTATACAACAGACGTCGACCTGCTTTAATATATATCTTGAATCGGGTTATCGCAACGGAAACTCAAACTAGCGATGTTTGCCTACGGAATTAGATATGTTTAAATCAAAACGTCTCATCAAAGCAAAACGAGGCAAGCGTGACGCCGCTGTCACAATAATGAAGTCACTTTAATATAATAATATGGTCTCTGTTAATAAAGATAAGATGAGTTCGTTCAACCCGCTACGTCTAGGTATCACATGGCGATGCGATGTGATAATTCAGAAGCCAAAAGTTAACTTCTGTGCGGTTCACGGCCACTTTTTGTTGAATGCTCTATTATAGCGAGTATAACAAATACACAACAATTTAATAATAAACCATTTATATAAATGCTTCGTAATACCATTGATTGCCATTATTAAACTTGTTGACTTCCTCAGCTAACATAACGTAAAAAATGTTTTACAGACATTGCTTCAATAATGTCTTATTTCAAGAAGGATTCTATGTTAGGAATCGTTTTGCACGAACAAAAGTTCAGCATCTCATAGACAATAAATATTAAACGTTGACACTGCGACGCGCGAATAACTAATAATGTTGACTTATTTATGGCACGTATAATATTATATACGTTCTGAAGCGCGCGTTGTATTTTATTGCAATAACAATTAAAATTGCCCTTTGTAATTCGAAGGAGTTGATGATTCTCTATGAGAAAATAGTAATAAAAAACAATAGCGAAATAGATTTTTTTTTTCAATTTTTAACAAACTGAACATTCCTCAGTGGCATCTCTCTGTTACAACGATCAGTCTTCCCTGCTACAAAAACACATTGGTATTTTATATTAAACTTGTTTTTCGTTACAAAATATATATGCTCCAAAAATCACGGCTGTCAGTAAGTCGTATTGCTGTACATTTCTTATGTTGTGCAGATAAAATGTTCATCAAAATGAACCATAAGGAACGTCACACTGTCTGCAGCCTGTCGTTAAACTGAGGCGGATTTTATTAAGACTTAAAGAAAGTCGTAAACTCCACACGATCCTTAAACAACAGAGTGAAATACAAGTTTAAAAGCATTTTAGAATCGAGATATGTTGTAGGTTAGTAATAAACTAAATTAAATTTACTGGTGGAGATTGGGATTTGGGACGTATGAGATTGTAAGGTTGTATGTATTTTGTAAAAAATAATGTATTCCAATCACGCCTCACTGATTTCTTTGCACAACTAAAATTAGAGTCCAATAATTTTGTAAAGCTCAAAGTAATAAAGCTACTTATATTAAATATTTTTTTATTATTAATATTGTAAACAAGGTGTGTTACGTGATTAAATTAAATTTAAAAAATTAGTATTATAAACAGAAAAACAGCCAATAAGATACTAGGAACCCGGGCTAGATCGAACGGTGGTTATACGATATAGAAATATTGAGCAATGAAGGACGTGATCTTCGCTTCGTGATCGGGCTGCGGAAAAGTGATCGGATTCATATGCTTATAACAGTTAAATTTCTCTATACAAATCACTAAACGTAAACACGAACGGAATTGAATACTTTCCCATTAAAAAGGGTTATTAATGTTTTATTCAAAACGCTATATACTACGTCACTATTAAACAGTCTTTACACACTTGCTAAATCTATTAAATCTGATTTCTCTATTGTAATAGCTATTTCTATTCTAATACGGTTCGACGATTCACTTTCTATACACAATTATAATTCACTTAGTGACAAACTGATCGAGTTAATCTTAGGATTCATTCAGAATGACTTTTGTGTGTATTTATAAACAAAACTGGTCGACTAGGGTTAAACAAAACGGCTAAAGATACGAACACTAATAATTCACGTTGTTTATGAAATATACCCTTCGAACATTGAATATTTAGAGGCGGGTACGCACGAAGTCGGTACTGAACATTGCGTGCGTGATACGAATCTACGCGACGCAATTGCCTTGTTTGTCGTAAGGGACGCGCCAGCATTTGTTAGAGCGCTATCTTTAATGCGTTGGACGAGGCAAATTTAGAATAAACCTTTTTGGACATAGAGCTAACAAGTTGTTCTCCAAGAAGATCGATGTACAAGAGGATAATCCAATTTACCTCTAATTAAATTTCAACGAGATGTAAACATTTTGTGTTACGTGTCGGTTTTACGCCCTTTTGTAATGTGTGTATGTTTTCATGTATATAAATGTACTGTTTTACTTCAAATGTCGAGCGTTGGAGTCTTATACATAACTGAAAATCAGCGGTCTATTTACTTCCAGACACGACAAAGCTGAGTGGTGTCCCTCCACATAATTTAGATGTATATCTACATTATTTTATTTTATTTGATAAAGTTGTTTAAACTCTGTTGAGTTATAGGATTTTCAGGAGTTATTGACAGAAAATCTTTAATTTTTTTTTTAATATTTACATCGCTGTTTTCTAGAGGCGAATGTAGTTCATTAGACACTTAATATGAATTGGGCAGATAGTATGCGTGGATTGTAGGGCATAAAGCCATTTTCGTCGTTGCCATGCCTGCAGTCTGCATACGCCACTCTGACCATTTGTGTCAACTGGTGGAAGATTATTCTGTTTATATACGGTTTTCTTATGTACTTTATTAAGGGCACCTATTAGGAGATAATATTTAGTTGATATTTTAACTACAAGATATTCAGTTTGATAACCGCTTACTGTATAACCTAGAACTGGAGTAGAAGATGATAAATCACTTAACTGATTTATCATCTTCTACTTAATTTAATTATCAACCAACTTAGTTAATAACAAAAATATTAGTTAGCCTTAAGGACCCTGTGCATCTAATGAATTGTAAAGGAATTTTTAAATTAATTCTCACAAAGAGTTAATGAAATTCTTTCAATTGACCTTAGATATTATCCACCAATCAACAATTGCAAGTTTATTCACCCTTGCCAAGGTCGTGATATAGAGCGATGTCTTGTAAAACATGCCACACGCACGATGCACATTACGATGTACGATGCACTAGCTGAGAATAAGAGCGTGATGGGAATACGAGAACAGCTATCAGTCAGCCAGATATCATCTGAACATAAACCGTGCGCGACTCCAGCCACTCCTCAGAGTGAATGGAAATATTTCCCCGTTCTAGCAAACGGATGATTTTAATTCAATCAGGTAAACGAATAAATTTAAATTGCTCGCCGTACGTGCACTTCGGCATAATTAAAAAAGGTACTTTATTATGTGTTTCATAAGCGTGTTTATTTGTTTATCTAATTGGCCTGCACCACGTGATTTCTTATTACTTGCGTATATAGAAATGCCCTTGGACCCGAACTGCGAGGTAATAACATACATTTATTTATGTAATATTTTAAATTACAATGGATGAAAACTACGTTGTTGTTTAGTGATAAAAATGGAAGTGGATTAAAATTATTCTAATTACATAATTCATCATAACAGGCGGTTTGCTAGCGTAACACTTGCACCTGAATATCGATTAAAAATCTTGTATCTCTATGTGAGCCTACAGTTACTTCTTTGTTAACAAAAATGAAGTCTGGAACCCCTACTGCGCTCAGCCAGCCGAAACGGCAATGGTTTACCATCTAAAATAGATTGGAGCCAAACTAATGCTGCGGTGACGTCACCGATAGTAATTACAATAAAAATTCGTGACTATGGCACGCTTCGTCGAGTAATGCGTATTTGAAGATACGTAATTAAGTGCATGAGGCTGACGTGCCGACTGATTTTATAGGCGGACGGCTCAGGCGCGTAGGCTATTTTGCAAGCATTCATGTGCCATTTGAATTTCGAGATCGCGATTATGATAAGTGAAACAGTATCTCTTCTCGGAATAGACCCGCGATGTTTTCGCGTCGTTTTTAATGAATTGACGTAAAAAGTTCGCTTTTTAAACTAATTGCTTTCCGGCACAATTAAATTGTATTTACTTGTTATTTATTTTTATTAGATAATAATACATTACGACTGATTTTATGTAATGATTACTGCTCGACGCATAAGAATTTAAATTTTGTTTATATAGCATAGCAAGAATACTTTCGAATGTCCTTTTATTTCTCGACGCATTCAGCTGTCCTTTTACAAAGGTAGTTATTGTATCGTGTTATGTAAAACAACTGTAGGCTTACATCATGCTTATTTCTTTAGCGAAAATATCTTCTTTACGGTGTCGATGACTCTGTAAAGTTGATAAGATCAGCAGTCAACGAGGTTTTTATGCTGTAAACGTTATTCATAAAAAAATACTTTACAAAAATAAACTTCCAACTACGACTCAAACTAAGCGAACTAAATGAAAAGCATTGTATTTAAATAGATTCATTAATCTGTTTAGTGACTACAATGCTGTTTTACATAATCGCATAATGTTCTTTAGAGATCGGTTAAGAGCTGTTAAGACGTCCGAGTTAATAAATTAACACTTCACGGTCATTGACTCGCTGTTTCTTTTAAATCATCGTCTTCATGTCAATAGAGTAATTTCGTTTGCTCGTGTGTGCTTAAGATTAGATAAAAAAATCATACTACTTATCTGTCGTATCGGTATGTTTCCAAAATTTAAAGGCTACCTTTTATTATTTTGAAGTAAATAACGATATAATCAAGATGTATTCAAAACATTATTTCCAAGGCAAGAATAATGTAGACAAACAAAATATATCGCGATAAAAATGTAAAGTTATCATTAGTATTCTCCGCGAGCACATTTTTAACATGAAATTGTTTTCAATAACTTTATAAAGATTAAAGACTTTGTAAGAAGTGCCTTATTTGATGAGAGAGTATGAGAATATGTTTATCTGCTGTAAATATACACGTTATTACTAGTCAATTCGCGTACATTTCGTTGAAAAATAATCGCAATGATATTACATTTTAGCTTTGAAATACATACTTTAGCTTTCGTCTCGAAAATTGCGTTGAAAAGTATTATTTAATACTATTAAATAACTAAGCCGTATTTAAGGTTGTATGTCTTTTTTAAACGATCCCATCAATCATGTAACTTAATTATGATGTCTTTTAATCCCGTTACGTTAATTTGATCCTGTCAATGCGTGAAGTCGAGTTTTTTGCGATAGAATGTGATGCAACCATAACATACCGGTTCGCGGCTCCTCGACGTCTGGTCTGTTATACAGCATACCGAAATGGTCTGTACAGTCTGCGTGGAATTGATTAACTCTAAGTAATCAGCCCATTTCATCATTACCAACGGTCCTAGTAATTATTGGTTCTTTATGGACCTAGTTACTTAGAAATTATGATATGACATTACTTATCTTCATTTCTTCTACATACCTCAATACTTCAGATGTCTACTCTAATAGGATATCAGCCTTATGTGGCCACCTCATTTATTTACTACATTTCACCTGGGAAATGTTATTAAGTACATAAATCGTCAGTGAAGTAAAAGTTGGGTGTTGCAGATTACTGCAGACAAAAGAAACTTGTAGAACAAATGTTGACATCGAATCATTCTCACGGTAGCTGCGAAGAGAGGACGGAGAAAGCTTTATCTTACATATCGCAGCAAACAATGTGAAGAGCGTGCCTGTGTTATCACCTTCCACCCATCTAGTGTTCACCCGGCTTTCACTCAACGCTGTACAATCACACCACCTTTTGTAAAATCTTAATAGCTGTAACAGTAGCACGATTTTCATTGAGAAAGTCTTTGTAGCTTACTAGGATAACTCGTTCTCGCTGGTTTTCTGTTACCTTTCGATGTTTATACTTTGGGCGCCTTCGAATTTCCTATTCAGCAACACATCCCTGGACAGGTTTGTTACAGTGCTTTATATTTGTGAAGACAAGCATCCATACTCTTGATTTAGCGCTGGGTCGGCTGCAACCCACGGTTCTAATTACAAATTGTAATCTTAACGCCCGCGCTCGTGCGATACATTTAGAACCGCCTATTGGTATTATAAAAGACGCATTGTCCTCTCTTATGTTCATGCAAATCGCTTCGAGCATGTTCTAGATATAAAACGCGTCGTTAAGAGAGCTGTGTTGTTTAATAAGTTTATTACTAATGTTAAGTCGGTTCGATTTAGTACAAATTTAAAGGTCGTCTTCTAGTCCTATTTATTTTATTTCTCGTTTATGAGTATGCACGTGCTAATTAACCACATTCGTTTTACGTGTTAATTAAATTATTAACATATAGAACAAGCATTCCTTACACTGGTACTCGTAGTAAATAAACGAAGCCGTTTATTTTTATTGCCTCCTGTTATAATTGTAATTGTAATCTGGAAACGTAATGACAGCCGCCTGTAAGCGAGGAATTTATATAACATTTACTTTGTTATTACGTTGTAATCTATACGTTGCTTCAGTTGAAAATTGAAAAGCACTTTTCTTGTGGGAGATCAAACAGCTGAGAGTAGAATTAGCTTAACAGTGGCGTAAGCCCTAATGTAATGAGATTATTTTAAACCTTAATTTAGTAACAAATTTGTTATGTTGGTATCACCTTAAAAGATGAAAAATGTATTAGAGATCGGTACCTAAAAAAATTTATTCATTTATCTTGCGTCACTGATTAAAGATGGTTATCAGGTTTTATTGGTATGAACGCGATAAATTAAACGCGGTCGGTAGCAAAGCACCGACGATGTTGCTCAAAATAATATCCATTAAGAAACATCAATACCGAAATATTATATTTAGCCGTCTGAGACCGACGTGCCTTTGCAGTTGATTAATTCGACAAAACGTGTCCAAGACCGAGTGGGTCTGAGTTGTTTATTTTTTGCATCTCATGTCTTATTCCGTAGTCACATTGACAGTTCGAGTATTGTCGAGATGTTATTAATGGCTTCATTTAAAATATTGTTGTTTTTTTTCTGAGTACCCACCGAGCAACGGATTCTCTTAACAGTCATTAATATATAATAATAATAAGTACAGAAGACAAATCCTGCGTTCGATTATATTGTGTAGCAGATTAGTTTAGCATCCTGGGAACCTTCTCGTGCTTATACGCCATGATTTGACGCTCGATTTCACGACAATTCATATTGGCGTCGAGAACAATACTATACGCTTTTTATTGACTCATACAACAGCCGACTTCAATGAAACATCGACGTCAAGAGTTGCGATTAAATAGAGCTAAGTTTTTGCAGGCCATGCCAAAATGTGAGCTTCCGCGATGATTACGGACCCGTTGATTGGAAACTAGTTCCATGGGCGAGACAATCGATTTCATAACAATAATCTTCAATCTTAACGGTCTGGCAAATGATGTTTTTGTATTGTTTGTAATGCGAAATATTTGCTTGTGCTAGATATTTGATTGATTTCCAAAATGCAGAAAAAAGCGTAGAATTATGAAGCACGAACCGGGATGTTAGTTGAAATCAATTTCGCCAGTGTGGAAGTGTGTAATGAAATATTTCTCTAGTAGATATGCTGTGAAATTCTGACGCAGCCACGTGTTTAAAAACAAAATCATTAAAATTGATAAAGAAACTGTGTACACTTCCACTAAACAAACCAAACTGTCGTAAAACAAGTTAATAGGATTCATAATACTATTTCACTAAATTATTTAATATCTATAGCATTAAAAATATATTGAATTTCGCAATTACCCAATTTTCGCAGTAGCTTTCGAATAGGCAAATGATGCTACTTACGTCTATCGTTGCTATTTATGTAGATATATAAAATAGAACAACATCAAATAATAAATGATTTCTTGTTTCAGTTACTGCCACCCTTCCGCCACAGAGACCTTGGATTCCCCTGACAAGACCAAATAGGAGTCGTCCTACTTGTAAGTACCGACCATATAATATGCATTCATCACTTTCTGGTCATCCTTCGATATGTGTGCCATTGCCTTTACATTTATAGTAAGTTGTAGGTAACTTTTTAATTTATGGTCACTTGCTGAACGTATATGGCGTTATCATTGACGCCAATATGCTTATTTTTTATTTCATCTTCCATCTCTATAATAATGTAAGGTTGTAGGAATATCAATATTATTATTGTTTATTAATATATTGATCCGTCCTTTATCAGTATTGCATTGAAATACAAACGAGTGATATAGAAAATTTGAGTAGTGGTCGTATTTTCGCTGAGAAAAATATTTTGTCTTTATTTAGCTCTGCACTAAATTTATTTCTTTATTTATATATCGATAGACAATTGAACTCACGGTCAATTGACACCAGGAGAGAGAGGAAGTGCCCTTCGTATGGTCGTTCGTGCACAAACAATGCACAATGCGAGACATTGGCAGCGGCCTTAGCACATCCGTGAACCTGCCAAAACGGCACCTTTGTGGCTTGGCTTTTAATCACCGATACATTAGCCTTAATTAGACGCAATTAGAGTGTTGTTTCTTAAAGAAAATAATTGGCTTTGCAAATTAATACTATAACTCGTTTTTACTTTGATAAAACGAGCTTTTAGTATTTCACTGAAAATTGCCTTTAACTAATCCACATCATAGCACGCCAGACCGTCCTTATGTATCAATGTGCGCCCTATTATACATAATGTATTGGATAAGACGCGTGTAACAACACAAAAGCGCCATTAAGTTTAATCGGCGATCACAAGGTGAGGGCGTACAAAGCGGGTCTGGGCGGTACGTTTATCGGATGACACTCGGGAAGATTGCGTCTGAGTACACTTAGCATCGGGGTCGCTTGAGCTTCAGCTATTTTTCACGCAGTGTAATAATATTTGCGCCTTTTAATTAGTACCTTAAAGACTGTGTTAATATTACACGTACATATCAATAAAAGTAATGTACTAAACATTTTATTAGCTTAAATTTACAATTACCGAAAGTGCACCCCAAGAGTCCTGACATTTTAGTTTTAATACATGCAATGTAATCTTTTTGCCTTTAAAAAATAAAGAAACATACTTCGCCTATAGTAAATAATATAAGCTAAGTCATTCTTTTACTTTTGTAATTGTTAAAATCGTCATTTTTTTAATCTATCCTGAATGTTATATAGACTTCGTCGAAAGGACACTGGGCAGTGCATTAAATAATACATTATGGTAAAGAACATACGGTCTCGCTCTCATACAACTTTAACCGTATGTTAGCTGTGACCGACATTATAGACAGAGAAATTACAGTCGCTATTATGCAAATTACAGCAGTGCTCTTCATAAATTGCTGCTCTCTACTGCCAATTGTTTCACGAGTTTTATTGTCGCTTAATCGTCCTTCTAATATTGATTCTGCTCAATACTGCGATTGTAAGACATTTAAGAACGACAAACTGTTATACGATATTTTAAGCAAAAATTAAGACTATAAGAGGAGAATGTAACTTTAAATATACCAGCTGGGTCGAACTTATATATCCTTAAAAGGTTAAGGTCATCACTAAAGGATATGGGCCGAATTTTATTGCTTTTTCACAAACATTGTTATTTATTTGAAGAAGTATATCTTTTTGAAATTTTAAACGGTCACGTATTGTATCAATATCGGTATAATTACCAGAACATGACAGCTAACGGGAATACTGTTGTATAAATGCTATTCCGCAATTTATATTCGAATTTTAAAAACAATCATGCGACGGGTGTTACGTATTTTCTTACGCTTCGGTTTTTTTTGGTGATTCGGTGACACCTTTACCATTGTTTGTTCGCGCACGTATTATTTCATCATCGACGATTTATTTGAAGTGAAGACACGCGTCTGCATGTTCGACATTACCATTTATTATTATGTCGGCTTAGAGCTTTCGTTTCGCCTCGTAGTTCCTTATACAACGGGCGATTATCGATGCGAGCATTGTTTCTGCGCGTTTGTCATGTGCGCCACGTTTCGTGTGGACGCTTTGGGCATACAATGGACGCGGTGGAAGCACGTGCTGCGGTCGTATTGATCAGAGCGTAGTCGCCAGGTGAAGTTCGGTTTCGACTGATTAACATGACTTTTCGTGATTTCGGGTCAATGTCAAAATCATCCTCACATCCGTGACTAACCAAGACGACGACGTTACCCCATAAATATACGTTTAGACTCTTCTAAAAACCTTTACTAGTTTCTCAAATAAACATTTCCTATTTGAGTTGCGATAACTTTTCAAATCCATGGCCTCTTTAAAAGTTTTGTTCATATAAATATTTACCGATGATCTGTAGTACTTAATATGCGTAACTGTACCAACGACGTTGACATTTTTTATTTAGGGCCATCGATCATTTGATCGAGCCTCCATGTTTCAGTAACGAGTTAAATGTGAACGGATCGTGAGAGATCAGATTCGTGGGGTTTGCTTGTACAACATGAAGAGTGGAGGCACGCGATATATAGTTACATTAAATATTAGTTTCAAATGTATAATACCTACGTCAAAACATTTTGTTACAACGCCGGGTTTTCTGGATGACTCTATTTGCTGTTGCCATAATAGTCAATTGAGCCAAGTTGCTTATTCGCACCCGTAACCGTTTAGCTAATCTTCCCCTCGTCAGCAGATTCTAATACACCTCGCACGAACGCCCCCGGGCTTCTAACCTCGACCGTTTACAGAATACCTCATTTCCTGTGATCATTTTCGAAGAAATGATGTGATAACATTATATCATTTTCTCACTGAATGATAAACGTGCTGCTTGTCGTAAATAATAATACGTCGCTGTACTTTAGCGGGCAATACACATGGATGAATAACATTTTTACAGCGTTGTCCCTGGGGTGTATATTTCTCTCATCAGAGATAAAATCTCTTTGATGTATTTTAGCGTATATTAATATTGTATGTATTTTTTTTTTCAGGTATATTTACGGTTATGTGTTACAACGTACTGTGCGACAAATATGCGACGAGACAGATGTACGGCTACTGCCCAAGCTGGGCGCTCGAATGGGATTACAGGAAAAAGGGCATACTCGACGAGATTCGGCATTACTCTGCGGATATCATCAGCTTACAGGTTAGCCACATTTTAATTAGTCGATCCTTATATACACTTACTGTGCGTTACATCTTTGTCGACCTCCAAACTTTGCTTGGTTTAAACTCATTTTACAATGTAGGTACAATGCCCGGATTAGTTTCAATGCTAACTTTTTGTATCTCGCCAGTTCTTGCGTGTTTGTTCTGAGAATATTATCAATGAAATATTGAATCCGTGTTGTGTTGGGAATTGGCATTTAATCGTAACAAGAAACCAAGCTTCGTCCGCATACAAGATATAAGATACAGAAACTTGCAAATGGAAGTATTGATATTTAGTTTAGACTTTGTTATTTATTTTAACTAACTTTTCTTATTAGATACTGTCTATAGTTTACGCGAGTAGTACACATTAAAAATAAAAATCATTTTCAAATAAGTTTAACTAATATATCGCGTTTTAAACCGTTATAGTGTTGTATTTAAATAACTTTTCTTATGTTTAATGTTTTTGTTTACGGACCATGACCAGTTCGTATAACGCGGAAGAATGGGACTTAGGTGCAGCCACTATCCCTTAAAGTAAAATATAATACAGCAAAGCCTTGGTTCCGGGATGTACCTGGCTAACCCTGAACCACGGCTTTGCCAAATACACTACCGCTAGTAAGCACTTATTCTTTCGCCTAGCAATTTCTTTTGCGGAACCCTCAATGAAGCTGTGCAAAATAGGAACGGACTGAAGATCAATATCTAGTAATTTCCTCTTTTTGGGAGATCACAGCTTCACATAAAACTTGTACTGCCTTCAGGACCAGAAGTGCCCTAGCATGAAGGACGGCAGTACCACTCTCATATTTATTACATGAATACAGTTTTTGTAGTTTATAGACCGCTAAAAAGCATTGTATAGAAATAAGCATCGAATACACCACAATAGTAGCGCTTTGAATACATAAAGGTCCATTTAAACGCCGTTATGTATTCGTATTTCACGTACAAAGCGGCTATTATTAGCTAATTCAATTTCTACTGCATTATATGGTGATCAGTATTCACGAATAGTGATTTTCTTCCGCCGCGCAACATTGTGTAAAGGTCGTTGCGCCAACAATTGTTTGCTATTATATAATACGTCAATGTCAGGGCCGTAAACAGGCTCACCATCGGACACTCATTTTAGCCATCTTGTTTGTGAGTGCGGGATGTAGAGCGAAGATCAAAGATAATATTATATAGATTATTTCAATTCTGTCACGATCTTTTACATAGTATAAAATATTCATCAGTATGTTTGTTTGTCTTTCCCCGACTGCGTAACTAATACACTTATATTTAGCATTTAGTACCTACAAAACAGTTCTAAGCTATATACTTGTAGTTTTACAAGAGATGTCGTCGTCTCTTAGTAGGTCAATATAGTCAAATGGAAATACACTGCTTAATCTAACGACTAAAATTTCAGGAAGTAGAAACGGATCAATTCTACAACTTCTTCTTGCCTGAATTGAAACAGGACGGATACGACGGCATTTTCTCGCCCAAATCCCGTGCCAAGACGATGGCGGAATCGGAGAGGAAATATGTCGATGGTTGCGCTATATTCTTTAGATCTGCCAAGTAAGTAAACATTTTTTTCTATTAATCGAATTTCAAAAACGAGACAAAATATTCTACCGTCAACGTCATTCAAGAATGTACGAGTAATCTGGTACCATTTTTTTAAATCTGTAATTAAAACCTATTACGGGTAAGAAGGAACAATTTTAAATATTATATCTATTAATATTTAATGAATCTCCTAACAGGTCCCTTTATACTCTTGGAAAAAAGAAAATATTTATATTTTTTAAGGACTAAAAGCGTTCTATTTATATATGCACACGCTTATTTACCTACACTCGTCGCCACTACTTCTTATCCCCTCTTTTATGACATCATCTCAGTATTCCTCTAACAATATATTCTCATAACTTTTCACTTTTTTCAGGTTTGCCCTAGTAAAAGAACACTTAATTGAATTCAACCAACTCGCGATGGCGAACAGTGAAGGCTCCGACAACATGCTGAACAGAGTGATGCCGAAAGACAACATCGGTTTGGCAGCCTTGTTAAAGACGAAAGAGGCAACGTGGGAGAATGGTGAGAACTGTAATTATTTTTTTTATTCTTCTTTACCTAGTTTTAGTACAACATACCTGCTAAAATCAATAACTAATATCATTTTTTTCAAATTACCAATTACTAATAATGTCATATTTGGACCAGAACTCAATGATTATGCTATTGATTTTAGAAGTTGCCAGTTAGTTATAGGAACTAAAAATATATTGTATATTGAATGAAATTTACGACTCGGGCAGGACTTCAACCTGCATCCACAGCGTTCCGAGCTGTTGCTCTAACCAATTGAGCTACCGAGTCCTATTAGTATCTTTTTTTAATTTATATAGTGACATCCTGTTAAAAATATTAAACTTTCCAAGTTATAGGAATTTCAACAGTACAACGTAATATTTGCAAACTTAATAGTGACCGGGTTATGTAAACATTTTTCATTTATTGCATTCAGAGTAAAGGCTGTGTTAATTTAATAATATTTAAGAGCAAGCTACAATAAATTTTCGACTAGGCAAATCACTGTAGACTGATTTACTCGTCTGTACATTAAGCCTTTCACTTAAAAAACCTTTAGGAATGTTTTTCCTTATTCCTATAAGGTATACCCCCTAGGGGATACTGGACAGCACTTTTTATGTATCACTCTCTAATATAAAACTCTCTAGTATGAACCTATATAAATACAAATATACAGTTGAGTTTTCTATGGCAGTCCTTAGGCAGCAACTTTGTTTTCAGGTCTACCGGCGGAATCGTCAGCGCTCGCGCAACCTATCTTAGTCTGCACTGCACACATACACTGGGACCCAGAGTTCTGCGACGTAAAGCTAATTCAGACTATGATGCTCAGCAACGAGTTGCGCTCGATACTGGAAGACTCTGCGCGTACGCTGCGTGTATCCGGACAAAAGGACAACGTGCAATTACTGCTCTGCGGGGACTTCAACTCGCTGCCAGACAGTGGTAAGTGGTATTGGCCTCAGATTTTTATAACTAATACTATAAAAAGCTTTCCAATTTTTTATATAGTAATTGATATAAAAGGTAGATTAGAAGGTGATCAAAAACACCAAACCAATTTTGTTTACATTGCTCGCTCCGAACCATGCACACAATACATACTTATGAGTAATTGACAGAAGTAATGTTAGTTGTAACTATGCAATTCATTCTGATTAAAAACAAATATAAATGTCGTTTCTTTATTTATAGTAAGTCGTAATTAGGTGCTGCATATATTAGCTAAACATATTTAGAAGTTATTTTAACTACGGCCCGACATTTCGGATGCTTTGCGACAGTCATGGTCTGTATTATATAAATATAACTTTGCAGGTGTGGTGGAGTTTCTATCATCCGGTCGCGTGTCAGCGGACCACCGCGACTTCAAGGCGCTGGGCTATGCGTCACTGCGGCGCATGCCCGGCTCCGAGCACGAGTTCACGCACAACTTCAAACTGGCTTCGGCCTACAGCGAAGACATCATGCCCTACACCAACTACACGTTAGTAGTTTATTTACCAGACACACAACAACTAAATCATATCTTTGGAAGGAAAGGCCCTTACTTTAATACTTATTTTAATATAACGATGTATTTTCATTTAAAAAGATTAAAGATTGAAAAAAATTACTTAAACCGGCATCCACTGCGTTGTTGCTGTTGCTCTAGCCTATTGAGCTATTGTGTTGATATTCGGTTTCAGTCTGTGAATTACCGAATATACAACGCCAAAATAGGTCGATAGCGCATCTTCTTTAGATGCTATATACTGGGGTATTTCACCTACCACCAAGTGAACCACGTGCCATGTCTGTCCTCCTCAAAAAAAAATAGTACCACCATGGAGCCGATGTGAAAACTGAATGTTTTTAACTATGTCGTGATCGATATAACAAACAACTTATATTTTTTATTAAGTATTTGTACAACTGCGAAAAATGACATCTTTGAACGTTTCAACAGTCTACCATAAAGGCTCAATCAATAAGAAAACGCTAATAAGATTCTGTTTCATTTTCGACTTTGGATATAAGGCAATAAAACAATGATGATGAAGTCGAGAGAATCCCACTAATAATAAGTCTGCGGATTACATTATGTATTTTCCTTAACAATCTAAGCATACACGCTCGTATTAATGCAACCGTTATGTTATTTTTTACAGTTTTGACTTCAAAGGCATCATCGACTACATATTCTATAGTAAGCAGACGATGACTCCACTGGGGCTGCTGGGCCCTCTGTCGCAGGACTGGTTCCGTGAACACAAGGTCGTTGGCTGTCCGCATCCGCACATACCTTCAGGTACCTTATGATAATCGGTAGTGGATAAAAGATGAATTTGAAGAATTATAATAATTTCTGCCTCATTACCTATAATTATTTTCAGTTATAGTCCTTTTAAAATACAGCTTAAAGGAGGTAAAAAAAAACCAAAACTTTTTGAATAGCAAACTCCAAAGCCGTTTTTAGCTTTATCAATGGATGAAATTTTAAATACCGTCTGTTTATTTATATATTATATATTTCCAGATCATTTCCCACTACTAGTTGAACTGGAGATGAGCCCAACGTCGAGTAGCAACTCGAACGGCCTCATCGGACGCAGGTAGCACGCGACCCCGCGCCGCCATCCGCCTGCACACCCCGCCAACATACATACCCACAAACAACCGCCCAACAACCAAAAGCAACAACCAACTGACAACCACAAACAACCAGCGTACAGCCATAAATCTACCGACATTCAAAATAAGATTCACGAACACAAACACAAGTCAATGGACCACAAAACAGCGGTTGACTACAAGCGACCGGACTACTAAGCTCCGTAGTACCTGAATGAATGTAGAAATGTTATTTGACTTATGGGATTTTTAACTAGTTTCACAAACGGTTCGGCCTTTTACTCTTTATATTATTATATTTGCGGTTCTGTTGTATTATTTGACATCGCTTCAAAACAAATTTAAGAACACCGTTTTTTTTACGTACTCGGTAATATCGTAGACGGACGTGCGTAGTGATGAACAAACGTAATATTTTAGGATTGCGTTAAGTACTTAAATGCTTTCTTGCTCTCCTTTAACAATTAATAATTCTTGCTCTAACATTTCGCCGCGCTTTGAAAACTTGTACATACCTATGTCTTGGCTACCAACAGACAAGCCTTAGGAGCAATTGAAAGATTGTATACGCATGTGAACAATTAGAAGAAGTTTTGTTAAAGTTTTATCCGATACAACATAAGTCTAAGCATGCGTGTATTTTTCCACATATATACATACTTATTTGCAGTATAAGTAACTTCTATACGTCAATTTTATTGATTATGTGCAATTTTTTTATAAAAGAGCAGTTGATTTGGTTTCGTTTAGGAAATTACTTCAAGAATCTTTGCGAGGTCTAAGCTCAGGTAATTTTGATTTCAAAGCTTACTTTATCCTTACTAGTGAAGTCCAAATTAAAATATCATTTTTCGTAGTAACGGTTGCTTAAATATTGTTAACAAATTTGGTTTCGAAATTGTTAAATAGTAGAATTTTCCACTTTCACTATTGGTATGAATTAAAACAGAAGTTTGGCGTTTATAATGCTCAGTACTGAGAAATCGACATTTTAGCTTTAAGACTATGTGCAATTATTATTTTCAATTAAAAGCAAAATAATGTTTAATAATATTTTTGCGAAATTATTTTAATCGTGTTATTTCTGAGTTGTAGCGAAAATAGATCTTTGTCGTGAAATAGTAGAGTCAGCTATGGTTATACAGTTGAGGAATATTCCGGAATATGCCCGACGTGGATTGGATTGTCTGCTTTTCATCAAGATATACCTATTCATAATTTCACAGGTTCAGTTATTCTTTTACCTTTTCACATTTCTATTCTTGCCGGTTTTTAAAACGATATCGCTAAGTATCGAAATAAAACAGGTATGAAAGAATATCAGACGTCCATTTACCAATTAGTGATAAAGTGATTCCTCCACTGTATATTTTTAGGATAATCTATCAATACTTTGCTATATATGTGTTCGATAAATGAATGTAGTTGGAATCCAGCGAGACAATGTTACTACGAGGCTAAATCTATATGTATGTGTGTGTAGTTTGAATGTTTTATCCATTTATCTTTGTAATATGTATATTGATCCATTGAATTTCGGTTCATTCGACAATTTTATCAGTTGATTATATTGTATTGATCGTTTTTGATCCTCACTGAAGACATTAGTCGCGTGGTACCGTTGTCCCACGGAGTGGTGTGTGCATGTGCGTTTCGGTAGTTCAGTGGATGGTGCGTTAGATGGTGTTAAGGTTAACTGTGGTACGGTGTTGGCATTTAGAACAAAGTCGAGCGATAGCTCGCCGGCGGCAAATCTTAGGTTAATGTCGCATTTTGTGTACCAACAAACTACTCAGCGAGACTCGAAGACCTTTATTATCCTTAAACCTCCCTCCGTTCCGATTTCCCCCCGCCCTTTTCCTAGTATTTTTATAATCTCTAGTAAGTAGAGTTTTGTATCGTCTCGATGTTTTCTTTGATTAGACCGTTTGTCGCTGGCCATCTCTCCTTTATGCGCAATCTATTATGTTTGTGGCTATTAACGTTTAGCCCTTATATCGATCCCAATCAAATTTTAAAATTATTTCTATTCATTGTAAATTTGTTGTAGCAGTTTCTTTTAATTATAGTATCCTTGAAGCAACCGAGAGATGGTCAACGGCGATAGATTTCACTTAGTGTAGCGGGTAGCAAGCAGACTGGCGTAGTACAAATGACCGTGTGAGTCGGTGGTGCGGTACTCCATGCGTGTGCGTCGCGTACGTTTTCTCAGAACCGCTTCTGATTGGTTGACTGTCACTTTTGATTAGTCTGCTCGTGTTCTCGTTTGAGAGACCCAATTGCACCAAGTAATTATAATATAATTTAAAATGATTACTGAAATCCAATATCTAATGTCAATGTCAACTTTATATAAATTTCTCAGGTTCAATGATTATTAAACCTTATTTCTTGGTGAAATTGGGCCTAAGTGTGGTAACCGTAATGATCCCTTTTTATCATACTGTTACCACATTCGCGTATGTTCCAGCCTCTGACTGTATGGTTGTGATCTTTTTGGGCTCGTCATGGTGTGTTGAAGAGTTTGTCAGAGAGCATCGTAAACTAGTCATTGACAGGAGTTGATACAGATTTTGCTCAGGGAAAGTAACTTAGGAGACACTTGTACTGCCCGTATCTATGAAATAGATTGTAGATTTCGTTTCTTCTTGTAGATGTTAAAGACATACTTGTATCTTGTTCCGAGCAAGGCCCGAGTGCGATCTGTCAATCTCTCGCGTCGTCGTTGTAAAGCGTTAGTTGTCACATCGGAATAATTAGTGATATTTACTATTTTTTTATATTACAAGAAAATTTGGACCACTGCATAGTTGAATCTACGCTTATTTTTTGTCCTCCCCATTGGAATTATATAATTTTTAAATATTTTTTATTACTTATATATTATTGTGTATATCAAACGATAGGTGCTGTTGTATTTAATTTTAATGTTACTAACGCGATTGTGATACGACCCTATTGAATTAATTGTATAATGAATTGAGCCAAATCATGTGAATGGATATATAATTTGAATTATTACCTTAGTATAATTGTATCGAAAGAATTTTATAGAATACAAATTTTACTCCACCGACACCATATAATTTTCTAATTACAGATAGATCATAACACCATATCATATGTCGTTTTATGCGACTTTTGTAAATTATTATTGTTAAGAGTTGTGAAGTCCGTTTTTGAAATTGTTCTACTCGATATGAAGCACAAACTTTGAGAATAAAGTATAGACACACTTTGCGATATAATGTATTTCGGTGTACGTAGGAGGATTTTAAAGACGGTACAAATCTTGCCTTCGCTGCGCTTGCGCATTTGCAAACAGTACGTATGCCTTATTTCATGCGTTTAAGTATTTTTTGCATTTATCGTGTTGCAAGATATCTCTTTTTCCCGCTTGTTAAATTGTCCTGTTTAAGATTTGGCTTCAAGTATAGCGGTGTAGCGTTTTGAAAACATTTGCGCCGGTTCAGGTGTTCTGAATCTTCCTTTGCTGGTTGCCAACTATCACGATTGCGTTAATGTGGTCACTGAGGCTATTCTAACGTTATCTCCCAACAGACCTCTGCAGAAGATTGTGTATTTCTAATTTGATCTTGTAGCTAAGCTGGACTGAGGAATATTTTTGCAGATTATTATCAAAGCATTTTCTTCAAATCCAAAAGAATTTTTAGTTCATAAAACGCAATCTGTAATTGTACTAAATAAGCATTCAACTTTGTTTTTTTAGTAAGATATTAGAAGTATCGTTCCGAGTAACTGAAACGTAACACAAAGTACACATCGGTTGGCAGTTGTATTTGTCGCAGTATTGAAACAAACCAATAGATGCGCGTATAACGAGAGCTTTACATAACAAGTTTATTTCTAGTAAGACATGTGATCTCTTTATTTTTAATAGAATTTTGATGGACAATTTTACTTAATAGATCTAGCGGATCTAGCGTTTAGTGTTTTCAAATAGAATTGTATCGCACATTTTAGTCTCTTATCACGGTGTATAATTTTTTCACGGAAAACTGATGCCCTCCAGAAATTTCGACATATTTGCATCATTGAAACCCGTGGTTCACAAATCAATCAGTTATGCCAATGTAGTATATATTTTGTACATATTTGTATGATCCTAATTTGAAAGTTTCGCGTAATAGATCAAGTAAACTAAATCTATATAATTGTAAGAAGGGTTTCGACGATGCAATATCTATTTGATACCGCAAGGAGCCTTTAAAATCTGTGTATTTATTTTGTAAATATATAATTTCGATAACAATTAATGCTAGACAACGAGCGAGCCGTTGCAAATGTCAGCCGTTTGGACTTCTGCGCACGCTGGCTGTTTCGTTTCTAAGAATAAAAATATCACGGTGGCTAAAATGTTTATGACGAATATCTGTATACCCTCAATTTATTTTACGTATATTGACACTAAATATTATATAATTATTAAATGTGTTACTAATTTGAACTAGGGATAAAAAATAGTGTCAGATTTCTTCATATTCTTTGTAGCCATTGACTTTGCGATAAATCGGCGTTAAACACATTTAACACGTCACGTTCACGGAAGATGGCGTTTGGAGATCACCCAGTAGCTCTCTATTCTTTTCTTTGTGTCTAATATCCTATGACTATCATCAATTAGTGTCTTCTACCTGTAATACCACTAATCATACATGTTTAAAACAGTCACTTTTATTTTTCAAGATATCCAAATGGAGAGCTGCTTGTCACGTTACAGCGAGTAATAAAATTGCTTTCATTTACTATACGTCGTAAGCTTTGCACTAGCCTCTCGAATATTAAGGTGTATCTACAGACATTCCACAGGCCCTATCGAATTAGCTCAATACAAAAGACTGTATGAGACTTTAACAAAGAATATCATAATGAGAAAATATTTTCTGAAGCACCTTGACAACTTTACAAAACGTGTTTTATGGTGATTTAATGATAAGATCGCAATGTTTAACTCACTAGTATGTAAGGACAAATGCTTTACGTCACTGTGATAGACAATACAAATATACCTGAGAGAAAACACCATAGGCATTTATGTGAAATTTATTGAATTGTCTCGTTACTGAAATGTAATATACCTACTCTCAGTTGTAATGCTGATTGTACTCTTTTTAATTATTATTTCTTTTACTAATTATATCCTTCTTTCGCTTTTTATAATCTAAGTCTGTAAATATGAGTCGTCTACTATTGATTCACTATTTAACAACTTAAGGCGATCTAATATAAATCCATGCAATTTTACTCTTGTACTAGATACAACTGTTTATGGCCCCAACCTTAAACGCGTGTACAGAAAAAATAGAGTACCGTCAGCAATCATTAAAAGTACAAAGCGTATGTGCAGAAGTTTCGCGGCTCGAGTGTTCGAGTGATCGCGGTGTGGAGGTTTGTGCGTATGCACATGTGAATGTTGCGTGAATGTTTGTGTGGCCGCGCGGCCCGCGTCTCGCTGCTCTGTTTGTTGACACATTATGTATATTTGAATGAATCAAATTATAAGAGAATATGAATTTTAACTTGGGTTTCATTTAAGCACTTTGTGATAGAGAAGGAGGAACTTCTATAATTTGTCTTTTGACATTTGTTTTTTTTTCATTTATGGTTGGTGGCTTGTCATACAAAGGAAATTTTTAACTACCATAAACCATTACTATTAAATATGTAGTCTTAAAAATATGCCTAAAGAGTTATTTATATACATACTAATACCTATGATTTTCCCCCGGACTAATCAACACCATTTAGAATTAAAAAATCAAGACATTTTGCTAGCCAATCTATTTACACTAATTATTACCTACTAATTTAAATATATTTAAAAACGACATCCTTGAAGCTGTCCACTGTTTGCAGTTCAAGTGTAACAGGACAATGTAACCAATTTGCCATTAGCTCTTCGGAATAACCAAGCAGGAAGTACATTTTTGTAGGTGACACAGCTCTTCTAATTATAGCAGCAACACGAATGTGATTAAATTGCCTCTTTATGATAATCTGAAAATAGAGTTTTTATTTAGATATAAGATCAAGATTTTTCTTGTTTTTTGTAAAATATTGGTAGGCTTTTAATAAATTGTGCTACTTACTTCACTACAGACTAAACCATGCCATGTCCCATTCATAAATCTTCTGATAAATTCATCTTCTAATGCTGTTTCTGGTCTTCGCAGGCCATCCTTTAAACTTGCTGAAAAAAAAGTGCAGAAATTGAGTTCAAAGTATTATTTTTACATCCTTATTCAAATTAAACAATTGAAAAATCTGATATGAAAGTGTGGTAAAATTTGTGGTATATGGACAAGGTAAAAATATCGAAAAAAACTCACAAGTATTCCAGGAGTTCCATGTTTTTCTGTGCGCAATGTAATGTGGTGGATTCGCCATTTCATATGTAAGAGGTTTGTCTCTCTTCTTCGTTATCCTATATTTGCCTGAAACAACTCGGCATAACGCTGGCGAGGTATGGAACTGAGAAGATAGTATTGCCGAACTTTTAGACACAGCAGAAACATTCTGTAACAAATTCAATAAGTTGTCAATAGGCCAAAATACTTTTGTATAATTTAAAAACCGCTAGTTACCTGAATTAATTTGAATATAGACGAATTCATTGTTTTAACTTTTATATTAAGTCAGTTATACTGTACTGTAACTAACATAACAAAAAAACGAATATTTTAGGAGTTCATGTATCTAAAAATGCAAATAACCTCAATGCTCCATAGTGTCAGAAGTCGACAGTTGTCAATGTTCTACTATACTTTGACAGATCACGCGCATAGACTATGTTTTTCGCGTCTGTTGACTTTTGTGATTAATAATAATTGTAATACGTTTTATTTTATGTTCGATATAACGAAATAAAACTAATTTTGGAACTGCTGTTTTAATTTAATAATGCAAAACATGTGACGTCACACTAGGGAGGGGGTCTCAGAAATGTGACCACCTGTGACAAGGACGGGGGGGGGGGGGCTCAAAAATCATGAAATTCGTGTGACGTACTTTATGAATGACCCCTTATCACCTGTATCATCTGTCACACTTTTAATCATACAGCAACAATTACTTATTACGAAAACTTTCTATAAATTTATTGTAATTAAATATATAGATATTACGCAAGCTGTATAGAATTTGGAATCATCAATAAATGCTTTAATTTAAATTGTTTTTACCATACAACTTAAAATACGAAAAAGTAACCAACCCATTTAATGGTTTTCAATTATAAACACAAATTTTATTCCACTATAAAATCGATAATCAGCACTTTAAAGCATTAACTAGTAGCCTATTTATAATTTGAACGTTTTATTGATTCCAAGTTTCAAAACTTTTCCACTGCATAGAAAATATTTTAACAAAATGCTTCTGTGGACTCAGTTAATCACTTTATGGCCAATATTATTCAATGCGAAAAGCTTCGGTAAGTTTTACTCGAGGGCCTAGAAAAATGTATTTCATACCTGTACTTAGGTACATATTAGATTGATAATAATGAACTGGATAGAACATTTTAAATTCTGTGGTTTTACGAAGTTCATTATAAAACAACTTAACAGTTATAAATTTAGGGAATAGAAATCGATAAGATGTTTTCTTATACAGTGTTATGTGCTCCTGAAAACGCTGTTTCAAAAATTCTTGATGTTATACTGAAAAAGATACAAAAACGATCATTAGAAACTCTTGGAAATGAAACACACGTTAATGAAGATAACGAGCTCTTAGAAATTGAACATAAACTCCAAAAAGCCGCAAGGCCGTTAGGAGACGAGGGTAAAAAATATGTTAAATTGATTCTACGAGAAATACAATCAGGTAAAAGTAAAAAAAAGTCAAATAACGGTGACAATAAAAGAAAATCTAAAAATATAGCAATCATGGCCCTTGAGTCAGACGAAAATTCCACACGGTTGTCAAAGATTGATTACCTAATCAAGAAAATAAACAGAATCTCATTGGAATCTGTAAGTAATTTTACAAATGCGCAAATGGGTAATGTATTAAACACCATAGAAAAGAAACTTAAGAAAGCGGCAGCTCATTTAGGGGACAAAGGTGAAAAATATGTAAACTTAATAATGCGAGGCATTCAAAATACATATAAGAACACTACAGCCAATTATGCGCTATCTAACGCTAGAAGAAGATACTTGGGTAAGTAGCGCAAGTTATACAAGTTTTTACTCTGCCTAGGTATCTTTAAATTTTATTTTTTTAAGATCAAAATCGTAAGGAAACATCACAAAATAGTAAACTATATATTTTACTGATTTTTTTTAGAAAATATCAGTAAAATATCATCAGATGTTTCAAATAATTATGGTAATAAAGAAAAACTTGACGCTGTAGAAAAGAAGTTGAAATTAGCTGCGCAACGATTAGGAAAGAATGGAAAAAAATATGTCAATATTATAATGAAAGCGGTTCGATCTGATAAAGGCGTTAGTAAAACACCTCTTAAAAATATAATTTCTACAGAAGTGGAAAAAGTGGTAGAAAATGCTATAACTCTAAATAATGTAATCAAAACTGACAAATATAACAATATATTAAGAAAACAAGCTGTCAGAGACGTGGCAAATGAAATCGAAAAGCTTTTTAAAACATTCTACAAAAGTAACAAATATTTAATTGAGGAACTTCAACTTAAAACATTTGAGGCGATGAAAGAGCACAACATGTTAAAGAATAGTGAAGATGTGAAATTCATGAGCGATTTTATAGTCGATGCAATTAACGCTGCAATATTATTTCAAAAATCAAATAGAAGAAACAGCAGAACAAGAAAAGTTTCTTCTGATACAAAAAGTGAATTTCAAAGGCACACTACAAAACGCTTACGTAGTCAAATAAAACGATGTAAAAATAGGGTCAATATTACTTGCAGCAATATAAAGTCTATGAATTCATACACATGTGCATATGATGACCAAATTATACCAATAATTAAACTCTGTGATGGAAAAGATGACTGTTTCGACAGTTCTGATGAAACTTTTTGTGTGAAACAGAGTAAGTAACTTAATACTATTGTCCTTTTTGTAACAAATGGGCTTGGTAAAAAACACAAATACGTTTTGGCAAATATTTACATGTACCATACTATATACACAATTGTTCGGAGTCTGTTGCGAATGCCGGTTTAAATTCCGCCCGCGTTGTAAATATTTTTTCCTATCTAAATAGATTTTTAATGACCATAAAGAAATCCGGTGCAAAAAAAGAATAAATAAATTAAAATTTTCCTTTGAGTTCACGGGGGTCAAGTCGCGTAGGCTGACCCCGAATTTTTTATATAATGTCTATAGTATACATTAATTAAAATTTCATTTTAGCTATTGAAAAATTACGTTTTGCACATGAAGTCCTAGCTGCGATTGATCGTGATTTAGAATACAAGTGTTTAACAAGTGATATAGATGAGGGCATTCTCTCGAAGCAAAATCTTGTTCTACGAGATGTACTTAAAACTCAGTCTGATTTAATTGAAAAATATAAATCGGAACATCTGTCGGAGTCTAATGAAGAGAAAGCAACATCTGAGCAATGATATAACAGGAATTATTGAAAATCTATCGAAGGCCTTGGGCCATGCACTTTGTTCACAAGAGCTTGACACTCGTGATTTAAGACGATTCAATGAAGTACTTGAAAAGGATGATCCATGGCCTAAAGACATTTGGCCACCTAAAACGTGTAACTGTTCTCAAGAGCTCTGCCCAAATTGTACTCATCTCTGTAAAATAATCTGTTGGCATCAAAGTAGCTTGTCCAGTTGGAATTGTGATTCTGTCAATGAAAGATCCTTAGTTCCCTTAAATGTCGTGTGTGACGGTAAAATTGACTGTTTTGATGAGTCCGATGAAAAAGGTTGCTTTGCAGGTAAATCCATATATTAATATTTAACGATAAGCTGTATTTTGTGACAGATATTATATGTATAAATGCCTAAAATTTCTAGATACAACACTTGGAAAATTCGAATCTCATAAAATATTTAGTGAAATGACAGACTCTCTAAAAATCAAAGCAAACAAGGAATATAAGGTAGCAAGAAAAACAATTTTGATCTTAATCAATGCTCTATTTGACCTACAGAAGCTAAGTTTAAATTCAAATCCTGATCCGGCACTGCTAAAAGAATACAGGCAGAGATGCTTCTCATTGATAAGCAGAATTTATTCTCAATTATTAAAACACACGTCCTATCCAAATGAAGCCGAAGAATTGTACAAATTTCTTTTATCAATTAACCAACAAACTGGAGACATTATAAAACGTATTGGTACAGGCAATAAAAAAATTATATCAGACGAGTGTTTTTGCCGAGAAGATAAATGTGCCGCATCTGTTTGCTCTAGGAAATGTCAGAAGGCATGCGCCGTTAAACCTAGACTAACGAAATATGTCTGCAGTGGAAATAATAAATCAGTCGACATTGATCACATTTGCGATGGCTTTAATAACTGTCCAATGAAGGACGACGAACAAGATTGTAGGCAAGGTAATTAAAAAAAAATTAACGTGTCCTAAAAGTACATTGTTCAGTACATTAATTTTCACTTGACTTCACTTGACGAGTAATCAGTATTTTTTATGTACGATTATTTCTTACGACTTATCAATCTTGTATGCAGATATATGCCGAAGCTATCACTTGGCTATTTTACGTCTTAAAGTGGAAAAAGTCGGTTCAAAACAAAAAGGGACAGCAATGGGAGAAGTTCTTTCAACGTGGAAGGCAAAGGTACATCACAATATTTATAAATTACTAGCTGTGCCCGCGAATTCGTCCGCATGAAATAGTGACTTGGGGTAGAATTTTTAATTATTGGGGCTGTTTATTAATTTTGTAAGGATAGCAATTATGGTAAGTGCTACTTTGCCGCAACACTCTCACCTAGCATCACTCCTACTCTCATTGCTACACTCACTCCCACACCCACGCCCACTCCTATTCCCAACCACCAAAGAAGAAAGTCCCATTCCTCTAGCTTCAAAAACCACGAATTTCCATACAAATTTTCGCCCCCCACCCCCTTTAACCCCTTACAATCAACTACTAATCTTTTCGCAATAAAAAGTAGCCTTGTTTTTTCTCAGGGTCTAGACAATCTGTATACCAAATTTCATTCAAATCCCTTCAGTAGTTTTGGCGTGAAAGAGTAACAGACAGACAGACAGACAGAGTTACTTTCGCATTTATAATATTAGTAAGAAATTTGAAACCTTATAATACGTACTGTACGTAACATTGATCGAATTTGTCTTGAGTCCAGAATCGTATTCAATTCTAATATTTTTAATAACTAAATTTGTGATTTTCTTATGTTTAATCACCGAAAATTACTATATGTAACCATCTCTATTTTACTTTCGTGATGCATAGAGTTTATATGTGTATGATACTAATTTACAGGTCATAAGTACGTTAAAAGTTGCAGAGAGGACTGGAAAGCCGACCCCAAAAATTATTAAGGATATTATAAAAGATATTCTGCGCGATCTAGTGGTGACATACGGTTCCGTCGAAGAATATAGGAGGAAAGACAATCACTACGCCCTCCAAGAATTTTCTGATATTGCCAAAAGTATACAGGACGCAGTGCGCTCTTGCGGCAGATAAATATTATGTATACAAATACACGATCTTATTATAATATTTGGTTTTCTTCTTATAAACATAAATACGTTTGTTGAAAGTTATGTATCAATAAGCATACACTGCTTATTCAACTCAAATAGCGATAACTTGTGCAATATGCTTCAATAATTAATATAAGTTAATATAATTCACGTGAAAAGAAGTGGAATATTGGATTGAATTTGCACTAATTTACTCGTAAAATATGAGATTCATTACATGTATTTCGTTATTCTGGGTTTGGTACTCCTTCGTGCGATCACAAAATTATACTTGGCCTATGTACAATGTCTCTTTTGATTGTATTGTGGGAATAGCGACTGCATCGGGTTCGCCTCTCAGTCAGGGTACCCTCGTAACAGTAAAGACGATCATTACCTCAGCCAACCCGTTGAATTCGTACATCGACAACAAAAGTTCAATCAAAGTTCTCGCAGTTAACCAGAAATTTAACGTGACTAGATCCCTATCCATAGCGAAGATAGAAGGCAACCAAGTTAATAGGAAAAGCGTTTGGGTACAAACCGGCGATGACGACAGAAACTCGCCCATACACGATATTGTACTTATTATTTTAACTGAAGCTGTTGTGTTCTCATACGGGAGAGGACCTAAATTTGGAAAGCTAATTTTCTCTGATGAAAATTTGGACAGCAATTTGCCGATCACTGGATGGATCACGGCTGGATTTGGTTACACCGACATAAAGCATATTACAAAGAATTTAAATTTAGAAATAACAAATCTCGAAGGTAGCACGGTGGATTGCGACGAATGGTTTCCGCGAGATTGGGGCCATTTTATTTGTATAAGTAATGACGAAAACCTTCCCGCTGTGCCATCCGGCGGTCCACTTTTTCATACCGAAACTGAAAGAGTCGTACTGGGCATCGGATGTTTCTCCATGAGAAAGGGTAACGAGAGCATTCTCGTTTTTACAAATTTCAGGCCATACCGATTCGGACTAAGAGGTTTCGTGCACAAGCCTACAACGACAGAAAAAAACATCAAAATGATTTTACCAATAGATGAAAAAAGGAAAACACGTATATCGTATTTTATGAATAATAGCGCTTAATAAAAAACCCAATAAATCCTTTTTAAAATATACTTTGTTTATAAAATAGGTTTACGTACGAGTGGACTTGTTATTTCTGATAATTGTACATTAACTAATCTGTTATATAAGCAATTTATCAAGAATAGTTATATTTAGTATCGATATTATTGATAACGAAACAATCCGGTTGGTCGAACTGCTGATAAAAACTGTGAGGTATTCCTGTACTCACTCAAATTGGGTTGGGTGTTACCTACCTTTTTCTTTAGAATGCCACTTCACTGAAGTTGCTTTATATATATATATATAAAAAAAATCTATGTCCACATATTTACTAATTGTTAATTATGCGGTATGATTGTTTATGATTTTTTTACAAAACAAATAAATATATAAGAAGAATATTTTTTATTATACAACAAGTAGTACTTAGTTTTAGATACTTAATTCAAATAATTTTTACATTTTCGCTCTTTGGCTAGCTGAGAGCAAAGGACTGAAGGAGGACACCAGGTAACATTTGTTGATCGAAAGGTTTACCAGTCCCCAGTCAAACCGATCGCATTTGATAATATTATTTGTGCTTATATTAACAATTATGCCACATTCCAATTAAAAAAAGTTTCAGTTTAGCGTTCGCCGAATTTCATGAGTTAATTACTTTTATCAATTTTTTGCATTATCTTATGAGTCAAGTGGCGTACATAAACGTAACAAGGCCGAAGTTGATATCAGTCAGCTCTTACACGTCGCAATGGCAGGTGAGTTTCAAGTCTAGATTTTACTAGAACTTACTATTTGTACTAACACTAAAACCAATGGCCAGATGTTCTCTCTATGGTAGTTTAATTACAGTTTACATATTTACTTACTAATCATTATGAAGTTTAATAAATATTCAAGTTTCTGTTGACTTTATACGGATTAACTATGTAAAGTTATTTGCTGTTACATCAATAAGTTGTGCATGGAAATATCCTTCACTTCACGGTTAAAATATGTACGTTGTTGCGTTTACATATAGTTTTCATGTTTTCACAATGACAGTCAGGTGACGTAAAGTGGTTTTGTTAGGTTTACTTATTCTAGAACACATGGTTTATCGTAACATACTTAAATCAAACACTTGATAATTATAAACGTATTGAAGGATGTGTTTATTTAGTTTTCGGTAAAAATACTAGTATCTAACCGAGATTTTTTGTAATTTTATCTTTCGATTTATCCCAAAATCGTACTATTTATTTTCAGTGTTGATAAGACTTCCATAGTTGCTAAATTAAATGGCCAATTTATACCTATTATTCAATTACCAAGGGCTTTAAATATTATTAATTATTAATTCTAGATAACGGAAATCATGCTGATTTCACCTGACATTCTGATTAAAAATATTGATCAAACAAGATTAGTGTTATCGTGGAACTGGTACCTGTTATCGTTATTCGAGGAAAATAAACTGATTAATAATGTTCTGTTTAAGCAACAAAACCTATCTTTATCAATTTTAAACATAATTTCGATAATTTTAATCTAAATACTTTAGCGTGTGCACAGGAAATAATACGAAATAATTTTCCGTACTATAGATCCATACACCAAACGCATTACATAAAAATATTAGATACGATCGGAAAAAGTTTTACATATTACGAACATAGATGTCGCTTTAACAAGTACTATTGTATTTTATATAGATAGATATCCGGGTTATGGTTATGGCTACCCTCCGGGCCCACCCGGCTCTGGATTTCCTCCCATGGGTTTTCCCCAAGGCCCAAATGTCGGGTTCTATCCGCCTTACCCCGGCAATTTCTTTCCCCCACCGCCCGGTGGTGCAGGGTTTGATGTCGCCGTTGTCGATGACGGTCCTACAATGCCCGGAGAAACAGTCGAATTGCCTTACAGTAAGTTTGACGATCATCAGGCTTGTGAGTAGTTCAGGATTGTGTTCGTAAAATGCGACCATTTTGTGAATATCTTCCTGGATGATCACAATTCTGTGAATGTCGTAAGGATTGGGTTCTGGCATTGGCAAGCAATCGTGCCACTTATGCGTTGATTTAACTTATCTAAGTTTTTAAAAGTAGATGCATCGAATATGGTCACGCGTTAAGTTATACGATTGTTAGTTTTGTTCTGCTAATGAAAACTGTAAAGAGACGACACCGTTGCAATTAGTGATGACCACTATATACTCGAAATTGGATTAGATTTAAAAATCAGTTTGTTAAATATAACAATTAACTTAAAATACTGTCAATTATAATCGTTGTTTTGTATAGATTAAACAAAGGTGTCATCTCTTTAGATTTTGTTTTGTTTGCCAATGTTGGGCCAATCCTCTCTATGGTTCCAGTCGATCCTGTCTCTTTCAAAACCTTCAAATTTTACAGAAATGTATATAAAACTGTCAAATAATTGATACTACCATACAGAGTTTTGGCCATTGCTTTTGTGTTGTTACTAAAATAAATTCTTTAGCGCGTAGCAAACGACTTTAAACAAGAAAAAATTATATATCTTTTATATATCTATATACTTTACTCAATATCATAATGTTTTTGTGGAATTGGGCCTATAAGTTGATTCTTTTGTCTGTGAACGAGTTTATCACAATTATCAACATGAATACAAAAAAATTTTTCAGGCACATACCGTTGGGTACCAGCATGTTTGAGCCAGAGAAGCTTGCCCATGGGCGCACTCAGGGTCGGAGTGGACGTTGATGGCGATGCCATTTACGCCGGAAGGGCCCACCACAACGGCGATTTATTGCCAGCCAAGGTCATCCCCTCCAAGAACGTCTGCTACGTCTGTTACTGTGGTGAAGAAATACTTGTTGATCAATTCGAGGTAGGATATACAAAAAGTATCTGCAAAACTAAAGATGTATAGAATTGTAGATTATACCGGTGTCATAATAGGTGTATAAGAAATAATTGAGTAATTGTGCTGCAAAACACACAGGCTGCAGTCAGAAGTTATATCTAGAAGATATTTCTTTTAATTGAGGCGACTCAGTAAGTCGAATCTATATCTATAGCAATATATATAACTGAAGAGTTTGTTTGTTTGTTTGTTTGAACGCGCTAATTTTAGGAAGTACAGGTTCGAATTGAAAATTCTTTTGGTGTTGGTTAGAACATTTATCGAGGAAGGTTATAGATAACACATTGCGATGTGACTAATAGAAGCGAAGATACAGCGGGAAATGTGAACAAAACGAGGGCTATTCTTATCTGTAGGTTTCAGATGCGTACGCTGCAAAAACGGTTCAAGATACCTAAAAATTGTGTACGAAAGAATGATTTCCCTTTAAATGATCTAAAAAAAAGTCCGCGACGCTATATGTCTATCTTTTAAGATTAACTTACAAGAACGACTCGAACGACGGGACGCGTACCACGGGATAATAAATAATTAAAAATTCTATCACAAGTCACTCGGACGAAGTCGCGGGCACAGCTAGTAAATTATAAATCTATTTAGATTCAAGAAAATCTAAATAGATATCATCTACAGCATTTCTTGCTGCTGTTCTAATTAATTGAGCTACCGTGTGCACACACCATCGTTGATTTTGTTTAATAAATGCACCGCTCGCGAAATATGTATTAAACATCGTATGCTTCGCAATGAAATTACAGAGTTTGACGTTTAAAAAACTAATATTTTTACATGTTATTGCACATGATGGTATTAAATACATTTATAATCTATTAAGATTGAAAAAAAAATACGACACTCAACTTTACTGTTGCTCTAACCAATTTAGCCAGATTATTAAATGATTGTTAAAGTTATTATTATTTTCGCTCATTTCTAATTTTATGCTCTCAATCATTTACAGGTCCTAGTTCCCGCCATGTTCTCGTGGCAATTCGCGACTGGTGGGAATGTCCCCCCTGGTGCGGTAGACGCTGGAGTCACAGCAGACGGTGAGAAACTCTACTATGGCCGCGTCACACACGACGGTTGCACTACGCCAGGAAAGGTGAGACATGCTTTTTTTTTACATATTAAGACCCTTAGAAATTTTTACCATTTTTATATGATCCAGGAGTTTAGACAAGCACTACAGGTTCACTTGATGGAGAGTAAAATACCCCAGCCATGTAACATCTAAACCATATGCGCTGTCTACCATTTTTAGCTATGGCTATTCGGAAGTCCAGACTGAAACCCGAAACGCGATTATACTTTATGGATTATTATATACCATCTCGTATGCAAATTTTCAGACGGAGTCCAACATGTTTTAGAAATTAATTAAAAAGCATGTTGGGAGAACTCACGACTCGTTGATTACAACATACACGATACCATATTTTCTTAAGAGGAGCTTCGCTGATCGTCTTCAAATACGTTCTGTCTGTAAAAACACATTTATGTTTCATAAGCTTTAGCTTATACAGCATAATCAAGTGGTGATTGGTATGGAAACTACTGGATATAATAGATTTCATTTTCTCTTGTTCACAGATCCAAGGCAGCCATGGTGTATGCTACTATCCGTTCGACGGTGAAGAGAGAAGCTCACCAGAATACGAAGTCCTAGTTCTATTGTAGATTAGGTCCAACTCAGTCACACATTATTAAATATCGCCATTCATTATACAAGGTATTAGAATATAGAGTATTGTAAAGTATTTATAACAACAGCTTATGGCTTTAGCAGTATTTCCTCAGACATAGTTGTAAGCTTTATTAGACGCTCTTTGTATTTAATATAATGTTTCGTATGCACCGAGTAAGTTTTATTTACCTTCCATTAAAATAATATTCATTCGAATTTGTTTTTGCCTCCTCGTCATCTTTATAAATTTAAGCTGTTACCCGACGTCGGCGCATCCCATCGCTCGCAGCCCGTCGTTAGAGTCCCATCGTTCTTGCAAGTTAAATCTTAAAAGATAGACATATACTGTCGCGGACATTTATTTTAGATCATTTAAAGAAGAATCATTCTACATTACATATTTTTGGGCGTAGGCATCGGAAACGTAAAAAAATAAATGATTTTCGCCGTTTTTTTGACATCCCGCTATTTCTTCGCTCTTATTATTCAAATCAGTTCCATTATTGCGTTCAAACAAACAAAGAAACTTTTCAGCTTTATATCTTAGTATAGATTAAAACATTAAACCTAATGTCAAGAATAACAAGGTAACTTAAAAAAACAATTATCGACCTATCAAAATATTTGTTATTAAGCTAATAGTTGACACAATAAATAACGATACATAAAGATTTTAAAAGTGTTTCATGTAATATTTACTATTCAGAAAACTACAGATGCAACTTAAATCCAAACTCTTTTTGTGACAAAGCAAAGACTGCTATCCTCCACACCAAAATATATAAACAGGCGTCTAATTTTATTTTCATTAGAATTCAAGGCTTCATCTTGTTACTCACTGCATTTCAATACACATTTTGTTTTGAGTTACACGTTTTGTTTACTGAGTAGTATTTTATAAGCAGTGCCGTGGGGATCTGTTATTATACAACTATGATTAAATATATTATTTTGTTAACTTTTGGTGAGTTTTTTCTCATATATTAATGAAGTTTATAACCTCTATTTTGAGGGCGATAAAGAGAAATTATCATTACATTTACCTATAAACTAGATTAGTACTGTAACGTTTACCTAAGTATCTCATTACAAATACTAAACATCGTCTCTTAAAACTTGTGTTAAAGGTTTCTTAAATTTTTAAAGTTTATTATCTTGCCAAGCAAGTAAAGATATCATTAATTATAAGCATGCTTTATTGTATTTAAATACCACTTAGGGCACCTAATTACTTTTATGAGATCTAATTAAGGGTCAAACGTAAACGATGTTTGCGCAGCATTTTATTAAATTTGTACCACTTGCATAAAAGTAGGCTTTATTGAACATTTTTACTGTATTTTAAATACCTCCACATCTTTATGACCTCACAACGTATATACTATAAACCTTACACTTTTACACATTGTTGTTGAAGAGAATAAGAATAATATATGTCCAGTGGCGTAGCTATCGTAGGACCAAGTGGTTCATTAGGGCCCCGGAACTTACGGGCCCTCTAACCTTATCTTTGAGAAGATACAAGCGTAGAAGAAAATGATTTTTTTTAAAGTTCTTATTGCTACTTATTATTTTGGAGGTTCATTTAATTCAAGCTATGCTTAAAGAGGGGATGCGATCCCGATTCTTTCTTGAACCTCCCTTGTCCACCTAGCTACGCTACTGTCACATTAAATATTATTATATTAAAATAATGATTATTTTGTTCAATATAATAGATAGTGGTATGTACTTGCAGTTGCCCAAGCACAAATGGACATAGCCGGCGAATGCGACCTGGCTGGTTTCTACTTGGAGTTGGGTTGCACCCCTGTACCCTCAGCGGACAATTCTACAATTTGCCCCGAAGCGTTTGTTTGTCCAGATTTGCATCCTGACCCTAAGTTATGCTACTACAGGTAATAAATTCACTTAAGACAACATGCTTTAGCATAATATGATATCTGTGTTGGTCGTGGTTTATATTTGAAAAACCGGTTATACAATCAAACCATCCCGTTAATTTTTATCACCCGTTTATCGTTATTCTTAGTAGTAGAGCATAGATAAAAAATAACAAACAAACAATATAGTTTAAAAGTTACGATTCATTTAATGCATATATATACCAATATATAAAGCGGAAGAGTTTGTTTGAGCGCGTTAATCTCAGGAACCGCTGGTTCGCGCTATGACTAATATGGCAAAGAAACATAAATGTTAATGAGGAAAGAAATCGAAAAAAACATAAAAACAAAAATCGGGAAAATTATTCATGATAGTGGATTCCCGATGCCTACACTGCGAAAACGCATATACCCAAAAAATATGTATGAAAGAATGATTCCCATTTCAATGATCTAAAGTCTGCGACGCTATATGTCTATCTTTTAAGATTAACTTGCAATAACGACGGGACGCGACTAACGTAGGTAACAGTTTAAATTGATAGAGATGAAGAGGAGGTTTGCAAAAACAAATTTGGGTACCCAAAACAACTATTCTACGCGGACGAAGTCGGTGACACAGCTATGTCTGTATGTATGTATATAATATTAACGACCACTATTAATAAATATTCGCGGTTGATTTTATTGGTTTGAGAAACATTAATATAGGTTATACGCAATCAATACGATTCGATACATACATCATTATACCTTGTAATTTGCCGTGATAGATAAACGAAGTAAGCGGATAGCTAAGGCAAGGTACCTTGACAATGACCTCATTGATCAAAGAAATGTTTAAGCAACCGAGAAATGATGTTTTATGAAGCTATAAATACAAAAGCAAATACAGTCCGTGCAAAAAACCTTGCGACCTCTTGAGCAATCATTCGGAAATTCCGTTACCTTCGTTTGGATCTCAATTTTTTGCTCATCGTAGTATGAGATGAGAATAAAATACATTCATTTTGTGAAAGCAAAGTATAGCTAATCAGCGGGTCATGGGGTTCGATCCCCACTGGGTCTAACATGTTTGTAATCAATTTATAATTTTTTGAAACGTATATAAAATTCCGTCCGGGTCACAACCACCGTCCACCAGATGAAAAAGCCGTGAAGATGAATCGAGTTTTACTTTTATTCGGTGGATTTTTGAATATCCAAAGCCAAAATAGGTCGCAGAGTAGAACAATCTTGTTTAGATGTTATATAACTTGGATATTTTACCTACCCTCATAAGAAAGTTTGTGTAACCACGTATTGCGTTCAATAGTCTTTTTCATACCCAAAACGAATTCTCATAAATGTGTAATCGTATTCTAATATGATCGTAATTTTAGGGGCAAACCCTACGAAGATCGATCAACGATACCTCAAAGGCTCATCAACAACCCCTGCTCTCAAGCATGCAGTTGCAGCATATCTGGAGAGCCCCAATTCGATTGCGCAGCAGTCGACTGCGTAGAAATCTTCGATGTCGATATAAAGCAGCAATGTATAAACACGTACGAATTAGATTCCTGTTGTAGTACGGGAACTGTTTGTGGTAAGTCCAATAGAGATCCGTTTACTACTAGAAAAGGAAGTCGAATTTATTTATTCGTAAATAAAAATGAATGGAATAAGATATTAAACGACACGCCTACGCTCTTTATTTAAAGAGCGTAGATATTGAATTTATTGACGGCGATAAGCAATAAAAATAATGCTTACGGAATTATAAGTAGTACGAAGCGGAAACTAAACATCACGAGCTATTGTTTCATTTATTTCCTCTCCTGTCGAATACTAAAAATTCTTATAATCAATTTGACTGTCATTTAGTAAAATATATTTACTTAACGACAATGTTTTTACACAGGTAAAGATGAAATCGCCAAACTAAAGACTTGTGAAGTCGACGGTCAAACGTATTTAGAGGGCCAAGCGTTTGAACCGAAAAATACGAGAAAAAACTGTATTTGCACGGCGCAGTGGAACGGCTCTACAGAAGACCCGTCCTACTGTAGAGATATAAACTGTGGTCTTGAGATACACTACCAGGACAAAATTTTCGATAACTGTGCCCCCGTTTTCGCGGGCAACATGAAGAGTTGCCCCATTGCTTTTCAATGTCGTAAGTATTTTAAAAAAAAAAATTAAAAGACTCTGACAAAAAAAAAAAAAAAAAAAAAAAAAAAAAAAAAAAAAAAAAAAAAAAAAAAAAAAAAAAAAAAAAAAAAAAAAAAAAAAAAAAAAAAAAAAAAAAAAAAAATAAAAATTTTTTTTTTTTTTTTTTTTTTGGGGTTGGGTTTTTTGGTTGGGGGGGGGGGGGGGGGGGGGGGGGGGGGGAAAAAAAAAAAAAAAAAAAAAAAACAAGGGAGGGGGGGGGGTTTTTTTAAAAGGAGGGGGGGGGGGGGAAAAAAAAAAAAAAAACACAAAATTAAAAAGGGGGGGGGGGGGGGAAAAAAAAAAAAACCCGGGGGCCCCCTAAAAAAAAAAAGAAACAAAAAAAAAAGCATACCGACAAACGCGAAGACACCGTTATAAATTTAAATAGTAAATTTTATTTGGAAAAGGTTATTACGGTTTCCGTTCAGGCTTTAACTTTTGCTATTTTTGTGAAATTTATTATAAACAGTGGTTTACTTCTTTTAGCCTCATCAACATCAAAAGTCGTCCGAGGTTTGAATTTGCGCAGCGTCAATTCTCAATGTTCCTTCGGAAATGTCACGTTATCTGTAGGAGATGAAGTAACAGTTGACGAGAAGTGTACGACATGCGCATGCGACGTACCGCCCTTTGTATCTTGCTCCAGAAGGAATAGCTGCGATTGAACTCAACATTTATTATTAGAAAAAAGGAAGGCTTGTAATATTATTAAAGTTTAATGACTATTTATTGTTATTACAATATATTTAAATTCTTATGAGTTAGGAAAAGGTACTTAAAATATATAATTTTATGATAATGGCTACTTAAAGTAATAAATTCAGACATTTACAATTATGTACACAGCCTACAATAATTGGACCTTTGTAAGATAAATTAAACATAATGTTGTTACGATTATTTACACTTTTTTTATACTTAAAAATAAATTAACATTTCTATATACTTATTAAGACTGAGATACTTTAAAATAGGAAACACTTAATCTTCATATCGAATCTAATAATATTAAAATAAAAGATTACATTAACCTACTTTATTAATCATATTAAATGCTAACTGGTATTCTAACTTATTTGAGTACTTGAACAATGTAAAAAACACCGATGGTACTGTAGTAAAAAGTATACTTACTGTAGCTTTCATAATAACCATAAATTCGTTACGATAATGTGCTAGAAACCTCTAGAATTTTTAATTAAAGACTCTGTATACTTCGTTTACTTCCAAGCTATGTTGAAGGTTGAAATCGAAATAAAACATAATCTTCGTTAAGTGAAGCAAGCTAATCCAAGTTCAATTCTGAACATTTGGTTCTGACGTCCAACATCACGTATAGCTACATCCAGCAAAGGCAGCCGATTCGATTTGTCCGTTTCAAATTGCACTATGGTCTTCGCCCACTTTTGTTGCTTGTGCTGTTTAACAAAAAACATTATAAATTATTGATCTTGGAGTCGACACTGAACCCACAATCCATACGTGTAGGTTTTCCTATTATGTGTGTCATATCTTTAGATTTTTAATTTAAAACATTACTACATTACTTATGTTAAAAAAATCCGCTTTTCGTTTGATAAACGTGTGCTTATACATATAAGTTTCAGTGCAGCAGAGATTGAAATACTAAAAAAGTCACACGTGATGCCTAAATTTATAGATAGAATAGAACCTTTTAGTTTAAGAAGATTATTTCTAAGTTTTTTACAGGACGTTCATAAAAGCGTTTGTAGAATTGTAGAGGCACAATTAATTTTGAAACACACCTGACACTCATCCAACAGCGCTTTGTACCGCAGTCGGTTATTGGCTTTTGGCAATATTTCGGCATCGTTGAAAGCCAGTAGCTTCAAACCATGTCTGTAATTCTTTGAAGCTGGATCGTAGTAACCGATAGTGTTCCGGCAGTGCAGCGTCACATTTTGTACAGCATGTAAGGATAGCAGTTGGAGGTAGGTGAGCTGACTGTTATCCGCTTTGTAGGAAATCTTTGAGAACATAAAGCATTTTTGCTAGTACCAAAACAATTTTGTTAATTGCAAATTTAAAAACCAGAAACATTTTTATTTTATGCTGCTGGATCATTCGCAGATATTGTTGAATATAAATAAGTGTATGAAACATATTTACGCTATGGTAAAATTTTGTTTAACTCACTGTGAATCCGTCTTCCATTTCACTCAACCAAGCTTCATTCTTGCCATGATAAGATATGTCCTTAGACTGCATGGGTTTTGGATACACGCAGCTGGAACCACTTGCCATGTCACAGTAAACAAGAATAGCGTCATTTATATCTCCACCGTTTGGATCTATCCAATACTGACCTATAAAGCAGAATAGCGTTACACGTATGCATATACATAGATAATGTTTAATTTAACACCATAAGGTCCTATGTCTGCCTAATAACCTCCATCTATGAACAAAAGTGATATAATAGAGAAAAGATTTGAGAAATTCAATAATTTTAATATTGCCTTACCACTAGTAAATTCTGGATGGTGGTACTTGATATCACTGCAAGTTTTAGCTGGTGCTTCTTTAGTTCCATCTGGTTTCAAAAACTTGTCTAATGAAACTTTGAAGCGTTCGTAAGCCTTCATAACGATTTCCTTTCTCTCAGACATTGGCATATCTTCTTTGAAAAATCTGGGTGGTATATTTGGATCGTCACCGAGAGGATCTGGTCCTTTCATTGAACCTAAAACAAATGTAATGACAACTGAGAGATTCATAAATATGCTATACGTTACAACATCACACTAATTAAACACTATTTTTCCTTTGCCTGCAAGTTATACCTAAAACTATAACATTCATTTAATGTATTGTTCATATTAAGGTTAAACTCCTTTTTTTAAACAAATAAATCTGTTTACCTTGTTGCAGCATAGCAGCAATGGCAGCTGCGTCATACGCTAATCCTTCACCTGGAGAACCCGGAGGACCAGGAGGTCCTGCGGGCCCTGGGCTTCCATGTCGGCCTGGCTCGCCAGGTGGCCCGCGACCACCAGATGGACCAGGTGGACCTTGCGGCCCAGTACTACCATCACGACCAGGTAGACCTAGAAAATATTAAATTCTTATATGATTATATGCTTTCTAATAATACAAAATATCGGCCATACGGCTTTATTCATCATAGTCAAAACATATTAATCATAATAAATATAACGTTCAATTTACCTCTTGGTCCGGAATCCCCATCTTTTCCTGGAGCGCCCATAGAACCCGGTAGTCCTCTTTCTCCTGGTCTGCCCGGAGTTCCTACAAGTCCCGGTAAGCCAGGTAAACCGGCATGACCTTTGGCACCATCTGAGCCTGCTTCGCCTCGTTCACCTTTTGCCCCATCCAGCCCAGGTATTCCCTGTTTACCAACAGGGCCTTGGGGACCATCTATTCCAGCAGGACCTGGCTCTCCTCTGAGGCCTCGCTCTCCACTTGGACCAGGTGGACCTCCAGGCCCGGTTGGGCCCTAAAATCCATTATCATCTTTTCAGAATAATGTAATGATGCCTTATAATAACATGGTTGGATTATGGTAATATCTATGGAAGGTATAGATCATTAAAAAGTACGTTTTTCGGCCTTACGATTTTTTTATCAGGTATATAATCTGATGAGAGTTTAACATTTGACGCATATGTTTATAAAAACAAAACTTCCGTTAGCTTAGCATATTCATGTCATGTGATAGAAGTGATAAAACCAATCGGCTCTTAATGTACACTTACTGTACTTAAATTAAGAGCGTAAAGTATGAAAACAAACAGACTTAACGAGGACGACACAACACTAGTGCGACGAGAGAAATGTGCGCGCCCCCGCACTAGGTCGGGAACTGTCAAATACGAACGTTAGTGCGCATTTTGTCGGCTAAGCCTAATTTTGGCTAAAAAATGAATATTTTCGAATGTAACATTGTGTTTCCGTCTTAATAGTACTATTTCACATAAAAGATGAAAAGTAAATTAAATATACTTAATTTTAAATTCATTCACCTGAATTCCGGGTGGTCCGCTGGGACCAGATTGTCCAGGCTGTCCCATTGGACCTTTGTCTCCAGGACGGCCGGGTATTCCTGGCTGTCCTAGTTTACCAGGTCGTCCTTCTGGTCCAGGTTCTCCCATTGGTCCAGGTTGTCCTTGAGGACCAGGAACGCCTGTAGGTCCGGGTGCACCGTCAAGACCCGGCTTTCCTGGCGAACCACTTTCTCCCTAACAACCGTTAAACCGTACATTATACGCCATTGTATTGTTTTACAAGTATTATTGATAATACTATATAGAAAATCTATACCTGTACACCTCGTAACCCTTGAGGTCCTGGTGGCCCTGTTAAACCCGGCAGGCCAGTTGGTCCTCTTTCTCCACTAGAACCCGGTGGGCCTACCGGACCTGGCAAACCTTGTTCCCCTTCACTACCTCTTTCACCTTTTGGTCCGTCCGGGCCTTGAGGTCCAGTAAGACCAATAGCACCCGGGGACCCTGTTCTGCCAGCCTCACCCGATGATCCCTTTGCTCCTGGGATTCCTGGAATTCCTGCCGGGCCAGCACTACCTTGTGGACCCTGAATTTGTTACAAATAACTTTAATTAATTAAAACGTTGATTATAAGGAATAAGTAACTATGAAGACAAAAATGATTAATTACAATATTTAACACTAAAATATATAACATACAGGAGGTCCTAAATCACCAGGTCTTCCGGGAAGACCAGCACGACCGATATCTCCTTTTAATCCTGTATCTCCTCGTGCGCCTTTAGCGCCCGCCTGTCCAGGTTGCCCTCTTTGGCCAGGTTCTCCATTTATACCTGAGACATTTTTTGTTAGAAAATGTACATTTATTATAGAAATAAATATTTTTATACAACCAAAAATATTATTAAGTTAAAAAGAAAAATCGTATAATATAGTGTATACTGACCTCGATTTCCTGGCGATCCTTGCTGCCCTTTTGCGCCAGCATAACCTCTATCCCCTTTCAAGCCTGGCATACCGGTCAAACCAGGTGGCCCTGCTAAACCTGGAATTCCTTGCATTCCTGGCTGACCTCTTTCTCCAGTGGAACCTGTAGCACCTGGTTCACCTGAAACTCCAGGAGCTCCTGGTTCTCCTCTTTCAGCTGGTTCTCCGGGTGGCCCAGATGGGCCGATAGGTCCTTGAGGTCCTTGTTCTCCTTGACGTCCTTCAAATTACGAAAGTTTCAACAAATCAAATGTCTATTGTTTCAATGTCAAAAATATAATTTTAAAATTATTTAGCATCTCACCAGGTGGGCCTTCAATCCCTTGGGGGCCAAGTGATCCTCTTTCGCCTTTTTCGCCTGCTAGACCTGTCAAGCCTCGAGGTCCCGGTAAACCCATAAGTCCCATTGGACCTTGATGGCCCTTACTACCTTGTGGCCCTTCCGGTCCCTAAAGCAACAAATAAAAGTAACATCACAATATTATTTTTAACATTACCATTACCGAAATTATAGAGACCCAGGAAATTCAAATTTACCGGTAAACCGTCTAATCCCTGTGTTCCGCTTTCTCCTTTTTCTCCCGGTATTCCAGGTATTCCTGCTTGACCCCGTTCACCCGGGAACCCTCTTTCACCACGTGGGCCAACTTGTCCAGTTTGACCAACAGGGCCCGCTGGACCGGGTTCACCATCTTTTCCTGGTGTTCCAGGAAGTCCAGCTGATCCTGGCATACCCTAAAAATAAAATAACTTAAAATAAAATGGTAAATGTGGTTTATATGTCTTCATCAAACACACTTACCGGAAATCCTGTAGGACCTGTAGGCCCTGCAAGTCCACGTTCACCAGAAGGACCAATTGCTCCTGGTAATCCTTGTATACCTGGGTTTCCGTCTCGTCCCGCATCTCCTTTTGGTCCTTGAGGTCCAGTTAGACCAATTTCACCGTCTTTACCGGGTGGACCCTATACGTAAACAAGTATATAAGTAAACAAGTGCAACAAACTAAGTATATCTATTATAGTATAGTATATTAGCATGTTTTCATATTAGAGAGATATTTATATAGCAAGTTATATTTGAAAACTTGAAAATATTTCATCATGTCAATGCAGATGATCAATCATGATTGCACCAATTGGTTAGAGTAATCACACGGAATGCAGCAGATGCCTGTTCAAGTCCTCACTTGTCGTAATTTTGATCATTGAAAATCGATTCATAAACTTTGCTAGTTAAAGGCATTGTTTTAATAAAAACTTACTTTGCTTACCTGCAAACCTCTTTCTCCTGGACTGCCTATTAACCCTGGAGGTCCTTGCAACCCTTGAGATCCTTGTTCACCGGGCCGGCCATCGGCTCCAGGTATGCCTCTTTCTCCAGGAGGCCCAGATTTTCCAGTAATACCAGGTCTACCGATTACCCCTCGTTGCCCTGCTAGACCTTGTGGTCCAGGTCTTCCAGGATCTCCAATACTTCCTTTTAATCCCGGCAATCCTACACTTCCTCGTTCCCCAGGCTGTCCTTTTACACCCATAGGTCCATCAGAGCCAGGTAAACCCCTCATACCTTGAAGTCCTCTTTCTCCTTGCGGTCCAGTATTCCCAGCTGGTCCCCTTAAGCCTCGTTTGCCACGCTTTCCTTCAGGTCCAACTACTCCAGGTAAACCTCTTGGGCCTGGTGCGCCTGCCTCACCTCTTATGCCCATCTCACCCTTAAGACCTCTATCTCCAGGTTGGCCCTAGTAAAATATTATGATCTTAAGAAATGAATCGAAACTAAATGATATAACGTTTAACTTACAGGCATTCCTTTTGAACCCGGTATTCCAGGATCGCCAGCTACACCAGGGATTCCTCTAGGACCTGGAAATCCTTGCGGTCCTGTTGCCCCAGCTTGTCCTTGAACTCCCTTTTCTCCAGGGATTCCGTCTCTGCCTGCAAGACCCGGTGGGCCTCCTTCGCCGGGCTGACCTGGTCTTCCAGGTTCACCTCTTGGTCCTTGAATTCCTTGGCTTCCTTTGGGCCCCTGTATACCGCTTTCACCTTTTATTCCGGGTGATCCTGGAAATCCTGGCGATCCCGGTTTTCCAATATTTCCCTGGATAATATTATAACTATTAAGATTTTGTTCTTGGAGCTTAAGTTTAACGTGTTTTGATACATTTTAATATTCATTTACAAAAAAAAATTAACAATTTTTTTTTGTGCAATAAAGTGTAAATAAATAAAATCTTTTACAACTCAACATTATAGCTCATAAATGGCGGCGCACGCAGCTGCCCTACATGTCTCAACACAAAGCAGTATTCGATTGGTTAATAATTTCTTAGCGGAAAGCAGTGCAAATAATGAATTAGATGTAAAATTAGGGTCATTTAAAGCAAATTGTTCGTATTTTTAGATTAAATTTCTTAATTCATTTCTCATACTGCAAGTTTTGGATTTTGCTTTCAATGTACAAATAAATTAATAAAAGTTCATATAAATTAAACACTTTTCTACTTACGATCATGCCAGGTGGACCAGGAGCACCATCAACTCCTCGCATACCAGGCGTTCCAGGTGAACCCTCACGACCACGCTCGCCCCGCGGACCCGTTGGTCCCTAAAAATATTACGACGCATACATTTAGACAGTTTACGTACAAAAAGTTACAAAACTATTAAAGTTTATAAATTACATCACATGAGCTGACCATGAAAAGGTACTGGGTAGTAAAGGTAAAAGGATTTAACTTGTGCTCCGACATCAAGGTTGTCCTTATTATAATAGAAGCCTTAAAAATACCGCTACCGAAATATACACTAGAAATAACTGTAATAGAAAATTTTAGTGGCTGTGCCATTCAGATCGCACTGTGCATATATAATTTAATAACTTACTATAGGCCCAGGAGGTCCCATTTGACCTGGTAAGCCAGTAGGCCCCTTTTCGCCAGCAACTCCTTGATCTCCTTTTACGCCGTCTTTTCCGTCGAAGCCCCTATGTCCTTTTAAGCCCTGAATTCCGGGAACTCCAGGCGATCCTCTTGAACCAGGTTGGCCTGCAGTACCAGGTGGTCCAGGTTCCCCATCTTCTCCTGGTGTACCCTAAAAAATGCAAAATTGTATAATAACTTTCTAATTAGTCAAGAGTTATCTTATTATGCATTGTGTACGTTACATCTTTTCCGGTCAGACCAATCGGTCCTCTTTCTCCAGGTGGTCCATGTGGTCCAGGGAGACCGGGTTCACCAGGTTCTCCCCGTGGTCCTTGAAATCCTTGCGGCCCGGGCGGGCCTTGTGGCCCTGCAAAGAAGTTGGTTAAATATATAATATCTCTCCTATGCGTTGTTCTAGTATATCCATTTGTTTATTTTATGTAAGTTCTCTAATGCAAGGAAACTGTGTAGTAGAACAAACTAAATTTGGTACGATCCCTCAAGAAAAATGTTAACATAGTACAATTAAAATAATACAAGCGCTTACAGCTACGTTGAGCCTATTTGTTACAGAATGAAAATAAACTATTATGAAGGATGGGGTTATTTTAACCTTGTATTCCTCTTATCCCAGGTGCACCAACAGAAGCCTGCATATAGTGATAAGGATCAAATGGAGGTCCTTTATCTCCTGCTCCAGCGGACGCCGCTAACTGAGCTAAGTATGCGTTTACCTGAAATAAAATTTTATGAATGTAACTTGTGTTAAATATGTAGGATTCTAAATATAAAGCATTAAAAAAAGTAAGTAATGGTGAAAATATACGTAAAATATTTTTAATAAAAATACCAATTATGTCATTGAATAGTATAAAAGCAATGATTATATGAAATGTATATAAACAAAAATAATGCTCATTAGTAAAGCTTTTAATATTCATACTTACATCCGGCATAGGTCCGATTGGCCCCGGTATCCCTGGTGCACCTGGGATCCCACTAACACCGGGGGAGCCCGGAGGCCCAGGAGGTCCTCCATCACCTGGTACGCCGGGTATTCCACGAACTGTTACCGATGGTTGAGGAGAAGTTAATAAAGGTGTCCGACTAGTACTGGGAGCTGAAAAGTATATACATATATTGTTATTTACACTTGAAAAAATACCAAGCGCTGAAGTGTTGTATGCAATAGAACATAAAAAATAGAAAGTAGAAGTAATCACAATAAAAAAAAAACAACTATGAATCATAAAGACAAACACAAATGTAATGAAGTAGACACTCTTTATGATTTTGATTATCTTGGTTATTTGCTCACTCTGATGGGATGGATGTTTGCTTTTGTATTTAAATTGTAAATGTCAGTACCTGATAGGCAAGATGGCAATACAGAGCAATTGACGCGTCCCCCGAAACATTGGCACAGTGTACAGTTATCTCTTTTCCAGGTGTCGCTATCGGACCAAGTTCTGCCTATATCTATACATTTCACGGCAGGAGCTAAAAAAAATAAAAATAACCATAAATGAGTTATTATATTGTTACAGCATTTTAATAATAATTATTGGAATCAGTTGACTATAGTCAAAACTCACTTTAATCATTAATGGTAAGCATATCGCTTTTGCTAAAATTAATTTAAAGCACAAAAAACATTTAAAAAATAAATATTAAGTGTGGGATAGAATAGGTAGAACCGCACTACAATACATTTAGAAAATGTTTTCCAAACCATTATAGAACTTTGTTCGCTGTAATCAAATTAAAGAAACAAAACGGGGTGGCTGAAAGAGGAACTGCGAAAAAGCTAAATAGATATGAATTTACATGCTATTGATTTTTAGACGAGAAATAATCACCTCTATTTATTTGCTGTAAAGGTGGTCTTCTAAGTCCACGCTGATCTATGAATGAAAGTGTTAATTGTCAATGAGAATGAATGATTCTTTTATATATTCGTAGATACTTATGAATGACTATATTTTGCTGTTTGAGGTTAAGGGCAAAAAGTATCAAACTTACCTACGGAGGTACCCCGGAAGTCTCGCTCAGCAATAACTGCTGTAAATAAACAAAAATTACAAAATTAAACGTGATCTTACATTTCAAACCGTTCTAAATTTAAATTCCACTATAAATGAAAATTACTGTTACCGTTTTCATCTTCCCCGAAGGGGTTATAGTCGTCGTAGTTTATAAGATCAGGCTCCTGCGCTTGGGGCAGTTCAACGTCATCCCTTCCATCGGCCAGCTCCTTGCTGATCGTTGGCACGATCAACAGGATCAGGCAACTGACTGTCACCCGCCACATTCTGTTACATACAAGAGATAGGTAGAGAAATCAACATATAATTTGGTAAGTTTTACAAATTCAACACCGTCTGTGGTTTACGCGAGTAGTACATTTAACGGTTTGAAACGCTAAATGTTAAACTTATTTTTTAAGACTTTTGCCTCCCCGTAACCACAGTTGCTATAAAGCATCCGAAACTTCAGATATTTCGCGTTCTAAACCGTTAAAGTATTTTATTTATATATCAATTCATCTTTTCTTTTCTTTTTATTCTTATGCTAGCTCGATTAGACTAGCAGTTCTACTTTCTGATATAAATACATTTATCTCTTATAAACGAAGAAGTGTTTCACAATTCACAATCACATAAACATATTTTGATTCTAATATTAAACTAAGTATACGTTTATACTTTAAATAGGGCATCAGAATCAAGATCGCATCGTTCTATATTTCCCTTCTAATCGACAATGGCCGTTCTATGAATATGGCCCACTAACCTTTCTCAGAGACATAACGACCATCCGTTTCCATCTAGATGACAGTTTGATAATTGGCGCCTATCGTAATTAATTTTGAGACACTTCGGCGAGCTAGTAATTGAGTTGATGGGGTTATTGCCATTTTTTACACTCTCTTCATATGCTTGACTGTACTTAAGTGCTATGCTATATAATGCGATTTAGTCACAGTTATGTTACTATATCAAATAACTTACTAGAAACCAGTTGCTGGTTGCTACATACGATTCTGGCAACCAGAGCTGCCACTGGTGTTATGTACTTAAAAGGGTTTCCAGATCAAAACTAGATTGATGTAAAAAGATGTAAAAATGAATGTAAACATTACATACAGAAATAGATGATGTAGAGAAAATAAAAAGTATGGATTACCGACTCAACAACTGATTTATTACTTTATATAATATTATCCACATTTATTCCAACATAAGATTGGGGCCTAGCCATTAACCGTAAATTTATTCAAATAATATAAAATGAGCTGTAAGCATCATTGTATACACAATATGTGGGTAGGTCGCAAACTTCAGAACCCTGACTACCTTCCGTAGTCTATGTTATTCGAGCACATGCTCATTTTTTTTGGAATATTTAAAAAAAAGAAGTTTTTTAAATTAAATACAACCAAAATAAATGATATATTTATTTGAAAGTAGTCTTTACACTATAGCTCCACTGAAAACATATTCTGTATTATACAGAAATGTATCACTTTCAACTTAAAAATAGAATTAGAAAGTGCGAAAATATACTCCTACCTTGAAAAGCGAAGTCTTGGGGATGCGCGCCCGCGCCGCGTGGAATAGGAGCCTGGGCGGTGGGATAGCAAATAAATATGCGTGAACACATGACCTACACGTTACGCATTCGGGAATGCAGGGTTTGACAACCTTTGCAACAAGTGGGCAATTTCAATATAGTGACTTCTCTCTATGAAAACTCAGTACATACTTAATATTTAAATAAAACACTTTAACGGTTTAAAACGCGTTATATTAGTTAAAACTGATGCTTTGCTGAAGCATCCGATACGTCGGGCCGAAGTTAAAAATCATTTTCAAATAAGTTTAACTAATATATCGCGTTTTAAACCGTTAAAGTGTTTTATTTAAATGTGTACTACTCGCGTAAACTATAGACAGTATACTTAATATTGTATGACCTAGGAATACAAGTTTTGGTTTTAAAGCATACATATGTGTCTTCTATCAGCAAGACTAATTTTGTTACCAATTGCAGTAAACATAAGATTTTTTTCCTAAAAAGCAGTTACGACTCTAAATCACGTTAGCAAATAAAAAAAGCTCATAAATAGATAAGCATTTTATTATACGAAATATTCCTATTTATTTGCAGTACCCACATCTATCAGGAGGGTAGAGTGAAAATCTACACTCACGATACGTAAATAAATAGTTGACAAACCCTTACATTCCAAATCTAGGCCGCGAACTATGTATTTGTGTGTAGCGCTAAACAATAGTTGCGATCATAGCGTACCAATTCTTAGAGCAAACTTTTTAATTTACGGGTCAACATAACACGCGCCTCCCTATTAGAGACGCATAGATCAATGAAGGTACAGATTAAACATGAAATAATATAATTTTGCAAATCATTGCTCAGGTGACTACTTAGTGTTAATACTAATTGGTTCTACCAAGTGGAAGAGACAAGTATAAGATTAGCTTGTCTAGTTATTAAAACTAACACAGAAAGTGCAGGCCAGCCCAAGCTCTTTTATTCGTATTTTCAACATATTAGTCGCAAATATAATAATACTTTTCTTTGCAAGTATGAAAAGCGTGACGTATATACTCTCCATGGCTCGCCACTACGTATATGTCAGCCGCAACCCAGAGGTTTTCAGCATCCATCATTATGAAAACACACACAGAATATTGTTTTGTTTATTTTCGCACGAATGCCATTAAGGATACGAGTGAGCGCTAATACTTATAGCCAACTTCATTAAAACAATACCTACCCATATTAAATCTTAAATTATAGTTCAATATTCTAAATTAATATTAGGATACATTTTATATAACTCCAAATGAATGTATTTTACGAATTACATTTTTAATTTATAAATAAGTTTCATTTTCTTACAAGGTTAGTAAAACTGACAAGAGATGACGCCACTGGTTGGATTTAATTAAATTAATTTTTGTATATTTCATAAAACAATTTATTTAGAGTTGTAATTAGTAGAAATCTAATTGTCATTTAAACATTTTAAAACATATAAATAAATTACGTATCAAATGTTTAAAAAATAATCAATACAATTAGATTGAATTTATATAATGGCCATTAGGTTATTCAAACACATATATGTATATGTAATTATTGGATACTTTTTTTTTATTACTATACTTATTGGTGTACATATACGAGTATATGTTTTAGTTAACTAGCAAAAATTATCAACTTTTAGTAACTTATATTATTAAAATCGGCATCTCTAGTGTTTATTAAGCTGACCTAAAACATTAGTTCGGCATCTTGATTGAGAGAAATGTCTTTGTACAGATGTGATTCAATTGTCATATTTTATGAATACCTAAGTAGGAGAAACAGGCCATTAATAAAAAAACATTGAATAAATATATATTATGGCAGTTAAGTAAAAGCTCTACGAATCATATACGACGTCGACGATCCATAGTCTCTAGCCGTTTGAAACACTAGAATATGCCATTATTTATTTTAGCTTAGTTATTTTGGGCCTCCGATATTGTTTTCGCAAACAGTTACCTACTTCATCGGACGCGTCCCATCACTCGCGACCCGTCGTTCGGTTCCCGTCGTTCTTGCGAGATCATCTTACGAGATAGACATATACTGTCGCAGACATTTTTTTGATACTTGAAAGAAGAATCATTCTCTCATACATATATTTTGTGTATCTTAAACCATTTTCGCAGCGTACGCATCGGAAACCTACAAAGATGAATGAATAATTTACCCCGTTTTTACCGCATTTTTCGCTATTTCTTCGTTTCTATTAGTCACAGCGCACGTTCCTAGTAGTAGTAGTAGTAGTAGTAGCCTTCCAGGATAATTGCTCTAACCAACAAAACAATATTTTTTCAATTCAAACCGAAGGAGATTATCGCGTTTAAACAAACAAACAAACTCTTCAGCTTTATATACATACTAGTATAGATTTACTGATATAAAGTATATAGAAAAATACCAAACAAAATATTCCTGTATTCGTATAAAATTAAAACGTTATATTACGAAACTAAATGACCAATAAACATTTTGATTACAGATTATAAGTAGAAAACAGAGTCCGTTTTATCTTCAGAATGTAAAGGTGAAGTACTGTTTATATACAAAACTAACCCCTTAGCGCTTATTTTACGGGTAAGTTACTTGTGACCTTGATTAAAGAAACTAATTTGAATTAAATTATTTGAATGAAAATACTACATAATAACTCCTCTATAATCATTTGTAAAAAATACTCGTAGAAACTTTTAACAGTTAACAAATTGCAACATGATTTCTAGTTTAAATAAAACACTTTAACGGTTTAAAACGCGATATATATTAGCTGAGCTTATTTGAAAATGATTTTAACTACGGCCCAACGTTTCGGATATATCGCGTTTTAAACTGTTAAATTGTTTAATTAAATGTGTACTACTGTCGTAAACTACAGACAAATAAAGTACGCAGCTTAAAAGCCTTAAGAATATGTGCTCTGTTTGTAATTTAAATACAATAATTAGTTTATTTTTACAAAAGGTAATATTGTGAAATATGTGATAATGATGTGACAGTAACCCAAATAGCCGTCCTTCGAAGGGCACATGCCTCCGATTGTAAGAGGACCAATTTAAATGATTCCGAACGTTGATTGATATGCATGAGATCATTGCCGCTTCCAGCTAATTTTATTTCAGTTAACGGGCGTTCGCATTTATATAACAATGCAGCAGTAGTAAGTAGTGACAATTATGAATAACTCACCATAGAAAACATCGAAATTTCAATGAGTCATTAAATGATATTAAAATGCAAGAATGTGTGGTATTATTCTATAGATTTTTGAAGGCATACATGAGGTTTTGTTTGGGCCTTCTTTATGTCTTCCTACTGGTCCCTTTTTATAAATAAACATAGGCCAGTAATATCAAAACAAAACGTTACGAGGGATCTTCGATTCGACCGTAGGTTTTAGATAAAATGGATTAAGGACAAGAAAATATATTATATATAATCACCTGGTTGCATTAAAATAAAATGAGCCACAGCCTTTTTTGTATTAGGAAAAATTCTTTGCAATACTGTACATAAATTCAAGTGTACATCAAAACACTGTCGAAATATGAAAACGTTACGCGCTGGAATATAAATTCGCACTGAATAAGGATTAAACTAAACAATCGCTAAAGAACCACCTGTTTTGAATTACTAAATAGCTCAGACACGTGTCCTAAATATCGATTTTTAAAAGTGTAATAACAATGTCACAAAACACCTGCCAAACATTTCTAAATTATAAATTTCTCTTCACTCATAAAAACATACATACAAATATTGTAAAACTTATTGCAAGATAAAATATAGTTTAATTTATTATTATTTTATTAAAGTATATAAAGGGCTATACCTATATATATAGCCCTTCGCTTCAGCCATGTAAAGCGAATATAGTACGTACTTACTACATACACGTTATTATAAAAAAAAATAGTCTCTTAACGTAATTTTTTGTCCGACTTATATTATAATGCTGTGTATTTATTAAATCACTAAAGCAAAGTATGGATAATTTTTCAAATTACCTATCTCTTATTTTTGGCTACTTAAATACTTCAACAGTTTTTATATAACGAAAGGTTCTAGTTCAAAATCATTGATTAGAAACTCAAAGGAAGACACTTAAAATTGTTTAAAAAGGAAAACAATGAGGAAATAAAACTGGATATAAAATTGTACACGTTAGACAATAGCATCCCCTTTTACGATTAGTTAACGCGCGAAAGCCTCGCAGGCTGTACACATCATTCGTTATTAAAAAGCGAAGTTAATTCAGTAAACATGTATGGAATGCTACTTGAAAGTGTTCAGCACTTTATAGTGGTGAGTTTAACGATATTAATAAGTGTCTAATAAATATATATTCTTACAAAATATTATTTTGTTGCATCAAAGAATAAAAAAAGCGAGATATTTTATTTTTTTATTAAGCATAATTATAGGCTAATTCATAGAATCTTATTTATTTTTAATTGAAGGGGATAATAAACATTTATTATATGTACATTAGCTATTAAAGTACTAAATGTAACTTAAGCCAATACTAATTAATTTAAACAATTTAATATTCTTGCTTTATCGCATAAAGCGTTGGTTTTAATAAAAGAACTTCAGTATAAAGCCTAGATACAGATAATAAAAATGTGTTAATAGAAACTTAGATAAAAAATATTCTTATTCATATAGAACGTATAAGTTTATAACACGTATTATTGAGATTTGGACTCCCATTAGGGCAAATTGAATGGGCCAAGAAAACAATAGCAATAGGGAACTAATTCGCAATTGGACGATTGTCTTGTATGATGAACTTGGGCTTGACATTGGTGTATACATCGCGAAGGTCAATATTTTGGATGTCACGTACAGGTATTTAACGAAAATAAATTGACTTGGTACATGACATGAACACCTCTCGCGGGGTTGAAAATATTTTATGATTAACGCTCACGTGAGTATAATGGACACGAAAAGGATTTCGAAAAAAAAAATTAAAATTATTCCGACAAAAATTACTTCTAAACAGAAACTCATATCTATAGGTTTAATCCTATTCAATTTTGACAATTATTTTAGGAAGAATGTGGAGAAGAGATATGGGAGACTATTCTTCGGGAGGCTGGCGCAAGAAATACCGTTTTTATGACTAGACAGGTAACTCGATACAACCGATTTATTTACAATATAACTCGATGCATACTTGCATACGCAGATTACGAGAGTAGAAATAAAACTATTCTAAACGAAAATAATCAAATTTGTACAATTGTTCTCATTTTTAATACTTTAATTACAGCAATACCCGGATGCACTCATGTTGCGCCTAGCCTGTGCGTTGTCTCGTTTAGTAAATCAAGATCCAAACAGTCCGACGTCGTCCGCTCCAGCTAGTCCGCCTCCGCGCAAACTCTCGCTAAAATCTAAGCCCGCTTGGAGAAGTGCATCAGTTCACACAGATAATCGATGCCAATCATTCAAGTGTCCCTTTTCAGCTACAAATGCCTTAACAGCTGTCACCAAGAAAGAAATAGAAGCTTACAATTCAGCAGAGGAGATTAAATCACCAACACAAAGCACAATATCAACAGAAAAGATTTGTGAATTAGAGGAACTAAATGTTACACCTACCCGTATGAATGTCAGAGATAGGAGAAGTCTGGGTGTACATTTAGAAAAGTTTAAAAGTGATGTGGAAGGTGAATCAATGACCATTACAGATGTCACGGAGGCTATCGCTTCAGAAGCTAGACCGACATCACCGATTTCATTGAAAAGTACGAAATTAAAGGAATCCGTACCAACTCCTCCGATATTAAAAAAAGGTTCCATTCCTAAAGAAACGGAACCCACCTCACCTTTATCAGATTGTTCTAAGAAACCGACTCTGAAGCCCAGAAAGGTTAGCAATACTGTTTTGGATGTATACAAACGTAGAGGTTCCGGAACTCCTGGCAAACAGCGAGTTCACACTAACAGCCTTAGCTTAATGGACACAAATAGACTTTTCGAACTAAGAGAGAAGTTTAGCACACCGGAAAAAATTATGCATTTCTTTGGAAGGTGTTTCGTAAAGTTTTTCTCCAACTTTGGGTGAGGAATAATCTTATGATTCATTTATACTTCTGCGTGCAGTTATGCCTTTAAAAATTAATTTTAATCTAAATAATATTGTATGTTTAGCTACGACACAATGATCAGAGCAACTGGACGGTATTTCTGCACTTTCCTTCAATCGGTGGACAGTATTCACCAACGCATGAGATTCACGTTCCCGCAGATGAAGTCTCCGAGAATGCAGTTAACAAGGGCACATAGACATGGAGCAGAACTAGTCTATAGCAGCGGCAGGACTGGATACACGCATTATCTTATGGGTATGTCGAAATTTTACGAGGACGATGGGTTAACTAGATCTTTTGGTACTGCTTATTTAATCAAAATTACAACATCACAGAACACACAACGGTTATTTTACAAGTTTTTTTATAATATGTATGTGTACATATTTACAGTATTTTATATCAAAATTCAATACGCATATACATATATTATAATACGTAACTATTGCTGGGTTTAAATGTGAGATTCCTAAATGTTTGCGCAGTTTATTCCTAATTATTAAAATAATTTTAAGTAAGTATAATATGTACCGTAAAAACTATAGACGTAAATATACTATCCATGTACTTAAATAATTCTATTGGTCAAATTTTTATCAGGTCAGCTGTATGAAATAGCGGAAGATATTTTTTCTTTAAAACTAAAGGTAACTATTGTCAAGGAAGATCATTTGGAAGCGAACAACCACTATGTCGCTGTCCTACGTCTTGAATTTGATAACAGTGATTATGTAAGTACAATTCAAAAATGTTATAGATGGTACTTAACGATGCATTAAATATGCATAAATTTTGGTAAACTTTAAATTCAACTAAAATGCACTAAGAACGTAATGCTTCTCTTGTAAAACTTATTTAAGTGACATAATAAATCCATTAGAATTGACCTCTCCAACCCTTTTCTAATAAATAAAAGGTTTAGTAACGGAAATTCGGGACGCAATTGGAATCTGAATCTTTATCTACAATTTACCGGAATCCAATTTATAAAAGCAAGTAAGAAATAAATATAAAGTTTTATAGTCAAGTACATAACTTAGATGATTTATAAAATAGATAAAGAATTGGAAAAAAAAAGGGGGGGGGGGGGGGGAAAAAAAAAAAAAAAAAAAAAAAAAAAAAAGAACCCCCAAAAAAAAAAAAAAAAAGGGGACAACCCCGGGGGGGGGGGGGGGGGGGGGGGTTTCAAAAAAAAACCCGGGGGGGAAAAAAAAAGGGGGGGGGGGGGGGGGGCCCCGGGGGGGGGAAAGGAACAAAAAAAAAAGGAAATTCAATTTGGGCGCCATCCAGTCCTTTTGCGGGTGCTCGGGGTTTTTACCACACAATTATATCTTTACTTTGACTTTAGCTTCAAACCTAGACCAATGAGCTCGTCGTAGTTACAAATTATCTAGCTAACATTATTAATTAATCTGTACCCATCTATGGCGTAATATTGCATGAATATGTTGTAATATTGGATATATTAATAATAATAAATAGCGAATAAATTATTAAGGCAGTCAAATTATTAATTTTAAAAAGACTTTTTCTATCACTTTCCTTTGTATAGGTCCAATCACTAATGGCGAAGAAGTCTCTGCCTTGTCCACTTCCGGCTGTGCCAGCATCGCTTCTGACTCAACTCTTCCCATTTGGAGTATTACTAGATCGAAAGATGAGGATTTTAGTCGCCGGTGACAAGGTTAGCTAGTTAAGCAGGCGTCAAGCCAAAATTAATAGCTGGCGTCTATCTAAAAATTACTACTTACAAATAATTTAGACTTAATATGTTGTAAGGAATATTTTTTATATAATTTCAATACGTATGTAAATAAATACTCTCTGTTTGATAAGACAACATCGTCTAATTATTATTTTAACATTTCCAGCTAGTTGAAGCATGGGGAGGACCATATTGCCGAATCTACAAGACACCGGTGTGTGAAATTTTAAAACTACGAAAGCCAAAAGTGTCTTTCACTTGGGACAAGGTAAATAATAAATCTTATTTACATGCTAACATATACTCTTGTTCAAATAATATTAATTTTGTAACTAATCCTATTAATCTTCTCAGGTGGTCTCCATGCAGAACATGATGTTTGAACTGGAATTGATGCGCTGGCGTTCGAGAAATATCACAGACTCTCGGCGTGGCTCCCAAGGAGCTCGTTCTATTTTACTAAAGGGACCTATACACTTACTAGATGAAATTGATGCTCTCGTATTTCTTTGTAGTCCTATGTAAGTTTTTATGAAAAGAGGAGAAAAACGGCTCGATGGTAGGTTAAATGCTCCAACAATACCAGCCATCCATCTCACAAACTACTTTGTCTTAAGATAACCAAAAGATACATGTACACTTCATTGATTTCCATATTCCTGGACGACGAAGTTCAATTTTTTTACATATATGTATCCAAATTGCCTACATTTTTTTTAGAATGGTCTTATATAAATATCAACTTACCAACTTGTCTGATCAGATCACGCATGTCCGAACAGGTTAATACTACAAAACTGTTTTTAGATTCAACAACCTGGATGAACTTCGCTTAGCGGGTCTATATCTAGCTGACATGAATGGCCACGGCCTATCAAAAGAAATGCTTCTTCAAGGCTGGCAACATCTGTCACGATTAGAATTACTATTTGAAAAAGCAGAAACACGCAGTTTAACATTGGAAAAATCGTGTCGACTTCTAGATGAGTGGAAGAAGAAAGGCGATCATCTTTTGTACTCTATGATCCCGAAAACTATTGCTTATCAACTACGAGACGGAAAAATGCCTGAAGCTGAGGTACCTATTGTCATTTACGTGTTATATATTTTTTTTTGATGACAGATAAGAACGGACAAGCAAGGGGCACTTGATGGTAGGTGGAATACGCCAGCCATAAAACATCTTAAGAACTTGCAATGTGGAGCTATTTTAGCTTTAGATATTCATATATATATACAGTATACGGCTTTACTTACATTAAAAACCTTTATGATATTTAAATGCAAATATAATTACCTAGAATTACTGTTACAATTACTATGTTTTTTGAAATAATTAACAAATTTTCGTTATATTTGCTGCGCATAATTCGGTTTGTTTTGGTATAGTTCGTTCGTTCATATCGTTAGGTATGCAAATGGTAATATGTTTTGGTCAGCTCTTAGAATCTTTCGTTTTTCATCTTGCCAAATTAAATGTGACTTTGCAGCACTTCGATTGTGTATCGATAATGTTCTGTGGTATTCCATTGAAAGAAACTGGTACGAGAGAGGACGTTATGGCCACAGTCGGTTACATGAACAACGTGTATTCCAAAATCGACCGCTTGCTGGATTCACATCAAGTTTATAAGGTACTGAATACTAATGCCAAAATAACAATTAATTATTATTATTTGTATTCTGTGTTAAAATCGTAAAATGACACTCAGTTCTTAAGACCTCCTTAAAAAAATAACGCTTACAGAACAACACTTAGTTTTTTTAACAAAATCTCAATAAGAAACATGTCTTTAGGCATAGATGGCGCCACGTTAACATACACGTCACGCAATAGCAATGTAATAAGAAATCTTAAAAATTTGACTCCTTCCTTACTAAGTATTACTGCTCTACAAGAATCTAGGAACTTATTCGTTTTGTTATTTAAGAGTCTACTTATTCTTTTTATACTACTAGTGTCAGTTCAGTAAGGCATTCTATCGTATCGTATGTCAACATATTGACCGAAGACATTGTCGTCTGTTTCAGGTGGAAACTGTAGGTACAGTTTACATGGTAGTGGCTGGAGCACCTGAACGTCGCCGCCGATCCGCTCACTCGGAGTGCGCCGCAAGCGCAGCTTTAGCAGTGTCTAGGGCTTTGCCAATGCTTACCATTGGTAATAAATTTATTTATAAAAACTGTCAAATTTTACTTACATAACTACTTATTAGGTTTTTTAATTGGGGTTGACAAAACTAATTTTACTAGTGTACTACAAAATTGTCTCTAAGTAAAACTTGTACCTAACTAAAAACTTGACTAATAATAAATATAAAGAACACGGTTTGTATAGGTATACATTCAGGACCATGCCAGGCTGGTATTCTTGGCCACAAGCAACCCCGATACTGCCTCGTTGGAGACACAGTCAATACGGCTTCCAGGATGCAGACCACTAGTGAGGTAAAATGCGCAGTACCTAACAAAGTTATGAAAAAGATAAAGACTTAATAAAATTCAGTAATCAATTACAAAATTTGTGACGGAGTAAAAATAACTATTATCCACTCTTTATAATGATAGTGTAATAGGTACACTATTTTTATCTTTCAGACTGGACGTATACAGATCTCAGCACAAACTGCTGAAGAGTTGCCAGCTGGGAAATTCAGACTTCGCCGAAGAGGGCTTATTAAAGTGAAGGTAATGTTAACTAATTAGTACATGCAACTTACTTCTTCGGTTTTGACGTGTAAACAGCTATATGAAACCAAATATATTTGTTCTTAAAACTTATAACGTTTTGTAACTTCAGGGAAAAGGAATGATGGAGACTTTCTGGCTTGAAGGAGAGATAGAAGAAGACGAGCAAGATGAAGCATTACAACTATTTTCGAAGCTATGTGGTGACGATGAATAATGAGTATTTAATTACAAGGCGATGGTTGCAAGATTAGTAAAATAACAGATAAATGTTGGTTTTAAAATGTATACACACACACACACTTAGCCTATACTCCACCAATGTTTTGTGTACACAGAACAGTAGTGAATTATAGTCCTATTGAAACTCAAAATAAAAAATATTTAAGCAATGTATATATTGTCTTTAGTGTAACTAGTACTCTTTAAGATTACAAATATAATATTCACTTGAAAAACCCAACAATTTTGTTATCAGTAACGTGCTTATCATCTTTAAAGGGCTTAGTTTACTATTACGGCCGAAATATTGTATAGGTCTACAAAAATAAATTACATATACGTAGAATGTTTATAATACCCACTGTTTATTACCTAGTGTGTCACTACGATAGTCCTTTGTCGGTGATTAGCATAAAATATAACGATCATTATCATCGATAAGTCTTTATCTGATTCCCTGATATACCTAATCGTGAAGCGTTGATCCAACGATGTTAGGCATTGACCATAGTTTGGTTTTTTCTTATAGTGAAGAAGTGTTTAAATGTAATAGAATACGCATGAGGTTTTATATGGTATATATTTTTATGGTCCACAGACCGGTACTGACAATCTAAATTAAAAGTGTTTTTTTAAGGTTTTATTTTAACTTTTATTTAATTTCACTTTTAATATTTATTTAATTAAAATAAAACAACACTGCTTCAGTATTCTAGTTTAATATCAACAGGCGAATAAATTCGTTTTTTTTGTAGATTTCCTATGTTTGAAATAACAGTTTATGTCGTCTCTAAATAATTATCAAATACTTTTTAATAGCCCTAAATAAAGCTATCATTAAAAGAGGTGCAATCAATTACAGGAATGCCTTAGTTTTCTTAACATTAAAATATTACGCTAAGTGTAAAGATTAATAAAAAACATAATTATGTAATAACAAGAAATATTGTATACATTAAATTCGAGAACGAATTTTAGGCAAATCATAGGTTCTTTAAATTATATAAAAAGTTACTTGCATCTTCCTTATTCCAGCAGTGAACTAAATCAATCAGCGATCTATAATAATAGCAAGAATAAACATTCCATTAGCGTTGGATCAGTACAAGATTATCACTTCTTTAATTCTAAATAGTATAGTCTATTAGTATAAGATAATTTACTTCTAAAATATAGTATAGTAATGTAAATTATATTATGTGTCTGTTATGAAATCTAATGTAATATATTTAACTTAGTAATACGCAATAATTGTGTCTGTTTAAATAAAACACTTTAACGGTTTAAAACGCGATATATTAGTTAAACTTATTTGAAAATTATTTTTAATTCGGCACGACGTTTCGTCATAAAAATTATTAAGTAGTAGTTAAAAATCATTTTCAAATAAGTTTAACTAATATATCGCGTTTTAAACCAGTAAAGTGTTGTATTTAAATGTGTAGGTACTACTCGCGTAAACTATAGTATAGACAGAATATAGTTATGTCTGCTTTATATGAAATAATAGTAAAATTTATTCCACTTAAATCACTGGATACTTGGCACAGTATTCAAGGACGGTGACAATGTTGTAAGAGAAATTCGATCTCGTTATTTTTCAGCAGATTGATGTATGAAAAGAACCACGTTAAAAGTGCAGGAACCAAAAAAAATATGGACACCGCTGTTGCATTATTTCTTACATAATACTATTAAAGTACCTACTTAAGATACATATTATAATATCCGTTGGTGTTTTATTGATTATTGCTTATTGTTTATATAATTACAAATCTTAAACGTGATTTACACTATAATGGTATTAGAGTATCTAAAATCCATTATATTTTATGGAAAGACATTAAAAATTATGAGGATAAAGTCCTTTTTCTAGAATACTTCGTAGTGAGCTGGGTGCTTACGATTATATAGGTATATCTAAATTTTTAAATGCTTAAACTTAACAACAGTAACGCAAACTGGAAACTTCAAATTAACAAATAAAGCTAAGGCACTGTGATTATAACGCAATATAAACTATACAAAATATCAAAGGACAACCGTTAATCAATATTGTGCTCGTAAAGTAAATTTAATCCTTGTTGGTCCACTTACCATACATAACTAAACAAACAAAATCGTGATAAATCTAAAACGTACAGCTGATCAAAACTAACATCACTTACAATAAGTATAACAAATTATATAATAATTGTGTTACTGTAATTTTAGATATTTCATAAGTACTTGCTAAATGTCAAGATAAATGTTTCAGTCTTTCTAACTTCGAGAGTCGACATATGACAAGAATAAAAAAAGATGTGAAGACTACTTTTAAAGTCTAGAAAATATATGTAATGTATTAGTTAACTTATTGCAGTTTTATTACTCACTAGGGAATGTGATGTATATGTTAGTATTTCAACAATAAAAACAAACTGGTATTCTATATATGCTCTTCTTTTTACCTCTTAAAGCAATCGTTCGTTACACGTGGCTTATCGCTTCATCATCATTAAAAATTATTTAAACAATGCCGTAACCTCTTCTATAGTTCTGTTCTTAGTTTCAGGGAGTTTAAAGTAAGTAAATACATAAAATAAGATTAGTAATACAGTATACGGTATGAATACATAGTTGCCTAAAAGATCTGACATAGGAATGAATGTTAAGCCGACTAAAAAGTTAGCCAGCCAATTAACTAAGGCTCCGACACTGACTGCAGCACTTCGAGCACCCTGTCCAAATAGTTCAGATAGAATCATCCAAGGAATCGAGCTCGGGCCAACGCCAAAGAAAGCCACGTAAAGAAGAGTGAAGATCACAGCAAAAATACTCATAGTTCTATTGTTCTCATAGGTAAAGAATGCTATCGTCATCAGCACTGAGAATACTGCCATTCCTCCAAGTCCGCACAGCTGCAAAGTTCTCCTGCCCAAGCGATCCATTAGTGGTATCGACACTAACGCCATTACAAATAACATACTGCCTACACCAATAGACGCCAATCGAGCATCTCCCTCACTCAAACCAGTCTTCACGAAGATCGAAGAAGAAAAGTATAAAACAGCATTAATTCCTCCCAGTTGTTGCGATAAATGCATGACGATTCCGATGACCAGAGGTGTTCTTAAACTCTCGATGCGAATTAAATCAAGAATGGTGAATTTTTGTTCCTGTTTCATAGCGTGGTCTTCGTCGTGCATATCCTTAATCTCATCATCGATGTCATCACAACCCCGGATTCTGGTCAACACGTTCCTAGCTTGTTCTTCATCACGCTGCGATAACAACAGATATCTCGGTGTCTCTGGGGCAAATGGTAACATAACGCATTGCACGGCCGATGGTATGACTGCCAAACCGAGAAGCCACGGCCAGCCATTATCACTTCCCAAGATGACATCTATACCAAGTATTTGGCCACCTACCAAACCCAACGCGACAGCTAACTGGTTTACAGTACCAAAAGCTCCCCTCAATCGTACTGGGGCCATTTCTGACACATAAGTCGGTGATGCAGTCGTTGCGAATCCACAGTTAATACCAATAAGGAATCTTCCAATGATAAGCATGGCCAGCGATGTTGAGGTTTTGCTTAAGGCCATAAGAACGGCCCCCAGTACGCCAAAGGCTGCATTGACAAGTAATGCAAACTTTCGACCTCGAGTGTCGGCTACCCAGCTGGCCAAAGGACATCCGATCATACCACCCACAGCAAAGATGCTTACGATAACACTGAAGATAACTCCTGAATTGACGTCATAATTCTCATTTATGAAATTCTCTATGAATGTCCGAGGGGCATTAATGACGCCAGTGTTGAATCCAAACTGCAGCATGCCCAGTACAGCCGCGCACACGGCGTACAGGAGCGGCCCTGTTGCTCCTCCCGTTGACATCTTGGCGCGCGATAGCAACACTGAAATGAATAAAAAGGCAGATTAACACGGCTGCTGCTGTATTGAGATAATGTCACAATTGAGTGTTTATTAAGCTGTGATAAAGTTTAATGCAGCCCCTTTTTATGGAATATTATCCGATAAGTGAGAGATCGTAAAAATTATTCGTAATGTACCTAACCATTTGACAAATACAAAGCTAGTCTTTTTATAATTTTAATTTCAATTAGATTTTTTAAATTATATAATATAAAATAAGATCTCAATTTTTAACATACTGTACAGAAATCGCCAAAGCAGTGTTAAGACGGAACGACAGAACTGACAGAACATAAGAAATGTGCATCCATACAAATAGTGATAAATATAACATAATACTCGTTTAACAGTAATTAGAAACACAACAACTAAATGTAATATAAAGGTCTTGAAGTTGTTTTCCCGAAAGTATATTTGCCTTATTTATAGTTTTTTTACCTAGAAGTTAGAAAATCAACTACATAATAATTCGGGACACACATTAATACATAATTTTATTTACAACAGTAATACTTTAAAAATGGAAATAAATAAAATGATATTATTGATGCCGCGGAAGATACGGCCGACTATGATTATGATCTACTTATAATTTGATAAATAAAATTGAAGGTTTTCCCCTACTCTCAAATTAGTATGAAGTATTATTAGCTTGTGTACATCGTAAAATATTTTTTGTTGCTCTGTTAATTTTTAATGTAATCATAACTAATCGTAATGTACTAGCTTTGTGCAAACACGTTGACAAGAATTGTTTCATAAAACATTATTTATTACAAAGTCAAAGACAAACAAAACCATATTGCAAAATTTAGTAGATCTTTGTCTAGACGTAGGGTTTATAAAATTATTGTACTCGTGTCTCCAAGACAAGAGAGTAATTAATTTTGTTGCGTAGGTGTATGATTTTAATAAATTCCTTTATCAAAGGATAAACTCCACTAACAATAATGTTTCTTCAGTTTTAAATAGTTTTAAGTAGTGCTTTTAAAACCGACATTAACTTTACTGTAATAAACTCAACTAAACATTTACAAAAAAAAAATGTGTTTTAACAATTTGTATACGAAGGCAGGGTATTGTATCATAGAGATCCACAACCTTTTAGTAAACTTTGGACTTTGCACCTGCTATTGGTAGATAAGCCCAATTTTTACATTCAATTTCTTCAATTACATTTATATGTAAATATGTTTTAACCATAAAACTATTTCCTTCTTGTACTGGTAAGTCAGCAGTTCAATTGTTTAGTATGTGAGTCATATTTTGTCTTCATTGCGAAAAAATAATATTACCATCGAACGTATGTAAACTACTATTTAGGTATATGTATACGAATTCGTACATACCGTATAAACGGTCAAGACAGAAAGTTATACCTTACTAATATAAAAAAAATTATGAGGGTAAAACATTTTTTCCAATAAATGAAAGAGTAGAATAACTTTATTTTGATATAACCAATGCATCTTAAAAGAATTGTACACTGAATTTATATCCGTAATTAATGCAAATGCAAATGTTAACCATTTTTATTGTTCGCAAATTGCACTTAAGATTCTACTACTTACTATTCATATTATTTTTAGCACAAATACTTCCAGAAACCGGATTCGCAAGTAACAATATTACGTCAATGTGCTACAGTTTTCTCGAAGACTCATTATTTCTATATCAACCCCATTATAATTTAGATTACGTATTAATGCTATGCAGCCTTCAAAGACAAAAAGAACATATATTTTTAACTGTTACACGATACGAAGTCATTCATTATCTAAGAAAAAATGTTGAACTAAAAATAATTATTACTCTCGCCACAACTCTCATTGCATAATAATAAAAACAACCTTAAAGATACCTGGAAGATCTTGACCCACTACACATTCAACATAACGTCTCACGTTTGGTTTTATTATTATATATTTTATTTATGACCAATATACAAGATGAAAAAAATGCACTTTAAGACCTCGTAAACGATTTTTTTTATATAGGACAATTAAGTGAGTGGCAAAATGACACCACGATTGCTATGTAACGCCGTCAACGGAGCGAAACCGACTGGTTTTTTGATATCTTGAGACTTAATCGTAAAACATAATCTATACTATAATAAAGCAATAGAAATAGTATGTCCGTACATTGAAACACCGGGTATGCGCGATATAAAAAGAGCGACAGAATAATTCAAAATTAATCTTCAATATCTCTGTCTTACTTAAAGAAGTTAACCTCCGAAAGTAAACGGATTTTGCCACGGTTTTCACGGTGAAGTCGCGAGCGAAAGCTAGTGTAGTATATATAATGAAGCCGATTTAAATATATTTTACAACGCTTATGACTTATCCAAGTAAACATGTTAGTTACGGCCGGGTGTTTATCGGATCTTAATGGGTTCCTTGCTATCGCTATCGGACCGGGGATTTTGGGTCATAGGACTGTATAGTACTAAAAACATTCGTATTCAAAGCTCTCATGAATGAATAAGAAATAATTGAGTTTTATCTACATGTAATTTAAGCAATTTTTTTTAGACCAATGAACTAGAATGTGGAAGAGATTAAATTAAAGTTGTGTTTTGGAAAGACCTCTTAGACATTATACTGCTGACTAATTTGTCCTATATAATATAGCTATACTTGTTTTGTTTATAGGTAGTATTTAATGAAGGTTGGTTATTATCCCGTAGCGTGAATCTGTTACTGCGCGGTTAACAATAACGATTGTCTTGGACACGTTTTAGTTTTAAACCCTTCTATGTCTGTATATCAACTGTAAATGGTGGATTGTGACACACACAATTTACAAGCTATTAGTTAGGCAAACTGAACAAAATCAGATAGTGTGAAATACAATAACGAGACAATGGCTATACATTGCTTTCGACTTGCAACACTTGCCAAAACATAAGTTGGGTTTTTCCCGAATATTGCCACTTTAATTTATTATTTGTTTAAAGTATGTATTATATGTTCCTAGTTTTTTAACACGTTACGTTACACGCCCCGAAAGGAAATATGGAGGAAATAATTAGAAAGTGCGAAATGTACCTATTAATTTCCCAATTTTCTGCCTACTTTATACTTCTTCATGAAATTATAAAAAACTTTAGGTACATTTGCATCTTTCATGTATAATAGCATACATGTTCGTATACCATGTAATCATCTCATCAAGAAACCATGTTTCGGCTATTCTTATATGTAAATATAAGTTTGCTTTGTATGCTATAACAAAGCGTTAGTAAATAAATACACCAGGTGACATTTAAATTCGTAACCTTGAGTAAACCCTAGTTCCGAATTTGTCAAACTGTGCAGTTAAACGGTGAAACCGCGTTAGTTTTGTAATAAAAACATTATTGTGTGCCAATCTTTTCGAATGAAAATCCATTGTTTACAAGACTATAAAATGAAACATCTATAGGTACATTGTATTACATGGAGCTTATAAAGCCGAACCTTCGAAAGTACCCCAGCGAGCTGGTGGCTGGTGTTTTGTGGTTCTGGTCGACTATTGTCTCTGAGGAGATTGTAGTTTACCACACTCTACACGTCACTGTTGCCCGTTTGCATGCCTTAGGCATTCACGCTATCAGTAAAAAACAAACAAACACGTCTTAATAATATAATATCTTTTACTTGAATTATTTTTTAGCTTTCTTTGGCTTAGCAATTAGGAAAAATAAATTATTATATATACACGTATGTTAAAAATAATGTAGGCTGCTCCATTTCCCATGGTCACGTAATACTTAACTACGCATTGATATCGACGGGACGGCGCCTATGGAATATGAAACCCATTTTTGTCACATGACGTTGACTATATTGACTGAATACAAAAGATATGATGCTGGAAAAATCATATCTTCATACATTAAGCCTTAAGATAAATCCTTTCAATACGACCTAACATACTGGTTGACACAATCAGATATTTTTATCTGGCATATTGTATTCTTGTATTTAAGACTAGCTGTTTTAGCGACTTTGTCCGCGTAGAATATTTATTTTGGGCATCCAAATTTGTTTTTGTAAACCTCCTCTTCATCTTTATAAATTTAAGCTGTTACGACCGACGACGTCGGTCGCGTCCCTTCCCGTAGTTCTAGCAAGTTACTCTTAAAAGATAGGCATATAGCGTCGCGGACTTTTTTTGATAATTTAAAGAGGAATCATTCTTTCATACATATTTTTGGGGTATCTTGAACTGTTTTTGCAGCGTACGCCTCGGAAACCCATACTGATTTTCACATTTCTCGCTGTATCTTCGCTTGTATTAGTCACAGGGCGATGGTTTATAGCCTATGCCTTTCTCGACAAATGCTCTAACCAAGGCAAAAATATTTTTTTCAATTCGAACCGGCAGTTCCCGAGATTCGTTCAAAAAATACAAACAACAAAGTCTTATTTATAATTAATATAATATAATATAAAATATATTTTCTAGATCAGTAAACACTTCCTTACATTTTAGATTTTTAAATAAAAAGGACAAAGCATTTTCTTATTTATTTATGATATTTTAAATTCTAATTTTTTTGGTATGTATTGTGGGAAGAATAAATAAAATTCCAAATTCACTTCCTTATTTCAGAACTAATACGTTCTCTGTGAATGTGAACCCACTATATTGAGAATTTAATTTTCTATTGATAGAAGTTTGTAGGTATTGCGTTCTGTGTTCGTTTCACTGGCCGGTTTTTATTTACAGGCAAGTAGTTATTCAGACTTCTGTACCCAGACCCATCAAGCAACTTATTGTTTCTCCAGGTTCGAACCCCTAACCTCTTGCGCTTAATACAATGTTAGGTAGTATATTCAACCATTTAGCTATAGAGTTGGTTAATAGGCTCATTGATGCTCAAAAAATGACACCTATACACTAAGGCAATTTAGAGGAATATGTTTCCAATAGGAGGTGAAATGCATATCTTATAAATTACAAAAATGTATTTAGTTTTTATATTTGAAGTTGCTTTCTAAAATAACAATGATTTTTTTCATTATAACTAACACAACCACCTTGTTGGTAAATGTGTAGTTATATCTTGATTTTGAACTTTAGATTGAAATTTGAATATGTATGTGAGGGCAACTAGAGAGCTAGCCTGCACACAGCACACCATGACATTGCTCTAATAATTAAGAAAGGATTGACAGGACCAGTAGGGGATACTTGCATATAAATAAGAATTAATTGTGTAACAATTGACTAATACTAACTGCTAAGTTCTGGTTCATAATACAATCATTAAATCTTGTACTGTAACCACTATATTTGGCCTTTGTTTTCTATGCATATTTCCTTTTCTTAAGATCAATATTGCAGAAACAATGGAGACTAGTTAAACATAAAATTTTCTGCTCATAGTAAATTGTCCATTGATTTTTAATTAAAATTATGTATTATTTATAAGGAACACCTTAATTCAGTATCATACACATTAAAACTGTTTAATATTACATAAAACTTTGCTTAAGATCAACTAGTAATGGAATTAAATGATCTACAAACAAAATAGAATTAAATGCAGTAAATAGACATGTTAAAAGTTTTGCTGTTACCATGAGAAAATAAACTTACAAATATATATTTTTCTAATATGCATAATGTTCTACAGACATAAGAACGAATACCTTGTTGTACATTTAAAACAATATTTCACAAAAGATTTGGTTACAAGTAAAAAAACTCAAAAAGAAAAGCTACTACAACTTAATTCAAATAGGATAAGTTATGCTAATAATGGTACATACCTTATAAACACCTTCTCATAAACTTCCATGCATTGCAACAAATCATCGTTTTATTCAGTTATAACACTTACATGTTTATGCCTAGTTATTTTAAAATGTATATTTTTTTATATAGGGGGCCATATTATTTTTTGTATTTATTGCTACATTCATATTATGTCTTTGCGTTCAGTGACCTGGAAATTATTTATTGGCAAATGTGTCTTCTAGGTGTGGAATTAAAAGCCACAAGAGAATAAAATAAATATTAATTACGATTTCGAATTACTGAATATAACACGGTTTCACAATTCACAGTGAGCACATATAGTTGACAGTAAACTATAAATTCGACGACAAATGACATTGGCGAGATTCATTCATTATCGAAAGCTAAGACAAGAAGAAGAAATGTTAGGGTATTCTATGTCAAAAAAACTAACCGTTGTATATAGACTACAGATAACTACAATTATTGCACAGTTTTGACAAGTCGTTTACAACTTTCATTTTTTGAAGTATTTCGAAGTGTCAAGAGTTTGTACCGCTGATTTGTTTTGTTTGTTGCGCAATAATCAATATTGAAGTGTTGAGTAAAACTTTCTGATTCTCTCAGCAACACTCAAGACACATAAAATAATAGAAACTTAATCCTATCTCCCAACCTTAAATTCCCAGTATATTCATAAAAGGCAATGAACAGTCTTATGGACAAGGTCAAATCGTTCTTTGGTTTACGTTCGGAACCTCCGAGAAACGACTTCAGAAACCCAATCTGGGGTTCCGACGACGACGACGACGGAGATGAGCTATATTCTAGGCAACAATTAGACATATACAAAGATCCACTAGAATTACATCAAGAATTCGCTAGACATATGCATGAAATGTTCAAATCGTTTGGTAGTATATTTGGTGACATGAAATCTTTTTTCGACGACGAACATTTTAGTTCCTTTCCACCGATGTCGGAAGTACCCCAGACTTTTGATTCTGAATCGCAAACAGAGAATTTTGATAGTAATCGTATACGTGATTATTATTTGAAGCCTGGCTACCACCACAAGCAGCATCCAAAGGAAGACGTGGACTTAGATGGTAAAATATCTTCAAACGACATATCGGATCTGTTTAGACAAAAACCGGATAACCAAATAGTGCCATCCACACCTTTTAACGGTAACTTGGTACCAGGAAGATCTTTTTGTCAAACTATAATAACAACTAGTATTACAAAACCCGATGGCACTGTTGAGACTAAAAGGATTGTGAAAAATGGCAATGAAGTAGTTGAGGAAACAATAACGTCGACAGAACCAAGTCAAAGAGGACCCAACCCTGGAATTAATCCTATTGCTACAACTCAGATAATGTTGTCACAACTTTCATCACTATTAAGGAATTTTTATGAGCATTAGGAGGCTAAAACATGCATCCCTTTACTTTCATGTTTCATAAATAGGTCTATGTAGGTTTTTGATAATATTTGTGTTAGAAGAGTACCTTTCCAGTAATCACATTCATTGCAATCAATATTATATAAAACATAAAATTCACTGCTACCTTTTACAATTGTGACTAACTCTGTCTAGGTTTCTTTCAATTCATCAATAAACAGCTATAGTCAACAACTTTTCTTTTATTCCTTATGGGTTAAGTTATTCAGTAAAAGCTATTTATATAAATAAAACAATATATTCATTATATTTTACCTGTTTTAATAATTTAAATAAATAATAGAAAAAATGAGACAGTGTTGTAACATTTTAAAACTATGTCCGTGGGGAACTTTATATTATATCCTGTTCAATAAAACATAAATAATACAAAATAAGGTCTTCTCAGTGACAATAGCAGGCATCTCTTGTGTTACTCTTGATCCATGTTAGATATCTATTCACTCTTGAATAAACACCTGGCCTGCCTGGTCTTGCACATCCTTCACCCCAGGAGACAACACCTGGAGATAAAACCGTGTATACCGTTTGAAGCTTTCCATGTTAAATTCATTAGGGAAATCAGATAACGGGAGTGAGTTCCAGTTTTAAGTTGTTCGCATCTTTCAAATGAATTTTGGAATAGGTAGAATAGCTCGTGTGGAACCATGGTATATAACCAGACAAGGATGGAACCGCCTCTTTGTCTCAACGATCGATGTAGAAAGGGAGATAGAATTATTAGATTGTTAAGCTCCGACCTACATTATCCAAAACTGTATTCGATAATAAACTCCACCAAACACTTTTCGTCGGTGATCTAGCGGCTGAAGGCGGTGAGAGACCATTTGATAATTTGATGTAGTGCCGTTTGCAATATTTATAGCGTAGGTGCATTTCAAAATTACTCACCTATTATTTCATAAGCTGCTGTCGTTTCATTAAGCACGTGCAAAGGACCACCAGAATCACCCTGGCATGCGTCACGACCTCCTTCGTCGTAGCCCGCGCAGATCATATTTTCAGTTATTCTGTTCCCATACGTTGTTTCACGACATTCTGAGTTAGATATAATTGGAACGTGGACCTGGAAATAATATGACACAAATTTGTATTCGTAGTTTACTTCACAATTAATTAGAATGCATTGTTATAGGTAGAATAGATGACGTATTAAGTCATATTACTAATATTCAAGTCATAGCAAGATACGGGTAACCAATGAGATATTTGGTATAAAAATATACTACCAAGTCGTGGACCATTTTTACTATTATATTTGATGTTTTATAGCCTAAATTTAGCCTTCATTGATAAATGCTGCTAAAAATATTTTTTCAATTCCAAAATTCCAATTCGAACCAGTAGTTCTTGAGATTAGCGCGTTCAAACAAACAAACCCTTCAGCTTTATAATATTGATATAGATTTCACCATAATACTGACCTCTTGTAAAGTACTGGACACAGATCCACCTTCTTCAGTAGTGCCCCAACCAGAAACCATAGCCGTACTGTTACTGAAGGAAAGATTAGGTTGTGGAAGACAAACTGGACGGACTCCTACATCACTCTCATTTGTCGTTTCCTCTTCTTCCCCGGCTCTCTTCTTTACGGCGTTGCTGAGATCGATCTACCATTTTAAATGGAATATTAATCATAGATAATCAAAAATTAAACTTAGGTACTGTATTTAAAAATTAATTACTCTTTTATCCAACTTTAGTAAGGCGATGTCATTGTCATAAGTGCTGGGGTTGTATCGAAGATGCCTTATGATGCTCACTACTTTCCTATCAACGGTTTTGGTCTCGTTAAGCGTGGCTCTATCGTGTTCGAGTAGACGCACTGTCATTTTCTCCTTGCGGAATCTGTGGGATCATAAACCAATCTATACCAAATGTCATTATAGTTACAGCTTTTTTTTATTAGCTTTTCTCTTGCAAATGATAAACTATTATATTTGTTTTACTTAATTACATTTTATTACTTTGTAGTACGTACCCAGAAGTACAATGTGCAGCAGTAGCCACGTATAAATCATTTATAACAGAACCACCACAATAGAATCGCCCATTATACAAAAGAGCGACCATCCATGGTAGCTCCAGTTTTTTAGTTTCAGACCCCCCAACTATACGCCGTCTTGTGCGGGCTATACCGCATTCTGCAGGCATAAAAAATATTGTACGTAAGAGACCTAAATATTGAAAGGCAATTAAGCACGTAGATAGGCTTTTTGTGCCGACGTTTTCAAAAATTAGCTGAGCTAGCTACAGAAACTATAGTTTGTCTACATACGGCAAGCTGGACAGTCTTCAGGTGGATCATTTCCTACTGGTAACAGCGTAGGCGTAGGTAAAGGTGTCGTAGTTCCAATCCATTGGTTAATCCAATCGATAAGACCCTTTTCCTTTGTATCATCGGGCTTGGTTTCTAGAGTATGGCAGCTCGCACCGACGACACATATCAATAGAATTAAGTAGCGCATCGCTTATACCTGTAACAAAGACTGTTTAAGATCAACTAGTGTGCAACTACTAGATAAAGAAGTATATAAAGAAATGTTTCAAAGAGGCAATTAAATCGTATAGACGGAAAATATGAGCAAATACCTAAGGACACCGGTTTGTAGTAGGTACACTGGTCAAACCTGGTTTAAAGTGGAGCCTATATACCGCTACGTCGATCACTCATCCTCCGAATAACATTAAACATTACGCGCGAATTTTATCGTCCGCGAAATTGACCTCAAAAGTTGAAATTGACCGCATACTTTTTTAAATTATTACCACTAATATTGCTTCAAAGAACCAGTAAGAGCGGCATACATACAAAGTAAACGATATACGAAGATATATCGATACTTCCTTGATAGACCTGGCGTTGAAAGAATGGGATACCTATAATCTTACAGAAATCAGTTTTTTTTATTATGAAGTTATCAGTGCCAGACCCTTATTAATGTAGCCCCTATGTAGTTTAAACATTCTTTAACCAGCTACGTAATTCTGGTTCATAACGGCTTGAAGACTTTTTGCATATGTTTGGCCTTGATTGTGCATGGACATGATAAATTAGCGTTATTATGCTCATATTATGGGTGAATTAATGGAAGTCGTTTAGCGGTATTGCATTATTCCGTATCAGGTACGCGTTGGTTGAATTTAAGGGATACATTCAGGTCAGCGAAAGTTATGCATAAATTTAAAACTGAAAGCATTAATACAAAAGAAAAAAATACCCCAAACTGAAACGAATGTAACGAAACCTGGTTTAAAATAAATATGCTAACATTCTTTCATTTAAACAGTTAAAACTGTTTGATTTGATTTAAGATTTTGGTAACAGGGAAAGAGCTAGGTAATAGAAAGGGCCATTTTCATTGCCAAGTAGATATTTCCACATACTCTTTAGACCATTTTACTATCAATGGTTGTGACTGAAATTGTAATGAATTTCGAGCGTTTTATTATGCCAAGTGCGCCTACCGACCCGGTCTAACTAGAGAGCTACTTGTTTTCCTGTGTCCCACCATACTGGAAAACAACTCCATAATAAGTGAGTAAATAATTTTTATATGCACTCAAATATCTAACTAAATTGTCTATTAAAGCTCTTATGTTTGGACTGTAATTGAAACGGAATCTTTCAATCATATTTCTATAAATGAATTACTTAAAAAATTGTTTTTTTTTCTATCACTTATAAAGGATATAGTTTTAATATTTTGAAAATATTTAAAAAAATCAAGAAAAATTGCACATGATAAATGTGCAATTTTAGTTCCGCTGTCCATTTTTAATCATGACATACGTTTCTATAGACTTTAGTTACGTTCACAGTTCTTCATTAAATAGACTTAGTAGTAGTTTGGGTGATAATAACAAAAACCATACCTTTATATTTTTACAATACACAGCACTTATTGAATTAATTAATTAAAATAACTGTACGGCAAGACGGACGCGGTAAAGGAAAACGAGTGACCACTTGCAAATCCGTGAAGCTCGCGGCAAGGATCGAAAGAGAGAGAGCTATCTCCACTTTCACTCTGCTCCACTTAATCCTGGAGTCTTAATGCATCAGCAGCAAGCCGTTGCTCGGTTATAAGGCGCCTAGAATCGCTGTAACAAATACCACGACAGTTACAAGGCAATTTCAGTGGAATTATTATCGGTTAATGGTTGTATGATTGTCATTTTCCCCTATGGGGGACTGTGCTTAGCCCGCAGATTTACTCATATTAACTGCCGCTTTAAAGTTAGCTGAATATGTATTTCATTCGTAATAATATTAAAGTCAATGTATATATTTGTTTAATAAGAGCCATCGTAAGTTATTAAGTTTATATTTTGCCTTGTAACCAGGTTAAGCGTTTGTGTAATGTATACGTGAGAGTCTAATAAGATAAAATTAAAATCAAAACAGTTTATTTTACAGCCGTGGTCACAGGGAGACTCCCTATGAGCACGGCTGCTGCAAAGCATCCGAAACGTCGGGCCGAAGTTAAAAATCATTTTCAAATAAGTTTAACTAATATAATAATATCGCGTTTTAAACCGTTAAAGTGTTTTATTTAAATGTGTACTACTCGCGTAAACTATAGACGGTATTTAAAACAGTTTATTGCAAAATACATACGAAATTTATTTATTTATTTATATAATAAACATTTAATACATTCTCGGTGCAGAAAATATGGTCATAGGTGTATAAAAAAAATAATTCAGCCTCTCTTTATATTTTATGTTTTTTATAACGCCTGCTTAATGTTGCATAGCAAAAAATTTCTGTAAGGTATTCGACGCGTCTGGTCGTATTTAACTAATGCAATAAATCCCACTGTAACTAAAATTTATAAATATTTGAACTAAATGTATTTTGATAGGCGTTATTTCTTATTATTATATTCAATGTGTACCTCAACCACTCGCTTACTTATGGGTTACATCAAAAACGTCAACTCCAACTTCTTGATATAACTTAGTTTCAAGATATTAAGAGTCCATATTTCTTTACGGTTATACGGTATCATTTTACGGTTAAATTTACAATTAGTTTACTTATTTATTTATTTTTTGCTAAAACAAATTAAAAATAAGGTAACTAAACTACTTCGCGTTTTAACTGTGATTTGTTGTATTCAAATGTGTATTAGGTAATCGCATAAACTACAGACGCGACATTTTGTTTTTTTGACTTGTTTTGTGTACATAATACAATTTTGTATTTAAATAAATTTACACAGATTTGTAATCAAGTTGTAACTGTTTATTAAGTATGAATATTATCCATATTATTGACTCGTATCAGCAGCAATAAATTATCATGTAAAGACAACTAATTTGAACTGAATATAAAATATAATAATTCCTCGTATGATATGGTAATAAACTTTTATTTCTTGACCTCTTATTTCACTAAATTGGACATCAAGCATGAAAATTAAGTGTTCGGATTTTACGACTACAAATTCTCAATATTCGGTGAACAGTTATAGCTACGGGTCATACAAGTACACATTGTAATATCGATCTTTAGAAGAAGAAATGTTATTTTAAAAATCGAAAATAAATTGAAAAAATTTTCGACTCGGGCAGGACTTGAACCGGCATCGTCCGCGTTCCGTGCTGTTGCTCTACCAATTGGCTTATTGGGAACATTGGCGTGCCGACTAGTGAAGATACACTAGTATAAAATGAATACAACCCTGACTTGAACTATGATTCCATGGTCAAATTGAAAAATGTAGCACAATAGATGTAAGCAAGCTTACGTAGAAATGCATTCAGATACAAGGCTTTCTACAGAACGTCCCATGGCCCACAAATCAGACCACGGTCAAATTGTAAATTCGCCCTTATCTTTATATAAAGTTATGTTAGTAATAAAATTCGATATGACCTCTCATGAAATCTATTTCGTTGACGCCGAGCACTGTATTACCTATAGTGGGAAACTTTACCGGAATTATCATTCCCATCAATCAAATAGTTTATTTCTACACTCGGTCATATGTTTGCGAATACAAACGTTTCTTCTATTGCTTTCAGCGTAAACTTAGTAATTGATTACAAGGAAAAAGATGCACAATTTCACTTGGATAGCAATAGGTTTATTGTGAAATTTATATATTTTGATTATTATCAAAGATAATTCGATTAATTCCGTGTTTCAACAATATGGATATACATGTAGAAAAAAAAAACTATCAATATATAATATAATAATAACAACATAATATAAGTATTTTTGGTAGTTTAAACAGTTATTACATTTTGACTATGTATATTACGAACTTTTGACTACACACATTTGTATGTTTACATACACTTTTCTATCTGACCTGGGGCGTGACAGTAAATATCGTATAGTTACGAAATAAATGCGATACGGATCTGAACCGCAAAGAATGGTCAGGCGCAGTTTGTGCATATCACGCGTAGAGGTTGCATCGTTATCTCCATACGGGTGTTGCCTTGGCACACTTGTCACCATAACTGAATCACTTCGGCTCTTTCCATCGCACACACCCACTAAACCACACCAAGGCCACTTAATCCCTTTTAACTTTTAAACACATTAGGTTGCCCTTAAAACATTTATTTAAAGATTTATCTTGACCTCAGTAATTAACATTGAACAGGGTTTTATTGTTTGCTGTAAACAGTACAGTTTCCGTAAATTATAAGCCGCTATAATATATCATAGCGGAACGGAAGGTGCACGAAAGTAGGATGGCGCCAAAAAGCTGCGTCGGCCGCTGTGCAACGTTTAAGAACTAAAAATATTAGTGTACTCATTAACTTATTAACATACCTGCTCTACAAGTTACTGTTATAAATACTCATTTATACAGCATTAGTTCTAAACATCTGCAATTGGATGACTTGAAATATTTATATTTTCATAGGCTAAAAATTGTAATCTACAAGAGCACAGTTACCGAAAGTTGTTAACATAATTCTTCCACAAATAATAGTACTTACAAATTCGTTTTCGTCAAAATTAATTGCGCATTTTTATTTTCCTCTTTATTGAAAATCATGTATTTTTCTTATTAGGCGACTCAGCCTCATTTGTCGTAGCTATAGTTACCATATTTGTTATAATAGTATTAGTTAGATGAAAATACAGTTCCTAAGTTAAAGTCATATTTTGTTTCTTTACCTTGTAACAGTTATAAACCATCTCTTGCATTTATTACAAAAAGAAACTTAAACCAGGACTGAGGAGTCTTGCTTTAACTCTTAAACCATATTCTAAGGTAGTAGTAGTAAGTACCATAGTTAGTCCAGTACAAACGTAAAACTTCGTTTTGTAGTAAGTATTTCAAGTAAACCAGGGTTTAATCCAGGTTTGAGAGTTAGTCTTCGTTTTGTTATAAGAGTGTTGAAGTTTAAACAACGATTTAACTAACAAGAGCGTATCTTAAAGTGGATGTTAATGTTTCTATTATTAATTAGGATAATATTACCTGTATTACATTTTTTTTTATTGTAGCGCTGTTTTCTACACAATAATATGTTTATTATGTAATTGAGATTTAATGCTTTTTATGTAGGTACATAATATTTCGATGTGAATATAAAAATATTTACGTATATACAAAAATAGATAACTTAGAATATTACTTATTTACAATGTTATTAAACATACACAAATAAAATTTCCATAATTGAACCGCTTTCTCGTTAATTAATAATGAAACGCCAAAATGCCTTTAACTCAACTTGAAAGTGACTCCGCGTCTTTATAAACAACTGCGCAAAAGACTGCAACGAAATATCGCGAAATTGCAAAATATTTAACGTCACTTTAGTCCTGGAATTACGTAAACCGTTGTGCAAGATTGTCCAAATATAAAAGAATTGAAGTGAACCGCTTCGTTCATCCGGCAAGTGGCAACGTATTAAATTATGTTGATAGTATTGCGTAAAACAACATCTTGGTCTAAAAAAAGAAAGAAAGCTTTGAACAATAGAAAAGAAAACTTAAACCGAAGCATTTACACAACCATAAAGCGTGTGTAAACATCAAAATGTTGTATAAATTTAGTCATGCATTTTTTGTATCTAAAGTCTTAAACGACATGCTGCACATTGCTCATACTTTGTTTTAAAATTACTTAGGGTAAATGTGCTTGGGCCGTTAAAATTATGCACATAACAATTCACGTTCCCCGTTCGATAAAACATGAAACTATTGTTTTTATTAGCGCCATCTTACAGCTTATCCCTCGGTTGACACCATTTTCAAGTATACAGATACGAGATATCAAAATTATTACTTAAGAATCGAGAAATACTTAAATTCTTGATAAATTCTGGTCGTCATAACTGTTAATTATGTACTGCTTCAATATAATACGAATTTTATATAAATTATAATTGGGTTTGTCAGGTGTGACTTGTTTAACTGTATTTGAAGTCCGATTGAAAAGAAATATTAAAGGTCATACTTTATAAGGCAAAAAAGATAAAAAATGTGACGTCACTGATTAGTGGACACTATAAGGCATTATTACTATATAAATAAACGGTTTAAAATGCAAAATATATTTGTAAATATTTTGAACTACGTCTCGACTAAAATTTTTCGAAACTTCAGTCAATACTAATTTAAAAGGTTTTATCGACCCAGTTTAACACATAAGAGACACATAAGGCCATATAAGAGCGATGTAAGAGGTGTTATAACAAATGTTGCACTTATAAGTGCCGTCTTATAAATCCGTCACTGTCGCGGTCGTCAAAAGCATTAACACTGCAATAAACGGCGGCCGGCGCGCGCAATCTGCAAACATTGCGCATGAGTCGCGCCCTAAAATAATTGAACTGGCGAAAGTTTCCGACGTCCGACACCGTTGACCTAATGATTTGGGGCGTAAATTATCCATTGACTAGTCATGAAGGTCACTGTCTAATCCTTCCAGCGGTCCCACCGCCGTATGGCACAATCCCCAGAGCGAGAGCAGTGGGGTGACGCAGCGTCAGCAGTGTCACTCGCACAGTCGTCGCGTACCCGTGAACTTGGCCTGGTCCGATCACCCTGGCCCCGAGGCCTTATCAGAGGCGCCGCCCGCGGCCTATAATAGCTGGGCCGGCGTCTCCCTTTGCCTCCAGAGTGGCCTGTGACTTCGGCAGACATGTTTCGTGCTTTGTGCTTCTTAGCTGTGCTCGTGTCTGTACGCGCCTGCAACACCTGCAGTGAGTGTCATTTGTCACATATTCTGTCGTTTTCTGGGTCATTGTGTACGAATATCGCATAGTTTGAATAGGAAATGCGCTTGTGTTTGTTTACTTTATACGGACGTTGGTAAGTTGGCGCCAGCGGTTAGTAAAAGAATTCGCTTATCTGTACTGTGTAAAATGTTTTCGCAACATAAAAATTTTCTTACTTTACGGTAACATAATGTTAGATTTATTTTTAATTGTGTAGTAAAGCAAAAACGTGTATATCCTTAATTTAAAAAAGAAAATAATACATTTTACATGTATAAAATTAATACGTGTATAAACAGTTAATTCAAACGATAGATAATATAGAAACTACAATAATTATTTAAAATTCACGTTATATCGATAGGAAAATGAAAGGAAATTGCTCTGTCGTAATAGGTACGCAAATCTGTATTTTGATTTCAACCAGCTCTAGATCAGACATTCAATTCCTTGTATTATGTCACATATCATTTGCTAATAGTAGCGCGGTCTGAAGAGCTCTTCACCTAAGTGCATTATAGGCAGCAAACTAAAATGTTTCGAAACTGAATGTCGAAGATATAACAATGTTAACAGGTTACGTGATAAAATTTCACTCTGTGGCAAGAAGGTCCCTTACTGTGCTTCAATATTGTCACAAATAATTAAATAAAAACTCTCTATGATTCAAATTATTTACTACCCTGATAAGACATTCTCCTAAATAAATATGGTAGTGATTATATAAATAAGAGGGTATCCTATAAGAATTGGTGTCCTCGAAAAATATAAAAGACACCTCATATAAAGTTAAAGCGCTGTTAGGAGATGCAGCCATATATCAAAATGCAACGGGAACAGAGTTTTCACACGTTCCAATCACACAAAAATTATTATGGACATAACTTCATAATAAATTACATATTATTTGAAAACTTACTTTAGAATTTGAAAACTTTAATTTCCCATGTTATTGTTATTACATAAACATTTAATTAGACTGAAAATATTTGACGAAACGGGCAGGACTTGAACCGGCATCCACAGCGTTCCGTGCTGCTGCTCTAATCAATTACCGCGTAATACACATGTGGATACCGATTCTTGCATCTAAAAATTTTTTATAATACCTAAATATGTATATTAAATCTATATGCATCATGCACTAATTTTCATTTCACTATACTTTACGTATATTGTGTAAGCGTAAACACTCTTACTATATTTAAAGTTTAATTAAATTACGCTGCATTCATTTGTTATTTAATGTGTTTTCCTATGACAGTAAATATTTTCAGTAGATCAGACGAAGATCTTCGTTCCCGTTATCAATAGCAGGTGGCCCACATTTACTGGTTATAAAACTTTTAAAGACTTTCAGTCATGTCGGTTAATTAAGTTTGTTATCTGAAACAGTAAGCATGAATGGGTGGAAAAAACCTAAGATGCACACAGACAATAATCCATATAAATTCTAACGAATTTTGGAAAATATATTACAGTTAAATTAATCTTAATTAAAGTAAAATTAAAAGCACGTCCAAGCCGCATAGGAGTATTTAACTCGCAAAAATTTAAAAATATTCGTTGAATTTCATACCTTGAGTCAAAACGTTGGGTCGTAATGACGCATTTAAATAAAACACTTTAACGGTTTAAAACGCGATATATTACGCGAGGAGACGTCTCCCCGTGACCACGGCTGCTGCAAATCACCCGAAACGTCGGGCCGAAGTTAAAAATCATTTCCAAATAAGTTTAACTAATATATCGCGTTTTAAACCGTTAAAGTGTTTTATTAAAATGTGTACTACTCGCGTAAACTATAGACAGTATCGTAATGACGCGTTTAAATACCCCATTCGATATTTTTTTTCTTTAAATAATTAACCCTTTATATCTACTTGTAGATTTAAAATATATATATATATATATTTTTCTTCTGTCATGGCATGTTTATTTCTCATTTCAGCATGTGGCGTGATGAGAGGTGCACGTGTAGTTGGAGGAGGAGCCGTGACCCCTGGAGAGTTTCCATGGCTTGCTGCTCTGAAAAGAGACGGAAAACTGATCTGTGGAGCCACTGTGGTTGCCCGAGATCACCTGATCACTGCTACCCATTGTATTTATGAGTGAGTTGTTCTCTCCTTATCTATACCAACCGATTTCCAGGGTAACATTTAGCCCTAAATATTTTACTAGGTTTAGTAGATTTAATGGCTATTATTGGGCTCTTAATAATATTATTTGAATATTTTTTTACATATACCATGTCAAACTTTCACGTTTAAAATAAAAATAAAGGAATATAGCCCATATCTCGGTTAAGACATTTTGGAGACTAATGGGAACACAAATAACATTAAGTTAACTACTATTGCTTTCTCTCATTTTGCTTAAAACATAATTAACCAGTTTCCTCTTTATAATTCAAGTTTAATTTAAAACAAAACGTTAATTGTCCGAGGTTGCGCCGGCGACATATATTTTTTAATTATTCAGAGCGGATAAGTAAACCGTAAAATTATTATTCGAGATTACCCCAATGCGATAGTAAGAATAAAAAATAAAAAGTATCATAAACTCGTACTCTTTAAGCTGTAACACTTAACTACTTTCAAAAAGCAAACTTTTGCCCTAATTCGATTGGAAATAATGTTTATGACGTCGGCTGCACTTACAAGTAATGTGTGTATGTGTGTTAATGTTTCGTCGAAATCTGAAACCAAAAATACATGCTCATATAAACACTATAAAATGTCATGGTGAGGTGCATCCTCAACGCTTAGAGACATTTATTAACCATTACTTTTGACCCAGTGACTTAAAACGTGTAAATTAACGATATTTCGAGTTTCGCGTGCCCTCATTTTTTATCAACGTGATAAGGGCGTCATAATATACATTTAAGAGACAGCAGTACTTTTTACGTACTTTACAGCTTATTTTTAAAAATGTTTAAAGATAGGTTTTTAATTTAACCTTCTCTATACGCTCAGGACATAACTACATAAATGCGACATATCTATCTTTGTTGCAATGTATCTATCAAATAAAAAAAATACTTGCATCTAGTTAACAAAAGTGTCGTCAGGTTCAACAATACGGCCATGCAAGATTTATGCACAAACTTTCTCATCTAGTAAAAGATTAATATGACAATAGTTATAAATACTTAATCGTATAGCAATACATCCTGCATGTTTCATTTAACAATACTGGTAATTATGTTTTAATTAATTGCATTTTTAGAAATTATTTCCATTTATGTAGACTGACACACAGGACTTCGAACCTGCGACCCTTTGTTCTCACAAACACGTCACGAAAGTTCGTCGTCACAAGTTTTACCTACCTGTTAAACGAGATTCAGCTCAATCAAAAGGTTTCTTTTCAATTGTAAAAAGTATAATTCTGTTCATTAGGTTAAATTCCTAATAAGTGTATCATAGGAAGACTCTCTCCACAAAACTCAAACAATCACACGTGGGTGAGGTCAAATAACAAATTGGTGAAAGTCGATAATGAGTAATGACGTATATAAAATAAAATGCGACGACATAATGTCAACTTCTTCCGTCGACAAACAATGAATAGGATTTCTCTATTTTAACGGCTCTCAACTTAAAAGTTTTCTAAATAATAATTGCTATCTAGCACTAGTTGTCATCTTTTTAAATCATCTTATAATTCTTAGTTTGATGACTTTCAAACGTTTCTCATTTTGGGAAACGTAATAAGTACGTAAATAAGAAAACTTCTAACCATTCTTGTTTGTATAACTATAGATTGATGAGGTTTTTTGTAGCTTAATTTGAATTAATTTAGGTTTAATAGATTCTTTCAGTTCGTCACTTTTCTCTTGTTATTTAGTCTGTCGAGATTAAATCAAAGTTAATTAACTAAGTATCTTTTAAAAACACAATAACCAAAAGCTCCCACCGCTTCAATTTATGGATGCGTTTATTAGTAGTAAACTATACTAATTTATTATTTTGCATTATTTCATAATGTAATCATTATTCTAAATCTGCAATGAGCAAAAGATATTTACTTTCGTATAATTAATAAAAAACGTGCAAGCCATTATACTGGCATGCCTGAAGTATGTTTGTTCAACATAAGCAATGCAAGATACTTGTATAACATTTTGCTTATTTGTGATGACACACATGTCTTTCAGAAGTCACATTTGTTTTGCGCAATGACCCTCAATAGATTGCTTAAAACATATGTATTTGCATATGAGCCTTGCTTGTCTGTCGTTTTACAAATGGAGACGCGCTGCATACCTCTGTACTTGCTAGATGGTTTTATGCAATCGACACTCAAAGTTTCCTAGTGGGGTTATTCATGGAAATTTTATTAGAGGAAAATATAAGTTTTCGCTTTCATCATCTTAATGTCGCTTAAGTTAACCCCAATTTTGATGAAGCTCTGAACTTTGAAAACAAAATTGATATATTTTAAATACATTACACCTTAAAATAAAATACGGTGTCAAGTACATATATTATTTACTCGATTTTGTTACACGCCTGTTAAAAAATAGATCTCTAAATTTAAAAAAATTACGCTGTCAATTTAATTTGATCGTCGCACATTTAAACACTAACAAAATCAATATTACAATATGTTGTATGTAAGAGCAAGGTCGGGGCACAAATCGGGTCTAGGTTAATGATGGATGCGCTCACGCACCTTTCTTTGTTATGTTAAGTTGCAATCATTTGCTTCGTTCTTTTGCATATTGCCTTGAACATGTAAGTTCGTGTGTATGTTTGTATGTTGTTGTTTAACAAGTGGTTTAAGTGGTTGTCCGATTATAATATAATTTTTTACTTTAACATGTATAAACTGAATTAAAATAAAGCTTAGTTAATACTCACAAGATTATTTATCTTTCCACAGAGTTGAAGCATCACGGCTAACTGTCCTAGTTGGAGAGTACGATGTGAACAATACTCGATCAGATGGTTTCCAAGTGTCTCACGTATTCCAGCACCCAGACTTCAATAGATATACATACGACAACGATATCGCTGTTCTTCGACTAGCTGAGCCATTACCAGACAAGCTTTACAGACCTGCTTGTTTACCCGGTAAAAATATATTGTACATAAAAGTTTGATTTCTAAAACCGTGCCTATAAAATTATTTTTTCCATACCTATATTTCTAGATGATGACGACTATCTAGATGGTGGCGACGCCATAGTCTCCGGTTGGGGCAGCACAGTTGAAAAGGGTCCACCTTCTAACATACCTATGAAGGTAAGCTTTACCCTTTATTTCTTTAGATAACCTACTCTTATAATTGTTTTATATATATTCCATAACATTCCAAAGCATACTAAAATCGATCTAATTTTATTCATATGAATCCAAAGTAAAGGTTGGGCTCGTTTAATATGCTTTAAATATAAATCAGTATTTATGAACAATTTATTTTCTTTAGGCGGAAGTACAAATATGGACGCAAGAGGAATGCACAAATGCCGGTTACGGTCGTAGAAAAGTAACGCCAAGAATGATATGCGCAAACGCACCCGATCGTGATTCTTGTACTGGAGACTCCGGTGGGCCATTGTTAATGGCTCAACCGCACTTTACTCTTGTTGGTATGAAAAGTTTAAGATCAAATGAGCTTTTAAATTGTCTAAACAAGCCATACTAACAAATAAAACGAAATACAGCAATGAACGTATTCTAGTCCTACAGCTTCGTTTGTATATACAAAACTTCCAGATTCTTTGATTTTTACAGGTATCGTTTCGTGGGGCCGTGGCTGTGCAAGACAAGGTTACCCTGGCGTTTATGCGCGTGTAGACCGTTTCATGCCGTGGTTGAAAGTTGCTCTAAGACATGCATGCTTATGTCAACCACCATTTTAGAAATAATAACTATGAATTGACTTAAGTTTGAAAATATTTTTTAGTTTAGGTCCTAATTAGTTACCAATATTTTATAAGAGTGTACGGCATTTAGATACACGTAAAATATAAATTGAGGCTATATGATAAGGCCATGAGAGAGCTTTAATATGTTTACTACTTATATATGAAGAACAGACGTCCTATTTTTGTATTATATCAAAAGTAATATTACCATGAAAACCAAAGTGATATTGCATTGAACAGAGTAAGAGCATCGGGTTTTTGTTATATAACTCAGCGTTGAGGAAGAAGAACACCTAATAATTAAGAATGTTTTGGAAAAAAAATCTAATTTAACTACTTTATAACAGTATTAAGTTTTAATTTAATTAAGTTTGACCTACAGCATTTATAGTGGTCGAAATAACAATAATAATATTATGTACATTATTGTGATGGTACTGCCACAATGTCATGTCTGTAATAAGTTTTAATAATTAGGTTTTTTTTAATGGCTGTGACTTAGTTTAAAATTTTATTGAATAAACATATTTATGTGTTAGAAGTTAGTTTTTATTTATCATTTTAACATTTATATATTGAATTAAACGATAAGTTTTTATGACGTTATTACAATAAATAATTAATTCTTATTATTTGATACAGTTACTATTAAATGAGACATTGCTCTCCATAAAAGGGAATGTTGAAATTAACTTTTCTTCGAATTGGCAATATGCCATTTGACTTGTATCCCAGCTTTGTATATTTGACAGTTGACTTATGATTTTGACAAGCATAAAGCAGGTGCTAGTTTGCCTCCGTTTTTGAAATAAACTCGATAATTCTATTTATTTATTTTGTCCTTTTGATATAAAACGTGTTAAGTAACTAGAAATGAGTCTTAGTTTTTCACGTAAAAGTTAATAATTAAAACTATGCAGTTTTCAGAGAACGAGGCTGTGAGTATATGTTTTGGTGAAGAAAGTTAATGTTGATTTTTCCTTTGTGCTTCCTGTGTGAACTTATTAATAAGAAATAAAACATAATAAAGTTTGTCCTTATATATTCATTTATTGTGTTCAGGATGATACATCAAGTGTGGAAAGTACTTCAAACACTGACAATACTTCTCGAAGTGAGACCCCTACTAACTCTCGGGTGAAGAAGCGAAGGAGAGGCAAGAAAAAAACAATAAAACCTGTGAAACCCCCCTATAAATTCAAGTAAGGATCCTCCACCTTTACAAAGATTATTGTAACAGTTTTAAGTGATAAACATTTTCTATGTAGTTGCAGTGCAAAGGAAGATCATGGACAACCACTGTTTGGTTGTCAGTTTAATCATCACTTAGGAGATGGTGAACCGCGAGTATTTGCTGTTGTAGGTAGCAATAGAGTCTCAATATATGAGTGCCCAGAATCAGGTGGTTTCAAATTTCTTCAGTGCTATGCTGATCCAGATGTTAGTAAAATCATATATCTAACCTAATTAATAGACCAGACAGCTGTCTTAATATTCAAAAATCATTTTAGGTTGATGAGACATTTTACACTTGTGCCTGGTCTTATGAAGAGGAAACACATCTCCCTTTATTAGCTGTGGCTGGCTCCCGTGGTATTGTGAGAATCTTCCACCCTGCATCGCAAACATGCATTAAACATTATATTGGTCATGGCCATGCTATCAATGAGGTCAAATTTCATCCTCGAGATCCAAACCTCCTGCTTTCAGCCAGTAAAGATCATGCTTTACGTCTTTGGAACATTATGACAGATGTCTGTATAGCTATCTTTGGTGGTGTTGAAGGTCACAGGGATGAAGTATTAAGTGCTGATTTTGACTTAAAAGGGGAACGAATTATGTCTTGTGGCATGGACCATTCATTAAAACTATGGAGATTGGACAAACCATCTATGCATGAAGCCATAAAGCAGAGTTATAACTTTAACCCACATAGAGCTTTAAGACCATTTAATTCTTTAAAGGAACATTTTCCTGACTTCTCAACACGCGATATCCATAGAAATTATGTTGATTGTGTGAGATGGATGGGTGATCTTATTTTATCTAAGGTAATGAATGCTGTTTTAGGTATCAGTTTTTTTTTGTGTTATATTTACCAATTTTTTTAGTTCTTTTGTTTGTATTGACCTTTGTGTCTAATTTTAGTCTTGTGAAAATGCCATAATATGTTGGAAGCCAGGACGATTGGAGGACACTGATTTACGCCCAGGTGACAACTCTGTTACAATTGTTCACAGATTCGACTATAAAGAATGTGAGATATGGTTCATACGATTTGCTGTTGATTATAGCCAAAGAGTAAGTTCTTAATACAATAAGTACTTTCTATGATTTAGCATTGTGTATAGTAAATAATGATGTTATATCTAAATTATAAGAACAGAACCAAACATCATAGTTAACATAACCTGTTTCAATTTCAGTCTAAACATAATTTTCAATCTATTTGTAAATAAAGAAGAATTTGGGTATGTTTTTATTATTTTTTTGTTAAATAGGTCATAGCACTTGGTAACCAATGTGGCAAAACAATGGTGTGGGAACTGGGTAATGTTGCAGGGGGCTCCAAAGCCTCTCAGTTGGTTCATCCTCGTTGTGTTGCTGCTGTCAGACAGGTAAGATCTACTGAAATTGGCCAGTGACTCAGACATTTTAATGGAGTAAGACTTAAAATATTACTGATTGAGTTTATTATTAATAAAAGTCTGCTTCAGGTGACATTTTCAAGAAATGGGAAGGTTCTTCTGACATGTTGTGATGACGGCACCATATGGAGATGGGATCGAGTCAACAATAACAGCTAGCGAAGGTTAGCAACTAAGTATTGGCTCACTTGGACTTGTATTGATATAACTTATGATGTTATATTTAAAAATAAATTACTTATTAAATACAAATGACGAACTGCACAAATGTTTGTAAAACTATAATTTGGAAAATTAGTGAATTCTTCTATTTAAAACTGTGTTTTGTCCCAAGAGTCACTGTCACATAGTAGTTATACATATAACTGCATAAAACCCGATATGAATTTGTCGACGATGATTACTGATATACACTTTTACTTGGCCATTGAACGAGGTCCTTTGAGCCGGAAATACTAAGTAACAAGCATTTTCTACAGGGTGATGGAAATAAAAGACCATTTACAAAAAGTCTCATTTATTGAACAACGAATTACGTCTACTTTAACAACAAATGAATCACAGGGGCAACGGTGTTATCTCGTGTCTTACTCGATACGTTGTTACTATAAATTCGTGTCAAATGAATTTGGTCTGAGAAGTACATGAAAAAGCGTAAGTTGAAAAAGTTATCGAGGCTTGTTCGTTCAATCCGGTATATTTAAAGTATACCTCGATACCTCTTTAACTCCCGATAAATGGATGCGACATGGGGATTCAAGCTATACGAAATAAGTGCACATAAAATGGTAGAGTTATTTAAATTTTCAGCAATCAACAACGTAATGTTTAAGAAGCATAACAATACTGAAAAAAATTTCGAAGGCTAAAACAAATATTATTCATAGTTCATCTCCTTAACTGAACATACTAGAAATTATCAGTATACTCTTAAAATCTTTGAATACTTGTATGTGTATCTCTCAAACCAAACTGCTACACGAACTAATATCTACACACCGTATAACATGTACCAACTACATGAGACAAACTACAGTATCCTAAAATGACGCCATAATTGAATTTAGTCCATTCCAATTAAATTCAGTCTTTAAAAATTATCTAATTAAATCATCAATGAAAATTATACAAATAATTTTATATAAAATTCGTTTCTATTCATGGTTTTTTATACATTGTTTTCGTATTACTTTTAGTATCTAATTAACTATTAATTGATTTAATGCAAACATTTTTCTTATTATATGGCTCTAGTTTTCATCTCTACATAATAATTAGCCTCAAAAACAATCCTAACTAAAGCTTCTTTTTATCCTGGGAACGTCAGGCTTTTACTGGCATATATCTATAATCATAATCTGACTTCTTACACAATACATATATATTTTTCATCTACTGACAATATGTAAAAGAGTCATGCATCAACTAACAACTATTGCGGCTATTTTTATATATATTTTGCTTTCCCTAAAACTTATTCTATAATAGATTTAACATGTAAAGAGAATCTATTCAATTACGCTCCTTTATGACTGCTAATTATATAATCCAATCCAATTAATAAATTAAGAACATTTATTTTTCGCAAATCATCAAAACGAAGATCTTTAACAAAAAGCGAAAAATTAACGACTCGCGATATTTTTTATATGAAGCAAAGACTATTCAGTACATCTTTCAAGCAACGGAAAGAAGCAGAATAAATCAAAGAGGTGACTGGTGAAAAAGACATCAAAATACATCAAGCTTGCATTGATATACTAGAGTTTTCTACTTCTAATAGCAAGTATGAGGTCCTGCCTAATGAATGCTGGAATGTCCATTCAACTAATAAAAAAGCAGTCACAAAAAAATCTAGCAAGCTACAATGGTGTCCCATCATGATCTTGTCGTGACCTTATATTAATTTTATTCATTAAAAACCATACACTATAATTAGCGAACTACAAAATATAAATCATTATTGTAATGTGAGTTTGAGAAGTGTAAATAAAACTAGTGTTATCGAACGGACCTATTCATATATTGAATTAAAAACAAATACATAACAAAAATAGTGTCAAACACAACATATAAAGCTAACTTGACTAGAGATATTAAAACATATTTGTTTGCTATTAATAATGGCTTAAAATAAATAAAGAGATCGGCACGAGTACTGTAAAATTCAACTTAAAGTAACTTTTTATGTCTATTTTGAGTACCTATTAATGTATTATTATTAATTTGTAAATCAGCGCACTTGAATAGTTAAATAGATTATCCTTTACTTTACAACTGATTTAACCGACCCATTAAATTGTTAGTCTTCTTATCAATAAGAAGATTTATTAACTTTTCTTAGACCATCGTCAGCACATTTACACATCGTATATTGGTTGATCGACATTGATAATAATTATTTCTCCGTAATGTTCCAAACTTTTTTTACCATGCAATCATGTTTTTGTTACTTTTCATAATTAATATCAGCTGCAAATACTCTGAATTCAAAATGTTGCATACTTGACCAAACTAAATGCGTATTTCATACATGAATCTAACGTAATATCCACTTCTCCATATCGTTAACCATCATAATATGGTAAAAATTACAGCCATTAATTATTGGGCCCCATCAAAATAATAAATTAACTAAAAACGCGCAATATCATTACATGATGCTACTAAAAGACTAAAGCTAATGACCGTTATCATTACTGTGGTACGCAAAATAAAATGTTAATAAATATATAGTTTATAATAAAATAAATATTTGTACATAAATGAGATTCCTTTTTGATATCCTTATTTAACTTTTTAAATATTTAAATCGTAGTCTATGTCTAGGAAGCCAATAGGACCTGAAAAGTACTAAAGCAATAAAAATGCGGTTCAGGACGAATCATGTATATTCCTATACAATTCATTTGGAACCTATTAATGCGACAATTTTATTGATTAAAAGGCAACTGTTTATTTGCAGAAACTTGAAGCCTAATGTTAATACTAAAAAATGATACTTTGCCGGTTAGAGCAATTATCGTCATGTCACATCAATTTAAAACCGCGTTTCGAATACTTTGTTACTTTCAACAGGTAAACACTACTCTACGGGCGGGTATCAATATTATTTATAATTAATCACGACTTAATTTTCTGACTTGATTCCACTACAACGCCTTACAGTTACAAACGTATATATCGTCAGCAAAATAGTTTATATTGTTTGTGAAAGGGACACGTAAATCGTTCACGTTTATATTACAAAACTACAAAAATATGAATTACTCTTAGCTGATGCGAAAAAAGAGTTTCCTTTCTGTAACTCCTAACCACTTCCTTTTGAGAGCAGACGACCAAAACATATTTACTCCGTTTTATGTTTCCATTGACACCATTGGAACTCTTAATCCAAATCAGCTGTTAAACTCACATTCAGTAAATAAATATTTACTAATATCCAATTTTAAACTAAACAAACATCGGACTAAACGACCCCACACATGAAAATACTTCACATATCCAATGTGCGATTTAGTTAGACTTGCACCATTTCTAATATAATTTTGTGACATACTTTTATCTATAACATATAATCATAAGAGCCAGTTCAATGTTATATACAAAGTAGTCCTCGATAACTTAGTTGCCTACGACACCCCCCTTAATCTTCCCAAAGTTACAATCTGTGTTAAATTTAGAAATGTCTAAGATACTTTAAAACAGTAATGTTTAATTCTAAATGGTTTGTCTTGTGGCCTGAGGCTAATATTACTATTTAGATTTACTCTGTATAAAATAATGGCACTGTTAGAATAATTGAGGTTCAAGTCTCTTTTTAGTACATATTGCAATACTATTGTTTTTATAAGGATAAACTAATTAATTTATTACATAGTTTGGGATCAGTTCGTTGAATTGTGAAAATAGGTCATTCATAGGTGGAAAATGAGCAGTATATATTATTAAAACGGAAAAACGTTGCTATTACTATTCAACTAAATAATTAACTCTTCACTATTTTCGTATTACTGCTAAACTTTTGTGTGTATGTGAAAAGCAATGAAATTCGTAATCACTGACTTGCATTGCAAAGTTGGCCTGGCAGTTTTAACCAACATTTCAAAAAAAAAACTTCGTTCCCATTCAAGTTTTACACTCTATTCTGGCCTTTGGATCAAACAGAATGTTCTTTTATAGACACTGAGCCTGCGAAATGTTCTTAAAATAATCAGCAAGTAGCAACGCACACTTGGAACAAAATGAGTGTAAACTCGAAGCGATCGTGTGTCATGTTAGTGTCGTGTAGGCGGTCACCTGACGCGTCCCGAGGGCGACCTCAGATGCGAACGAATGTATCCGGTGCGGTAGTCCACAGTGTCTCTGTTTCGACCGGAACCGTCATTCCCGCGTTGACGACGACGGCTCCATCTGTGCACGACATTCGTAACTTTACTTAACGAGTACTGGATGTCCAACTGGTTAGCTCACTCTGTGGACCTCACACGGTGCAACACGCTATTAGAGTATAATAGAAGAGCGAAAAGATTAGCCACTTATAAGTCGCGTAAGATAGATAGTGCTGTGTAGAAACAGAGAAATATAAAATCAACCAAGACGATGTCGCAGTAATTTCTTTTTTATTTTCTTCAAAGCGAGCTAACCAATTATATCTATAACTTACGGTGTTCTGAAACAGTAATCACAGAGAAAGTTATAGTTGATGGTTAATGTTTCAGAACATCGGCGTAAGGCGCTAGAGGCGCATATCAATATGATTAAGATTAAACGATTGTCGCATCACTAAATCTAACTAGCTTTACATTAGCATTTAAATCTCTAATAATCTTGTTCAAAACGTTATTTGAGCCATACAAAAACCTATAGATGTTATCGAAATCAACTCATTTATTCTGCTACACTTCAAGAAATGTCTATCATGAAGTATGAGTAATGAGAATGTACAGTTAAACAAACATTAAACAATTGCATATCGCTAAATGTATATTGCTGCCTAAAGGAGAATTCACATCATGACTCGAACTTGTGAAGTATTCGGATAAATGAGTAAGTATTCCTAATTTCCAACTAGTTTAGCAAAGGAATGGACAGATGTTAACACACAACACTACAGGGTCCAGAGAATACCTGTGGAAACGTAAACCAAATCTGCCATGTAGTCCATTTTGTGTTGTGGATGGAGTCTGTCCTTTCGGAATTGGTAGTGTTCCCTAACAAATTACATTCATACAATTTTGTTGAGAACGTGCCAACCGTATGTACTTAAAGAGAGTTCCACTGAACCCGAAAATGTACTTGAAGACATTATCAAACCTCGACTTCCTAAGTTCACTTTAATATGCCCTCAACGCTTGCGTAAACACTATTTATACAATCTAAGGCATTGGGGCAATACGGCTGTTTTAGTACCTTATAAAATTCAATTGAAATTAATCATTATGGTTTACCAAAGTTTTCCCTAATCGATTTATTGCGAGGGGGTATCGAGCGCGATCTTAGCCTGTTAATGGATCTAGCAAGGTGCCAAACCTGAGCAACCTCATGATGTAGTCCGGCCAGTTGTCAGGCAACATCACCAGTGAGAAGCCCACCGCTATTAGGATGATGCCGGACAGCTTCATACCTTCGAAGCATACGCCGTACAGTACCACGTCCAGAGCTATAATAATAGTTTGTTTGTTTAAAAATTGTATACGGTTTTGAGGCCATTTTGCAAAGTTACTAAAGTATTCAAGCGGTTGGGTCGAATTTAAAATTGGGGCACGGCACTTGCCCTTATACCAATTTCATATAGATTCATCAGGTGTTGAGCGTTGCCAGACTAAGCAAAGATTGAACCTATGTGTCGCTACCACCACCACAACCAGAAACCAAAAAATAACCTTAAAAAAGCTTTAGTTTTTTCGTTGATAGATAAAATTTTATAGTTAATAAATAATAGAATACATTAGTGAATAAATATAATAATTAAATATTGTGGTCTTTACCAGCTGAAACAGGTACTGCAACGATAAGTGCCAGCGAAACGAATATATTGTAGGTCACCAGATTGCCAAATTGGAAACCCATGTGGAATACTGAAATAAGGCAAAGTCACTATGAATATGTGGAATTTAAGTAAGTAATGTGTATATTATAAATTTGAAGAGACTTGAAAAAAGGTAAGTAAGTTATATCTTATTACTGCATACACAAAGACACGCTAAGAAAAACGTCAGAAACCGTTAGAGGAAATGAAGACATACCGAGTAAAGCAACGCTGGCTATAAGCAGGTGCATCCAGGGCATTCTGTGCGCTGGTAACAGTTCGGTGCCAGTCAGGTACAGAGCCAGGCAAACCGGCCACAGGAGCGTCGCGTTCACAATGCCCAGGATGGAGAAGAACAGTGCCCGTTGACCCGTATTGACTTCGCCCATCACTTTTCTGAATAGCACCTGAAACAGACAGAAGTTATTTGAAATTATTTCTATCTACCCAGAGTTGAATTAGTTCAGTGTTAAGAAATGATAACCTTATTTCAAGCTTCAATAACTTGAATGTTTCAAAATTGTTTATAAGATTAAATAAGTTTTAGTGTTAAATTAAATACTTAATTCATTGATTTCGGTCCATCTGTAAATACAATCAATGAGTCAAACATTTTCTGCCCCATGCTCAAAATACAACAGAGACGTAATTTTAAAACAAATTTGAAATTATAACATAATGAACGGGCACATAGAAAGTAAAAAGTACAATAGCTGTGATTAGGAATTTATCGGGTCACAGTGAACGTACCATTTGTGGGTCAGTATAATCGTGATATGGCATGCGATAATACAACACGAGTTTATCGATTAAGAAAAAAACATTTATGTGAAGGAGCATTCAAATGACACAAATAATTGTTTAGCGAATTATAATTGAAAAAATTCATTGTAAAACAAATATAATATAAATTTAGAATTTGGTAGAAATCTGAAGACGATAGAGATCTTATTTATATTTTTTTGTGCGGATCGAGTCGTATATCTTATTGTATTGTATGTGTCCGTCCTAAATGCTATAATTTTTTTGTTAATATGAGATATAAGACGAAAGAATCTGAGCAACACAAGTTTGTAGGCACTTTTTCCTAGGTCTTTAAATTTTTAACATCTATTTTATTCACACTCAAAATTTGACGCAGCTAATACCGCAAGTAATGAAAAAGGTTGAACCAAGATAACCGTTATAATTTACTTCCAATAACTTTATTATTTACAGTTATGATATATTCAAAATAAAACTATGACTGTCCACAGTGGATTTAATAAAACCTCATGTTTTTACACTTATAATCTTAATCGACCTTGAAGACATTGCATGTAAATGTTATAAGAAAAGCAGCGTTTGTCCTGCGTTTGCGTGATTCTTATATTTGGTGAAAGTACTATAACACGCAATATTTTCGGGCTTATGAAATTTTATATATTATATCCTATTTCATGATTATTATTCGTATTTATGGTTTTGATTGGCCTTAAAACAATTGCTTATATTATTAAAACAAAAAAAATTGCGTCCACTGCCTAAAACCTTGAGCGCCTCTGTAACCAAATTACGTATTGCATTAAGCGCGAGACAAAAAAAAACCGGTCGGGCGGGGCACAGAAGCCTGATTAACTACTTACCTGTTAAAGAACGCATCAGTGAAACGAGATTTTACTTACTACCACTACATAAAAGATAGTACCTTGAATATAGCGAAGCCAGCAGCAGCACAAGCGGCCAGCACAACACCGCCCAATGTAGAATTGCCTGTGATGCCATCCATGTACGCAAGTAAAGCGATTCCGGTGTCACATAGAATTGCCGCGACGATCTAAATCAATGATTATTTATTAAAGAATCTTATCCTTATGTATTATATTGTTTGAGTCCAGAGAAAACAGTTTCTTTTTTAATCAGTTATTTGCTTTAAATACTGTCTATAGTTTACGCGAGTAGTACACATTTAAATAAAACACTTTAACGGTTTAAAACGCGATATATTAGTTAAACTTATTTGAAAATTATTTTTACCTCCGGTCCGACGTTTCGGATGCTTTGCAGCAGCCGTGGTCACGGGGAGACTCCCCGTGACCACGTTAACTAATATATCGCGTTTTAAACCGTTAAAGTGTTTTATTTAAATATTTGCTTTAACATAAAGTTGATCTTTAACAGTTTAATAACTATTGTAAATTGCTGCAGTTAGTTAACGGCACTATAACAAAATAGGTACATAGGATTCACTAAGTAGAATTGTGTTATTTTTAGTTTTGTTTCTTTAATTTTAAATACATACTATATTTCTCTAACATTATATCAGTTGAAGTAAAATAATTGGCTTACCCGAACGCCAACAAACTGCTCATGCAGTATCACCCAGGACAAAAGGTAGATACAGGAAACGTTGGTCGCAAAAAGCGCTACGACATCCGTTGATAACAAAATCTTGAGAGAGTATGTGTACATGTAGATAGTCACTACCCACAGAAAACAAAACAGCGCACAGCGACTGAGGAAACGGGCTATAAAAACAAACAAAATAAGAAAATGTTTATTGTCTTATTGGAAAAGTCATAGGATATCATGCAAAAAATTAAGGTATTATTACAACTGTAAATGTTTGTTTGTTATTTAGTAATTAGACAACCACAGTACTTGTGACGAACAGCCTAAGAGTTGTACACTATATTTGCTGTGCCAGCGACTTTGTCCGCGTAGCAGTTACTTTAAGCATCAAAATTAATAACCTTCCCACGACGTCGGTCGCGTCCAGTCGTTCTTGCAAGCTAATCTTAAAAAATGTTCATAAATTTTTTCAGACCTTTTAAAAAGGATTTCTTTCGTACATAGGTAACCGTTTTTGCAGCGCACGCAACAGAAACACTCAAAGATGAATTATGTAACCCGATTCTTTCACATTTCCCTGCTTCTATAAGTCACAGCGTGATATTTTATAGCCTACGCCCTACAGCCTTCCTCAATAAATACTCTAACCGACAAAAATATATATTTATTTCATTCGAACCGGTAGTTTCTGAGATTAGCGCGTTTAAACAAACCTTCAACTTAAAAATCAAAAATAAATTGAAAAAAATTTCGTCTCTGGCAGGACTTGAACCGGCATCGTCAGCGTTCCGTGCTGTTGCTCTACCAATTGAGCTACCGTGTCTTCAACTTATTGATACATGCACCTATCGCGCTATGTAATTTCAACCTTAACACTTGCGTATTAAGGTTCAACGTCTTGTGCTTTGCAGCTTAAGAAATCATTGAAGATGAAGTTACAAAGTTATAACGTTAGAAAAGTTTATTATTTTTTACATGTTACATGTAGAAGTCCTGCCCGAGTCGAAAATTTTTTCAATTAATTTTCGATTTTTAAATTGTATTGTGCCTTCATGTGCAATAACATGTAAAAAATAATAATGTTTTCAAACCTTCAACTTAATAATATTAGTACAGATTTCTCGATATACAAACTGTAATATACGCAAAGCCATGAGTAAGAGCTAGTAGTTGTTAAATTCTATATCGTAAAAATAAGAGAATTCACATAAGTACTATATTTTATTTATCTTACCAAAAGTGAAGCCCTTTTCTTTGAAATCATTAAACGCGTCGCATGCTATGGCATTAGCCGACTTGCATTTGTTGTGTATGAGCATTACCATCAGATATATTGGATAAAACAGTATCAACCAGTTAGTACAGAACCATGCTGTGAAGAATGGTGCATTATATAAGTGCTGTAACAATAGCATTTTGTTAGCTATTTTTAAACATACAAAAAATGTCAAACTTTATAATTTTTTAATAATATGAGTTATTTATAAGATAATACATTAAAATATAAACGCGAAATATATAAAAAAAATTCTAGCTGTGTCTATTTCTAAGTTTTGTGTACCAGAATCAATTCAAAAATAAAGATATATTTTTAAAATGACATGAGTAATTTGTCAATTTTGTATACAATTAACCGTATTTAGACAATTTTGTTCTACACTTAGTACACTTACAATATTTTTTTGTTTAACTGGTACAAAGATTGAAGGCTCGAATAATGATTCTACAAACTCGTTCACCATTTCACAAAATAGTTGTAATTCAAATATACTTTAAAAAACAGTTAACTTACATGTGTGCGAAACCTTGATGTATAATTATTGAACATAGAAAAATCAGCACTATGAATAGGAGAGTAGTCTTGTAGATACAGATATTTTATACAGTGGGTCACTGTCACCCAGGATGCAACCAGTGTAAACGTAACACAAACTCCATAGTAGATCTGACAAATAAAAAATTTGCCTATTAGTAAATCAAACTGGATTCTGTATGCTTTTAATATTAGTCTTATAGTACACATACACTGAATCAAATCCCATTTCCTCAGACTCAGTCTTAGACTCATTTCTAGGCCTGTGTTTTACTTAACAATTTTATTAACAGGAAACTAGATGTTGCCACTTAGCCAAAAATGGTTTTCCCGATTTTTGCAAATTGAATATTGTAAAAATTAAGGTGTCTAATATACATAAAAAAATATTTATAACTAAGGTAAAGGAGGAAGAATTGCCATTATTATTACTCAGTTGTAAATGAATAACAACAAGGGTTTGTTTTTAATCATAAAATTGTAATGTTGATTATTGTTGAAAGTACCTTTTTAGCGATCCTTGAGCAACAGGAGCGTGGGCAGCCTTTGTTTTGGACTTGCCGCTCTTCATCTTGACTGCTTGCCGCCGATTCACTAAAGGTATGCTGCAAAGATGGCTGAGTGGTCAGAGGTGGTGCTGAAGAAACTGAAGTCTGAGGTGTCAACGGAGCCCGAGGACTTAAAGGTGTCGGAGGCCCATTTGGCCGCTCTCTTTCTACGTCGATACCACGATCAGCTTCCACGACTTCTTCACTGGTTATAATTACAGATGGTGCGCGAACTCTTTTTGGATTAAAAATTGTAGGGACGTCTCCATCCCTAGCCATATTGTTTATATTTATAACATTTTGATTATCTCATCCATCTCACTTTCAGTGGTAACTGTTCGGAAAGAGATTTGTTTCGTAAACTAAAAACCGATTCCTTTCCTCCATCGTTCAAACTGATTTAATACAATTTATCACAACGGAATATTATATAGTCAGCAATAAGAAGACACTCAATAAAACATTACAAATCTAAACATTTTTGTTGAATCATTTTTATCCCATTTTTCCACAACTAGATTTTCTAATTTCCATACCAAATCCATAATATTTTAATCTTGTAGTGGGTTGAAATACCTACATAAGTAGATATACTAATAAACCATAGATATAATATATTGTCGCAGATAATATTAGGTTAGAATTCACTTGTAATATTTATACAAGTCTGAGAAAAATCTGTTTATAGTAGTAACTGTAATTTATATTTCAAACTTAAGTGCTATTTATGCATTTTTATTCAATTAGTTTGTTGTATTTATATTTATTTTATATCAATTCATGCCATGCACATGCGGCTCTAGAATTAATCTTTATATCTGTGGTTAAGCATTGCCCTTAATTATGGCACGCCAAAGTCTTTACTCATACAAGAATACAGTCTGTAACCTAAATATATCGTCTTCATTTAGTCAAACATTTTTGTACATAGATGGCAGCATAAAAAAATTCCGAATAGACCCACCAGAGGGAGATAATTACCTAGCCTACTTGAAGCATCCGGGAACTTTGCCGTTAGTATTACCAGCACGTGTATTCTTCCTGATAATAGCTAATTTTAGATAAAATGTTTAACTTAGGGTGGTAACAAAAGAATTTTATACTTCTCTATTGTATTAATTATTGCTATGAACCATATAAATTTAAAAACAAAGCAACTGGTGTATATATATACTATCTGTCGTAAATATTTTGCTTTTACAGAATAGGCTAATGAAATTAATTTTTCCAGAATAAACAAAAAAAGACTCTCATGTTTGGCATTTTCGTATTTTTCATCACTCTAATTTATCCTATATTTTTCTGGGATACGTAACATTGTTGATGAAGGATGTAAATAATTAATTTAAAAAATAATGAAGTTCTAAATTCCCGGTGTGAAACGTTATTAAAGCATTTTTAGGTGTATATAGATTGGCAACATCGCTCGCCATAGTGTAAGTGTAGAAGACATGGCGGGTATCAGCCTAGCTAAATGATGAAATAATTTTTGTTTGCTAATATAAGAACGTGTTAATTTCATAGAACAAGTGTTGATATTAAAAGACTAATTAAGTTTAATTGGATTAGGACAAAAATGCAGAATGTCGGACAGTCTGAAAATCGAAATATCGATAAGGTGAATGTGCAACTTGATGTGGTAAAATCCTCCACTCCTCAGAGTTCGGCTTCAAGTCCAGCTAAATCTGAAACCGAAACATATTCCGGAGCACCCGCTAAATACATGACGGATTCATCAGAAAGCGAAGATGATTCCGTGTCCGAGGTAAAACGTGTTTTGTTTTCGCAAAGGCGGTGGCAGTGAGGGATTGTGATTATCTGTACCGCTAATGCTGCAAGGGACATCTTGTACTACCACACTACAACCATTCGACTTTACAGAACCTTATAAACCATTATAAGTGTTAAATTGCTCGAAATTGAACTAGAGAATAGAAATATTCTCGATACGCTCCTAAGCTGCTTGCCAAATATTCCGTAAAACGTCAGAAAAGTCATAGGTACATACGTTCCATCGTGCAGTGCACGAAATTATCAATGCTAGCCACTTCGATGTAGTATTTTACTATTTCTTTTTATTTCCGATGGGACTGGTGCGAAATATGTGTAATCGAAGTTTATTTTGTATTTTGGGAATAGGAAATAGGGTGGCCATGTTACTTGAATCACATGCATCAAGACAGTGCGAACTATTCAAAGTTGTTTTATTTGACGCTATTTTATATTATTGACGACAGTGTTTATTATATAAGTATATATAGAGTATATAACGAAAATACATATTACTATGTTGTGTTAAACGTCGTCACGTAAACATGAAACGGTCTTATCACCCTCGTAGATTCGCGCAAAAATGTTAGTTGGTGGTGAATAACAAGGACCATTTACAATTTCTTTTTGTTTATATATGAAAACTCAACACCCATTGCTATTATGTCTTATATTTGTCTCATTGGTGTTATAGATCTTGCTGGCTTGTTTGTGCCTTAGCAGGCCAGACCTGTTGGTAAGTCTTCAACTTTGGGTGCAGACGCTTCCACAAATCCAATTGCTGTTGCAGTTTTTGAGTGGTTCTTACAATTAATGTGCATAACGTGTGTGCCATTGATAGTTCAATATCATATTAATGTACATGTTGAATGGTCCTTGTGATTCTAACATATTATGTTTATTTGTAATAACTATAATTATAAATAATAACATCTGTTTGGAAGTTAACCCTTTATACTGCTCGAAGCTATAAAATCCCCCTAATGTTTGCACATTTATACTTGAGAATATATTGCATGTTATTTATTATTTATTTGATAAATTTGCTTATATCCCTATTAATTTACTGTTCATATAATCAACACCATCAAACTAAACATTAACGAGTGTTGTCGAGCTAAAACACCACAATATAAGAATCAAGATGTTAAAGCTAAAAGCAATGTTAACACTAGAAGCAACATATTTTTTTAACATTACTATAGTTTTTAAATATACTGAATTTTATTTATGACCACTATTTATAAAAATATATCTCCAATCTGATATTTGGCTTAATTTAAAAAAAGCATTTGAGCTCTTCATTTAATTTTGAATGCATCTCTAGGCCGATATGGATGAAGAAGGTGGCAGTGCAGAGACTTCAAAGTTCCTACTCTCTCATGGTGAGCCCGAACCAACAGTCGATGCAGAAATGCAAGCCAGGCTGGAAACACTGTTAGAAGTAGCTGGTGAGTGTTAAGACTACATACATATGAACTTTGCTATCTGTCATTATGCTATCATTGAGTTAAAATTCTTATTAGGATCGACTTTACCGCTAATCATGTAGATGGTAGCATAATATTGTAGTGTAGCTTTCTTTACATTAAAGTTATCAATACTTCTTTATCTTATGTTATGATTTTCTTAATTATGATATATAAAAAGGATATAATAATAGTATTTAATACCTCATTAGTCAGTTTTTAATTGAAAGTTGTGTCTTTTCTGATTTCCTACCCTCCATTTTCAATTGCTTATTCTTACTCAAACTAGTCTAGTGCTTTATATTGTCCTCCTGTTATTGGAAACCATAAAAAAGTAAATCTATCAATATATAAATACAAAGAAATACAAGTATATAAAAAGTTAACTTACTCTTATAGCCAGATTCGTAAGTCACTACATTCTTGTTTGTTTTGGGACTAGTTTGGTAATCATGGTTAGGTTAGAAATGTGACGTCGACAATGCAACGTCACTGCCGTGCAGACGAGTCGAGGCGCGAGGCCAATGTGGTGGGTGCAAGTTATAAGATTTCACTATTCGTAATTTGATCTCGCATTAAATTCTATAATGAAGCCATTTTCAGAAAGAATGCTATATCAATGCTTAACTATTTTAGTTTGTTTCATAAATAACAAAAGAATAATAAATATATATATATATTTTATGTAGAAATTGTATATAAGTAGGTCGATAAATCTATTTTTATATCTATTCTAGTTGAATGACTAAACTATCCCCGATCACTGAAAAATCTCAGGTTCACAGGTGTTAAGCCGCTGTCTATGTACATTTTAGTAAAAAACATATAGAAAAATTGCTAGCTAAATGTATGATAGATTGGATAAGATAAGATAATTAATCAAGCTGTTTCTATTTGGTGTTTGGCAATAACAGCAGCTCGGTTAGTATCGTGTTAAAATTCTTTAAACATTGTAGATGAGAGAGAATGTTATTAATACTGTCTTTAATAGTGCTTAAAACAATGTACATTTCCGCTGGCTCTTATGAATTACGCTTATAATTACAGTGTAACAGCCATTGATCAGTGATGGGCTACATTGCACGTTTTAAATGTACTCACTGTAGACGCGTCCACATTATGTTTTCTATGCTTGCTCACGCGCCTATCTTGATAAAAAAAGATATATATGGAAATTTTTGCAGGGCGAGTATAAATTCATTTATACCATGTTTTAAAAATATGATATTATCAATTAAAGACGCAACTTTTTTGTCAGGATCACACTTTTTAGGTAATTTCAAATACATTGTGTATTTATTCACTGCACTTTGTTCATATTAATTTTATAATTACTTACTTGAAAATCTAAAATGTAAGGTGACAGTCATTGTTGGAACAATGATATAGGACAGCCACCTGCCTTGACCTTTTCGTATTGTGAACGCTACGTTCATACACCTATTAACTAAAATCAATCGCTTTAGTCTATTTACAAACATAAGACGCAATATCGGATGGATTTGTTGTGCACAAAAAAATAAAAATAATAACTCCTCTAACTTTCACGAAGTTATCAGACTACCCCTTGCCCTCTTCGAGCCACCTCATGGATCAGTAGGACTATGCGCTTAGTTATATTACTGGTTTTTATTGTATTAGCTTCGTTGCCTGAGAAACGAACTCAAGATAAGAATAAATTAAATGTTAACAGGCTCCTAAGCTGGTGTAAATGTCCTGGCGCTACTGCAAAATATCAAAACGATTTGTGACTAATATTAAATGTATTTTCTGCGTCCATGCAGTCACACGAGAACTTTGCTCCTAATTAATACTAATTCAAAGTAATAGAATAGTTCTTTAGCGTCAATTAAATCATAGTTCAAAATATTGGTAACATAACTGTACTACGCCAATTTTGGTGATCGCGTCATAACAAATCGTTGCTCGTATTAAACGATATAAACTGTAAATTATTCATGAGGGCCGTATCTACGTGTCCTTCGCAATGGTCGCCATTGTTAGACTGCAGTTGGTAGATATGATAACTTTTTTGATATAGTAAAAAATGTGTATTTGCCTCATAAGCTCAGCTTGTAAGCACAGTAGTCATTACGTACGCGTATCTTCTATTCAAAGCTAGAAAATGATAAGCTTCATGTTATTTTATTTTTTGATACTACACTAAGAATCTCTTCGCAATACATTCGAATGTGTCCAAACATTGCAAGTGTTTTAAATGATCCATCGGTTCTTAGGGTAGAAAAGGAAAGGACGTGAGCTTTTTCTAGCTCACTACGTCGTCGAGGTTATTTTACTAGATTTTGGAACGCATCTTATACAGAACCTTGCCGTCATGTAAATAAAACTCAGTATCGTGTGCACTGCGTTAGTGACATTAAAGAGATAAAAATTCATACCCAACCACACAATCATGTAATTAGAACCAACGAAGAAGAAACTCATTGCTTATGCCACCGGTATCGATTGCATATTTTCATGTCGTGCCGAGGTGTCCGCTGAAAAAATTACATCGAGACAGTACACGCATTCGTGCCGGGTGTCCATTATACTCTAGTTCAATACATTTATACATCTTAAATAAGTCGGTCGGAGAAGTCCCTTTTAACGTTACAAACAAAACAGAAGCGTAAAATGTATTTTTACTTAACATATCACTCACAGTTTAAATGATAAAACGCGAATTCTGAATTACAGAATAAGTCCAGACTTGCTCACGAACGCTAACCGATAACAGACGCATTTAAATTCGGCGTCAGAAATTCAAGCATGATGTTTATAAAAATAAAGATGGACCTTATTGACACAGGCTCTTTATTTTATATAATCTGGAGCAGTGTTTGCGTCACTTGCACATTGAACACTGGGCCACTTGAGAACGAACAGAATCGGTAATGAGTTTCACACGTGGTGCTTGAGATCAGTTTATTTACTAACAGTTGGAGCGGTCGTGACTTATCATTTGTTAAAGATTGTGATATAGTAACGTGGCGTCTAGACGCTCTCAGTATAGACTGGTCTACTGAACATCCGATCCGGTGCAAAGTTCTACGCATTGGCCTGAGAGCGAATTTTCCATTTTATTGCGCTGATTTCGGCTTGTATAATTCTTCTATAAAATCTCCCTTTTAGTACAAATTATTGTATTTTTTGCAACAAGAAAAATCCCTGAATAATACAAAAAAAGTATGTCCTTGTGAATTTCGTATTCTATTCTCTGACGAGATAGTGTAGAAATATGTCAAGGAGCTTTTGGGTTCTGCTAAATATTCACTTTTTAACCATAACTCTTGGAAACGACAGACGTTGCTTTGTTTAAATTTAGAGGTCAAATACGAATGTAGTTTTACTTTTATCTCTACTGTAAAACGTAACTACGTCTCGGCTTCGACGCCACAGAATAAATCGAGCGAAAACTTATAGATTCTCATTACTAGAATAACTCACCGTAGCCATTGATTGTTCTTAAGCGCATATATTAAAAAGACTTTTCACAAACTTTATTCTTCACGTGATTATGTTTAATGGGAGCATTGAAAGATTATAAACAGATAGTTTTATTTTTGGTGAGTTTTGTGTCACTATGGTAAAGGCAATTTAAAACAATTCGTTATCGTTGTTTCGTAGGGTTCGTATAGCTAGTGTTTTTCAGTTTTGGTTGTGATCCCACAGCCGTACCTTCAATTACCTACTGAACTAACCAGATTTTAAATAGTTTTTTTTTACGAAAAGAGGTGTATCCCTTTCTACGATTACTATATATTCTACTACTAAGTATATAACACAAAGTCTCGTCCAACTGAAATAAAAGTGAAAGCACCGTACTTCTCTCGTCACTTCCGAAATAAAAGAATCCGTCGAATTGAAATGTCATAATCTGAGCGCCTTTACCACTGACCTTTTGCAATCAGGCCGCGCTAAGCCGTTAGCTTGATTGACCTAAGCACCATCAAGTTAATAACTTTAAGAATCATAAATAGTTGTTTCTTACTGCTATAGGGAAATTGTTATAATTGTCCCAGTGCAACAGTATAATGATTTTTCAAAGCAAAATATACATATTCATCACTACATTTCTTTGATTTGTAAGCCAAACCGACTTTTATTGTGAGCTGACCTCATTTTTAATAATTGAGCTTTGGATATTGATAACTATTTTCTATTTTCAAATCTCTACTAACCCGTAATTCATGAATTTCATTCATTGAGTTACATGTCTGTATTCATGATCAAGCTAGAATAGAATACAAAAAAAATACACAATTACTTTGAATTTTTTAGTGCCAGTGTGTTATTGCACTGTTTGAACAATTACGTCTTCGTTGCAGGTATTAGCAAGTTATCCGGGGAGGGCAAGCACCTAGCAGATCCCGAAGTTCTTCGTCGTCTGACATCATCGGTGTCCTGCGCTCTGGACGAAGCCGCCGCGGCACTCACCAGAATGCGGAGCGACCAACCGCCAGCACACCACAGGCATCATCATCAAGATAAACCGTGAGTCGACTAAAACAATAATTTTAGTCCAAACTAGTTTTTACACGTTGATTATTAAGGCAAAATCATATAATGAATTCGTATTATTGGGCATAATATAAAAATGAAACAAATAAACCTTGTATAATTTATATTTAAAATTGCTATATAATTGTAAATGTCATACTTGGTAAACTTTTATAAAAAATAAAAAGAGCGGTCCAAAATGTTACAGTTGTTGCGTTGATAAATTCACGCTTTAACCTAATAAAGACAGTAGATAACATACTGTTATTGAAGGGTCTTATCAAACGTAAACTAGCTATGAAATGAAATCTTAATACTAAGTGCATATTATAGTGACGATATGATGATAATCCGAGATTGATGTTAAGCGGTTGTGTCTCTCGGATCGATTTCGGTTGAGTCAGCGACTCCCGTTTTCGGCCGATCGAGGCGCCGTTACTGTGATTTTGAAGCTTTGATCTTATCTGATTGTATTCTCCATCTTTATTATACGAGTGTTCTTTTCATTTTCCACTTTATAATACGATTTTCATCGTCAGAACGCAATGTGGGTCTACGGCGACGGGAACCACGCAAACTGTTCCTTCCTCTGTCGGCGCGGATGGAGCTCCTTCTTTGGCCGAGGCGTGTTCGGATGGGGATGTGGGGACGGTCCGGAAACTTCTCACCGAAGGTCGCTCTGTCCACGAGACGACAGAAGAGGGAGAGTCCCTCCTTTCCCTTGCCTGTTCCGCAGGATACTACGAACTAGCGCAGGTGCTCCTCGCGATGCACGCGAGCGTCGAAGACCGAGGCATCAAGGTTAGACACTTGATCCATGTGAATATTGCCAACTGCCTTGATCTTTAAATACCAGAAATGCAATTAACTCACAAATGCTCCATTTGAAAATAATGATTTATACATTACATACGTTAGAATAATAAACCATGTATTTAAAATAAAAAGTGTGGTAGCAGTCGAAGAATGTTCATTGGTTAGAAATAGCACTTGTTTAGTTTAAGGCTATCTTTAATGAAAAGGCTTTCTTCCAGGGCGACTGTACACCTTTAATGGAAGCAGCGAGTGCAGGACACGTCGATATCGTCCGGTTACTGATAGCACACGGCGCCGACGTGAACGCAGTATCAGGATCCGGCAATACTCCTCTCATGTACGCGTGCGCAGGAGGACACGAGGAGTGCGTGCGCGCACTTATCGAGAACGGCGCTAATGTCGAAGACCATAACGAGAACGGACACACACCGCTCATGGAGGTAAAATATATTGCACATGTGGAGAAATATAGCCCGTTTTCGTTTTGTTTGCTTACTAAATAATGAAACAGTAAATATTTCACAAAACGATCATCCCTATTATAAATTGTCAAATCTTATTATTACAAACTAGATCAAGTATTTACTAGATGTCGATATACAACATATTGTTTTGTAACAGGCCGCGTCAGCCGGTCACGTGGGCGTGGCTAAAATCCTTCTCGAGCATGGAGCTGGCATCAACACCCATTCAAATGAGTTCAAAGAGTCTGCCTTAACCCTCGCGTGCTATAAGGGTCACCTGGATATGGTACGCTTTCTACTGGCCGCGGGAGCTGACAGGGAGCACAAGACCGACGAGATGCATACCGCGCTCATGGAGGCTAGTATGGACGGTCACGTGGAAGTGGCTCGGCTCCTGCTAGATTCTGGAGCACAGGTGACTGTTTTTACTTTCGTTGTCGAATTACAACATTATGTCATGACACGTTCGGGAGAACTGCTGTAGATACTGCATTTGATTTACTTAAAGTTAAATAGCTTTAACAGTAAATAAACCGTTAATAGAGTTGTTACAGTGTATTGCACAATATAGTATTACTTTCTGTATCAATAATGATATTTAGTTTGACAATCCAATCCAATTAACACTAATCTATCTCAAAGATTTAAAGACGTTTTTACGTGTGACCGGCAGTGGCGGTAACTAATTGGCAATATCACAAATGTCATGTTATAATTTAAACATTGCAATAATGTTGTATATATTAAGTACACATCATCTCAAATTGTAATTGTTATTTCAGGTAAACATGCCTACGGACAGTTTTGAGTCTCCCTTGACGTTAGCCGCGTGCGGTGGTCACGTCGAGTTGGCTATGTTGCTGCTAGAGCGTGGAGCCAACATTGAAGAGGTGAACGACGAGGGGTACACGCCGCTCATGGAGGCTGCCAGAGAAGGTATGTTAATTTGGACACTCAAACAAGTTTAAGACCCCAAAATATTTGTTTGTTCATATATAGGGTATCTCTATATGTTGATTATAACACTAGTAGACATTTTTTTGCTAAAAACTGTCTGTAGTTTACGCGAGTAGTACACATTTAAATAAAACACTTAAATGGTTCAAATCCCAAAGTATACTAGTTATACTTGTTTACAAATTATTATTTAATTATGTAAACAGTATTCCTTGTTAAGAAGATACGACTGAACTGAATTAATCTCATTTCAAGGACATGAGGAGATGGTAGCATTGCTGCTAGGCCAAGGCGCTGCTATTAACGCGCAGACGGATGAAACGCAAGAGACCGCGTTGACGCTCGCCTGCTGTGGTGGCTTCCTTGAAGTGGCGGACTTCCTTATCAAGGCTGGCGCGGACGCAGAACTTGGCGCTTCTACTCCTCTCATGGAGGCCAGTCAAGAGGGACATTTGGAGCTTGTCCGGTATGTTACTTTACAAGTTTCCATTTTCAAAACAGAATCATGTTAGTGATATGGTAACTCCCTAAATTATTACTCATATAGTTTTCAGTAAATATTTTTATAGTGCCATCTTAATCTGTGAATTACTAGCAAAGTTTTACTATCGTTTCACCCTTTATCACCAAAATCCTATCAGCAATTAACAACGATCCATTATATTTCAACATAATCATGTTTTTTTATGTTAGGTACCTTTTGAATGCGGGAGCGGATGTTCATGCGCAAACGCAAACAGGCGACACGGCACTCACGTATGCCTGTGAGAATGGGCATACGGATGTGGCGGACGTGCTTTTGCGTGCAGGCGCCGTGCTCGAGCACGAAAGCGAGGGTGGGCGCACGCCGCTGATGAAGGCGTGCCGAGCTGGACATCTGTGCACCGTGCAGTTCCTAGTTGGAAAGGTAGGAATACATACACTTCTCAGTACATCGAAGAACCATTCAATAATAGTGGCTTGATAAATAATAAAAATTGCATTACTAAAGTCACCCTTTAGTTACAAACAACTTTCTGCATCTGAAGGTATATTGCTAATCGTGTTGCCTAGCATTGTGATACACTAGAAGTCCTGCATTCGAATCCCGAATAAATTGTTTCGGTCAAACAGAACATTGAAGTTAATCAACTATTTGCCTATAAATATGACCGATCAGTGTAACGCAGACAGTTCCCCCACGGGGGTAAAAGAGGACATACAAGTTACTCAGTTAAGTTTTGCGTCATTTTCAAAGCATAATTGTGTCACTTTTTGAGAATGAATTCTGATTATGTCTTTAAAACTAGGGCGCCGATGTAAATCGTATGACTGCGAATGCGGATCATACGCCGCTCTCCTTGGCCTGCGCGGGTGGGCACGCGGACGTGGTGAAGTTCTTGTTGGCTTGTGACGCGGACCCTTTCCGCAAGCTCAAAGACAATTCCAGCACGTTGATAGAGGCCGCCAAGGGAGGTCACACTGCTGTTGTGCAGCTGCTCCTCGACTTCCCGCATTCCATTATGTTGCCCAGAGGTGAGGGTAAGGAACTAAATTCTGATTATTATCCTAGATATACTACAATACAACGATTACTAAAATACAGCGAACTTATTCTTGTTTTTACAATGACACTTTGTTTTTTACCTACATACAAAAGCTACTGACCGCTACGACGAACAATACCTGTGTTATATGACATGTTACTAGCACATAGTTGAAATAATTATGAGCGAGACATGACTTTATTATAAAAATGACACTGACTTAACTAAAACATGACTGTTCAATAGGTGGTGTTACATCGGAGGATAACAATGGTCTAAGCTCTGCCCAGGCCGCGGCACTCGGTCTATCTCATGCACCTACCCCTGGCTTCAATCAACGCGCCTTACTTCCCGCCCATCCCCATCCGCCTCCTCTCGCACCAATTCCCACCGCTGCGCCTGTGCCCGCACCAGTACCTGCAGCTACACCAGCACCCACGCCGGCTGCAGCTGACCTGCCGCCTAACTTCGCCAAGGTTTATCTAGACGGTAAGAATTTATTTATTATGGTACATCGACTGACTACGTAAGTACGTATAATCGGTTTTACTAAACTAATAAATACCTATGTAGAAGACAATTACTGTCGTACACAGCATTATCAATTAATATACTAATATTAATTGATAATGCTTTAAAAATTTTTTAGTACTACTAAAAAATATATAAGAGAACAGAAATCGAACCTCATTATTACAAAGTGTCTGTTAATTTCGCTTATTCAATAATAGTACTGGTGTTGAAAAGTGTACTAAAAAAAATACACCATTAAACCGTTATGTCGTTTTCAGGGAGGAAAAAACAACCTGTGGCGGCTAATAACGTGGCGCCGGCAGCGAACTGTCCACCCGCTAACCCAGTGACAAGCGCAGCGGGTACGCTTCCCATGCCAGCGGGTACGCAGGCCGCTCCACTTATGGGCACGGGGGCTCCACTTATGGGCACCGGTACTCCGCTCATGGGAGCTGGAACTGCGATGACCGCACCCGCTGCCAAACACAAGGGCACCCGTAAGCAGCGGCCCGCACCACCACACTCCGATCACCACCTACCACCACCGCCCGATATAATCGAAGATCAGGTTTGTATCATTTATTGAAGTTTTATATCTCTTTAAACAGGTTAGTACTAGAAACGACTCTGAAAAATATTGGGCCAAGTTCCTTATATAACTATCCAATCCATGCATTATGTCTGAAACTGAATAACCGTCAAACGTTTATGAGATCAATTTAATGTTTCGCGGGTTCAGGTATCGATGCCATTAATGATTTTTGCAACAAACACATCAAAGTTTCATCTCTGCTTTGCAATGTCATAGTTCATTTAACATACCATTCTTGCTTTGCTTTAAAAATGGCTTAACCATTACCATTCGTAAATCATTTGGCACAATTCATATTCAGATCTATGTTATATTAGTTTACGATATTATTATCATAACGTATAGCTAAAAATTTGTTATTGGTATTTAGTATTTTTCTACTACTGAAATGTAAACTTAATATGACATAGGATCGTCCATAAGCGATATAGGTTGTATTATATACATATGTATTCAAATTCTTGATCATGTTATTCCTTTTTGCTTGCTTTCCATGGTAGCTAAGCCACAAGAGCATGGCTAAGTTACCCCTACCGCCCGGCTTTACGTGGAAGGACGTTCCCAAGAAATGTAAAAATAAATTTGATAAGAAATTAAATGTGAGTGGCTCATTAATACGTAGAGATTTCGATGTTAGATCCCTTTCTTATAAACGTTTTGTTAGACGATGTATTTAATATGTGCTGCTTTAGGTATAATATCAATGTTATGTATACTGAGCTGTTAAATTGTATCATTGTAGTAAGTAGTTTATGCAGGTAAAAATTGAATCATTTAGCACCATACTTTTAATATATTCTTAGTCTTTTGTTTTCCCAAATACTAGTACCAATTATCGTTTATAAGAAAGGGTTAGGGACAATTAATTATTTTGTAGTCTACAGTAGCTGGTAATGTACAGTTGTAGTAAATAACTTATGCCTGATATTTAAATACATGTATTTTATTTCCTAGTCATTATTATTTATAAATTAAAAATGATATTTTATTTGTAAACGTTACAGAGTAAATAAATGTCGTATCTTGAATGTTAGGGTAAGACACCCATTTTGAAAACAGTTGCACCATGACAAAGCACCTCAGGACGCTGCCATTTCGTCATAGTAGAACTCTGTTACTAAAACTTAATATATATTACCGATCAATGGTTTCATGTACTGTATTATTGTTATATAGAGAACGGACGTCCTCGTAGGACAAGTGCGCAACGAAACACTGCCAGAGAACGAGAGAAGTATGCTGGAGCTAGCTGACCCGTCTGGTAATTTGATTTTAACTTTTTACTTAGTACTTTAATTTTTTACTTAGTACTAAGAAAAACTTTAACGATTCTGTGCCACATATTAGGATCCATGACCCTGTCTTTTTCAATTTATAAAAAGATTAAATATAATCATCATTGGGCGCATTTTTCTTTAATAACACTTGGACATATTTTTGAAGTTAATAATTTGTGTAAAGGTCCACCGACGCTCGCCACGTCTGCCCTGCATGCCCTCGATCTACAATATTGTGCTCAAGGCAAGTGCTTTAATATATATAAGAAAAAAGGGCCTATATATATATATATATATATAGGCCCTTTTTTCTTATATACATGTACTTAGTACATGATTAACGTCGTCCACTGACAAGCGGTTTTTCCTGGGCCTAGTTTAATGTGTGATATGTGTAATATTTATATTCCGGTTACATGTAAAGCTTACTATTGTCCGACTGATTGATTTCCAATAAGTAATTTTGATCAAATTTGACCTAGGCTTGACAATTGTTTGCCCGTAATAAAAAGCCATAAGTTCCATTATACGGCCTTATAAACAAATATTTATTAACACAAAATAATTAATTTGGCACTTAAAAACTATTCACGTTCGCGTTTATATCAAAATTATGTTGTTTCCATGGCCAGACTTTGCTTGAGACCTAGATTTTTGATCGTAGCTTAAAGTAGAATACTCCGAAACCATATTTGACAAGCATCGTATAATTCGGTATACATTGGTACATTGGAAATATTCAACGATGCGATCTTTTCGAAAGGCTAATAATAATATGTATTTTCAGTTGCAGCGAAAGGCCCGCTACCCAGTAGCCCACCCTACCCGCCACCGCCGAATTATTTATACCCAGTGCAGCAATTAGCAACTAAGTTAAACCAGGTAAATGCATAATCTGCAATAATTGTAATATTTTACAATTTTTCACTAAAATAATCTTTGTTTTATCTTGTGAAGCCCTAACTTAATTACTTTGCATATCTTGTTATGACTCTAAAATAAATGTAGGTCTCCTCTAACAAAGAACTAAATATCTGTAGTCGTTTGGATAAAAAATTATATGCTTTAGTTCACTAAATAAAATATTTATTAGAATACCCCGATACAAGATCGTCCCCGCGCTAAGGCGACACGTAAATGTGCTAAATTTGGTTGCAAATTTCTCCTCTTAGACGCATTGCAACGTCTCGGACAACACATTAATGAAGTCGGTGACGTCACGGTAACTAAACAAAATGATATTAGGTTCATAGATATTTTGTATTTCGAGTAGAAATGTCGCAAAAGTAACGGTGTAATTTTTTGCATACGCAATTTGTTAAAAAATGAATATTCTCGACCGCAAATTTCATTAATGTTCAACAGCATATTTAACTTAGTTCCGTAAATAGTGTTGGCAATATTATTTTGCTTAGTCTTTGTATAGACCTACAACCATTTATAGTGTTAACGCGTGTATCAGTAATAATCGTGTTTCATTAGGTTTCATAAATAGTCATCATTAAAAAAATGTGATTTTTTTACAGCTCCAATTGCAAGAACTTCAACATCAGCAACTTCAGCAGCTTACAGCGCAGCAACAACAGCAACTAACGGTCCAACAACAAGAACTGACGGCGCAACAACAACAGCAGCTGGTTGCCCAACAACAACAGCAGTTGGCAGCGCAACAGCAACAGCAACTGACGGCGCAGCAGCAACATAAGAAACAGCATCAGCAGCAACAACTACAACAGCAGTTGCAACAGCAACAACAGCAGCAGCAGCAATATGTTGCGGCACAAAATATCCAACCAAGGCCTGAAATTTATGTGCAACAAGTAAGTACAACTAGAAAGAGAACTAACATAATATTGTAGTTGGGTACTAAAAAAACCTAAGGATTTTTTAAAGGACAATTCAGTTTTGCCAAATGATGGTTGGCAGCACACATTAATATATATATTTTAATATTTAGGTAAATGTCGAAGTCAGTGCTGGGGACGGCCATACAGTGGAGGCGCGTGAGTTAGGAGCTGTGCTTGCCTATCTTCAGAGAGAGGTTCCATCCTTAATTGCACTGCCGCCAGACGAGCTTAGAACCCTTGTGCTGCAGGTAATTTAGAGTTATAAACTTAACTGAAGAAAAATCTATATAAACTGATAGTAAAACTCAATTGTACAAAGCCTGCCATGGTGTAGCAACAAAAAAAAAGAGAAATTATTTATATTTTCTGCTACTTTTTAGTAACTACCCAGATTTATCATTACTTCATTACCAACAGGTTATGCAACAGAAATCCCACGAGATCTTATTGGGTAAATGTGCCGGGGAGGGAGATGGTAGCGGTGAAGAAGGAGACGAGAGGAACGCGCGTCGCCTTCTCGCTGCCGCTGAAGAAGCGCTGTCGTCAGACTGTGACATGCAGGTACTAAATACTTTCGATCGATCTTTATCAGTCTACATTTACACCAAAGAACACTTGACACGGGTTTAAGTCCTGCCCGCGTAGTATAAAAAAATGTGACATCGATTTTTTAAACAACTTGAGTTACTTTATAAGGATAATGTAAAAAAAACTTTAAATTCCTGAAAAATTAACTTTTATTCCAGAACATGCAAGCTGGTGGTCAGTTGACACACACCCCTTTTGTCGAGACCGACGGCCCACAAGCGACTGACGTAGTAGCTGGTGCGGCCGAACCTCAGGAAATGGATGTGCCACCGGAACATCATCATCACTTTGCTCTGCCACCGCCCGCCATTACCTACGACGACTATCGGTACGCTTACGTTATATTTATGATTAATAAAACACCGATAATAAGATAATAATAATAATAAGACAAATATCTCTTATAAAAATATTTCAAAACTTTTTAATCTATGTATGACAAAATTGAGGTAATGGCTTTATTTGATAAGGCTAAAAAAATAAACTTTCGACTTTAAATTATATATTAGTTTGGACGTTATATAAGAAATTTAAAATTTTACACTAAGTGTATTATTTATCTTAAAACATTGTTTATTAAGTGTAACTCGAGTATCGAATCACCATGAATCTCTTTTTAGGACACCGTCGTTCGGTCCGTCGGAAATAGCCAAGAGCGCGGCGATAGCCAGTCTGGCAGCGCGGCAGGCGGGCGTCGCGCCAGACGTGTCTGCCATTCTAGCTGCACGGGTCGATGCGAGGCTCAACGCCATGACCACGGGGCTACCACCTGATGAAGCGTACAACCTCACCGCCGGCATGTTGTCTGGAGTTGCGGCTGGCCTCAAGGTAAAGATAATAAAAAGAACTGTTAGCATAACAGAGCAACTGTTTTAGTAGCTCAGTTGCAAAAACATATTGCCCATTGTCCATATTTTCATTAGGGATTTTAAACGGTGATGATAATGATAAAATACGTTTGTAGGCGCTTACGCCCGCTCCCGCTCCCGCCCGATCCTACACTCCGCCTCTTCCTCACTCGACAAAGAGGGAACATCACCACCAGGCTACCAACACTCCTACTGCTATCAAGAAGAAGGGTCGCTTCGGAGGCCGTGGCTGTCGATCTGAAACCTATGGGGCAGCGCCACCTCAACCGGCGCCTGCTGCCTACTCCGCTATGGACCTAGACGCGGAGACGGACTCGAACCACGACACGGCGCTGACCCTGGCTTGTGCTGGAGGACACGAGGAACTCGTCGAGCTGCTCCTTTCGCGTGGTGCTGATATCGAACACAGGGACAAAAAGGTAACCTTTCCTTTATTTTATGAATACAAAAGATTACCAAAAAGTTTTGCCTGTGTCTGTTTTCGTCGGTGTAACCTGCTAATTAAAGTCCTAGAACTCACTTCAATTTTGTTCCATAACACAATGTTAAACATTGAACTATATAGTGAACTCTTTCTAACTTGTAATTTTTGGTAAACAAAGACTCAATTTACATGAAATCGTGATTATCTCACAAGGTTTATTGTTGTTTGTTTAAATTTGCTTAGTAAAAATCACAATTCCGTGCTTAAATTAAAAGAAATTCTAAAAATGAATTTACGAATAAAGACAGATTAACATTTATTTAGTTTGACACTTACATGTAAACAAAGTCAACGCGAATAGAAGGTAGACGACATCATGAATGATCGCTGAAATGCGTTAAAAAAAGGTCGTCATATAAAAACTAAAAACTTAAAAAAAAGGTCGCCATAAAGGTAATTTAGTTTAGTCCATAATAGATATTTCTATAACAGCAATAACTTCACTCTATAAAAGGTTATCACAAGTTCCTTATGGTTTTAAATCTACCATATTTGTTGTGGTCTTTTGCCAAGTTACAAAAATACACTATTACAGTTTCATCTTCATATTAGTAATTAAACCATATAATATAGAGTTAGAATATTTCAGTGCCTAACTAATTATTCTCATAATTTGCAGGGCTTTACACCTCTAATCCTAGCAGCGACAGCAGGTCACGAGAAGATTGTAGAGATCCTGCTGAACCACGGTGCTGATATCGAGGCGCAGTCGGAGCGTACAAAGGATACTCCACTATCGCTCGCTTGCAGCGGGGGTAGATACGACGTTGTCGAGCTGATTCTCAACCGGGGCGCTAACAAGGAGCATAGAAATGTCTCGGACTACACCCCTCTGTCGCTGGCTGCTTCCGGTGGATATGTCAACATAATCCGACTGTTGTTGCACCACCAGGTAAAAATATTATATTTAGTTGATCAAATAGTTTTCTTTTTCTGATTTTATTTTTAAAGTTTTTCTATAGTCTTACTGTATTTAAACCTGTCATAACCAGGATTTTCTAAATTAAACATCATTTGATGTGTATAATGGTTTATTAAGTCCCATTTTATATATTGTAGATATTTGAGATTAAATTTTACTACCCTCTTATTCTTGATCAGGTTAAAATTAAACTACAATGGATTTAAGAAAGTTTTATCATCATTTGATAATCTAAAGGTGTTTTCTTCGATGTTTCGCTTTTAGACCCAAATCTTAACCTTATTGGATTTGTCTGTATTTAAAGTCCCTATAAAGAAATTTGTCATATAACTAACTAATTGCACAGGCGGAAATCAACTCCCGTACCGGTTCCAAACTTGGTATCTCCCCGTTAATGTTGGCGGCAATGAACGGGCACACGGCGGCTGTACGACTGCTCCTCGACTGCGGCTCGGATATCAATGCGCAGATCGAGACAAATCGCAACACTGCGCTTACCCTAGCTTGCTTCCAAGGTAATTTTTTTTTAATATAGAGGATGCCAGACAAGCATGAGATTAATTTGAAATACCCCAGGCATATAACATCTTAATCAGATGTGCATTTGGAAATCCACAGTCTGACATCGAAACGCGATGAAACTTCGCGTCTTTTTCTCAGTGGACGGTGGTTTGTGACCCGGACGAAATTTCGATATCACTACCACCCCCTTAATATCCAGATTTCCAGACAAATGTTTAAATAAATATATAAATTAATTAGAAACAAAATTAGGTTGTACTCGGTGAGGATCCAATCCACGATCCGTTGATTATTAGCCATGTATTGCTACCACTACACCGACAAGCCTGTGAAGAGACTACTATGAACTATGTTTATAACAAATAAATTAAATAAAGTAAAAAAATTGCTCAGTTCCTTAATCAGTAGTCCACGTCAAAAGACCAAGACCAATGTGTGTACAACATAGTTTACAGTGTTGTCTATAGTTACTAAATTATGAATATAATGATTTGTAGGTCGACACGAAGTTGTTAGCTTGCTATTGGACCGTAAAGCAAACGTCGAGCATCGAGCGAAGACCGGCTTAACACCTCTTATGGAAGCAGCTAGCGGGGGCTACGTGGAAGTAGGCCGAGTGTTGCTAGACAAAGGGGCTGACGTGAATGCGCCACCCGTGCCTTCATCTAGAGATACAGCCCTAACAATTGCCGCGGACAAGGGCCATACTAAGTTTGTGGAACTGTTGCTGCAAAGGTTAGTTGCAAAGTTCCTACGTTCTATTATGTTGTATGTAAATTTCGTTCAAATATATATTTATTGATTATTTTATCAAAACTTTTATATTAGTAATAGTTAATAGTGAAAGGTGTACAATATTATTATAATGTTCGCAGACGAGCTGCGGTGGAGGTTAAGAACAAGAAAGGCAATTCGCCGTTGTGGCTAGCAGCAAACGGTGGACACCTTGCTGTGGTCGAGATGCTCTATGCTTCCGGCGCAGACATCGATTCACAGGACAACAGAAAGGTAATTGATATCTTAAATATACATTGTTGTATATTTATCATCCAAATAACAATGGCCCAATTGGTATGGGTACTGAGCCTTAGTATTTTTTTTCGCGACCAGAAACAAATCAAAAGTTTTGATTAACTTTGATGTATGAAATACCACCCTATACGAAAACATTATTTAAAAAGCCGACATAATTGAATATCGTCAAAAATAGTTTTGAGGTAAGAATCAATAAATAAGTTATATAATCAAATATGTTTTAACTGCAGAACTTAGTATAAATATATATATTTTTTTATTAGATCGATATTAATTTAAAAAGCCGAATTTTTATGGGAGAGTATATAAAGAAGTTAAAAAAAGTACCTACCAATCATAGGGAATAACAATTATCAGTCATGTGTCAGTGACCCTATATGTCAATCGATGACAAATCGTTTCGTTACACGCAAATGATTAAAATACTTGCTCTTTACATATAAAAAAGGAAAAAAAAAGTTAAAATTATTGTATGTTTTAACTTTATCTAAAGATAAATTCGATATGAGGACTCTAACGATACGTTTGTTTTTATATAGGCCATTCTTTCTTTCACAATGATCGGATTCAAAGCATAGTCTTTTCATAATCATGACAAATTGTAATTACAGGTGTCGTGTCTAATGGCAGCTTTCCGCAAGGGCCACACCAAAGTTGTCAAGTGGATGGTCGGTGTCGTTACGCAGTTCCCCTCGGACCAGGAAATGACAAGGTACGCGTCACCCCGTGTTTGAATAAAGTCATTAAAAATAGTAGTGCAGCAGGTATTAACAGTTATTTTCATTCCCGATTCAGGTATATTTGTACAATATCGGACAAAGAGTTGCTGGAGAAATGTCAAGAGTGTGTGCGAGTAATTCGCGCGGCAAAAGAAACTCAAGCGGCGCGTGCAAACCAAAATGCGACAATTTTGCTTGAGGAGCTAGATGCGGAGCGATGCCGTGAAGAGAATCGCCGCCAAGCAGCCGCGCGAAGGCGTGAAAGAAAGAAGAAGAAGAAGATGGAGAAGAAGGTACCGTTAGCGTTAGAACAGGTTGAGCATTTTTAATTATAAATAATACAATTATACAATTAGTGCATGTCTGTCTTTATCTTAAATAGAAAATATTAAATAAAGTCCTTATATTGAAAATTATAAGTATCAAGTATTGTTTTAGTCGTCTGAAAGTGTTCTCCTTGTCTTCAACAGGAAGAGCGCCGTAAACTTCAAGCGGAGAATGAAAAGAACACCTTGTACTGCGAAAAAGCATCAGGCGAGTTGTCGGAAGGTGGTGAACCTGACGACGAACCAGTTCCCAAGGAGGAAGGCGACTCCGGTATTGATGCTAATTCACAGGTCAGAAGGCACAAAAATTCTTAAAAATAAAACTATATTATAATATATAACTCGTGGATACCTTTTATCCTTTTCCTTTAAACGTTAGAGATTAACGCAAAATAAAAAACTATAGAATAATTTTCCAATTTACAATGTTCGTTCGATTCATATACAGGGTTCCTGTTCATCATCGGATGTGAAAGCTCCACCCGCTTCAAGCAAGACTAAAAAGAAGAAAAAGGAAGAAAAGATACCTACTCCTGCACCTTCTAAGAAACAACCTGATAAAGTAAGTGCACTAACAGTAATGGTGTCCATCAAGCCGATAAAGATTTTGAATTGATCCACTTAATAAAGACAGTGGAGGAAAAATAATTCAAAACATTATTATTTCTCCTACTTAGACAAAGTCCAAACTAGAGTCAAAAGAGAAGGAAATAAGTACTAAAAGTGAGAAAAAACAAGAGAAAGAGAATGTCGCACCTGTAGCGCCAGTGGTGCCCGTCCCCCCGCCTAAACACGAACGCACCAAGAAGGAAAAGTAAGTTTTGCTTCATAGAATAAGCCGAGGCCTTTAGAATTCTAACGAAACAGTATTTTTGTCGTTGATTGAGTACTTTGCAGAGTTATTGTGTTAAGAAATTTTGTAGTAACATTTTAGTAGTCAATAGATGTTGTTGCATGTGCTTTTATAAATAAGCGTAGCTAAACGGTGTAAAATAAAATAGCCGGTATTCGTCTATGTACTTAGACTCAAGAAATTTAAGGTATGGGGGTAAAACGGTAAATGTTGTTACAGAAGCCAAGAAGAAGATCTAAAAACCATAGCCGTACAGAATGTTAACAAGTACGGAAACAGCTCTAGAAAGAGCCAAGTGTTTGAATCGTCTAGGCTTAACGTGGAGAAAGACGACGTTGACACGATCGAGAAATCTAAAAAAATATTCAGCCATCAGTAAGTCGACACGAGCACAGACTATCAAACCTTTAATTACAGACAGAGGTCTTATTAAGTCGATGTCAAAGTTGTTCTTACTTCGTGTATAATGAAGCGCTTATTGTTGTGGTTTTAGTTGCATTAGTTGTATGCAATGGTATTGTATGCATGTTACCATGGCTAATAATTGGCATGATACAATTTTTATTGCTTGAAAAAGATAATGTTTCAAACAGCACTCAGAAAGGACATTATTAATTTGCTGTAATTGAAGAGAAATTCGTGCTAACGTTTATTTTCATCTTTAGATGGGAGACGGAAGGCAAAAATACGTCCCCAAAAAGCGCAACTGCTCCAAGTGCGTCACGTCGCGAGGAAGGTTGGAAGGAGGTTGTTCGAAAATCTAGTGTACAACCACCCTCAGCAGTCGAACCTGGGTATAATATGGATATACCTTTCCTATTTGATCGAAGTTTCATATATTTTATGTAACTTCACTCGATGAAATGACAATCAAAGTGGTTAATTGTGTCACAATAACTCAATGTACTGAAGTGAGGTCAACCGTGTTCATCCCATTGGGCATGTGGCGAACATATTTCGATGTCCGTTTCACTGATCGGTTTTATTTACATGCAATTAGTTGGCCGAATTCTTTGCACTGCCCGACCGAAACTATCTATTATTTTCCCGGTATTTAAACCCAGAACCTCTCGCGATGAATGTAATGCTAGGCAAGACGTTCAACCATTTAGTTCGGGTTGTTGCTGGTTTTAATCTATACAACCAAGAATTCCTTTATAAAGAGTTAAGATATGTTCCGTTTTCTGTTAAATATCTTATTTCTTAATTGTTTTCTTCGATTTACAGATGTAAGAAAGTGTGCGTCGCATCCCATGCAATATCGCGAGTGATCGGCAGAGCCGGATCGAATATCAACGCTATCCGTTCAGCTACAGGCGCCCATATTGAAGTTGACAAGCAGACTAAGGGACAAGGAGAGCGAATTATTACAATCAAGTATGTTGGTATTTATTATCTGTGAATAAATGTTACATGGGACTGAATTGGCAAATTTACTTTTTTAAAAAGTTTAGTCGATGGAATGTATCCATTATTGCATTACTGATCAAAACATATATTCCTTTAAGCAAAGAGACAGTTTTAAGAGTAGGTACGAACGAAGGTACACCGAATCATCAAGTTACTGTATTCAGGGGCTCAACGGAAGCTACTAAGCAGGCAGCGAGCCTTATTGCAGCTATGATCCGAGACCCAGAAGCAGATATTGCTCAACTGTTGCCTCGCGCTAAACTACCCGTCCCAGCACCGCAACCTGCAGTCGTGAAACCAGCGAAACAACCGACTACGAAGGTATGTGTTAACAAGTAAATTACATTTTATATAACCCACAATAAAAAGTCTACACAATCTATTAATTCGAATGAATTTACAATATGTGAGTGTGTATATAACTTTTTCTATGCAGACAACACATTTGACCAGCGTGTCAGCTGCGACTCGAATGGCCCCGCCCACAAGCGCAACCGCAGTAGTAAGCGCTGTGCCTGCATCGGCCGTGCGTACCCCCGCTAAACAGCATCCACCCGCACGTGCCCCTACGAGAATACATGCTCACCGTAAGTTACGATTCACAAATCACTGGCACACAACACTATCAAAAGTAATACTACATGTAGCATTATATTGAGTTAGGATATAAATATATAGTTTAATATGTAATCAAAAACAGTAAACAGCCTTTTAGTCTACATTTTAACGGTATAACCAACGGGACCCAACGTCTCTCACCAAGGTGTAGGGTACATCCTAATTTAAATTCAAGAGCTAGATTTGTTTCAGTCTCGCTTTGAACGTATTTCTTTCTTATTAAGGAACAGGGGTAAATAATATGCGATTCTCAACTATGTCTATAATAAAATAATCATCCCGCAGCTATCGCTACGGTTGCAACCGAGAAACGAGCTCCAAGCGCTCCAGGGGCAGTCGGCTCCAGCACCAGCAACATCGTGAAGCCCGGAGCGCTCTCGTACACGGGCGCTATCGTTGGTGCAAGAAGCCACACATTCGCCGCAAAGGTTACTGCTACTCCGCCGGTTGACAGCAAGCCCAGACCTTCGACGCAGGTACAAAGTCTGGATTAATTATTAGTTTATTCAGTTACTTTTGAACTATTTATTTCCACACACAGAACACTCACGCCTCATTCAACATTATTATTACCTATAATTTAATTTTCCAATCTTACCAAAAATGTAATTTTGACAGGTGTGTGCAAGTCCATCGTCTAGTGCCGCTAGCAGCGGAGCTAGTTCTTCACCCCTGAAATCTCGGACACCACCACCTGCGCCCGCGCCACGCCCTCCTCAAGCTACGCCTCCGCATAGGCAAGAAGATCCACGTGTTAATGAGCGATTGCAGGTATAATATTTTTTTATTCTCCAAAGGTCCGTCGAATATTTAATAACATGCTTAAATGTGTAATTGATATGACTTGATATGTTCAATAATTATGAATATATATAAAAAGCGTTTATATTATTTACACCTTAACTAAATGAAATTACCGTTTTATAGCTAAGTCCAGACAACGCAAGCACATGGAGCAATGAAGAGAACCCAGTGAATACATCTACTTCAGCTCTACACATTAACACTACGCCACAGGTAAGTTTTTTTATTACATATACAGAAAAAGCATTGTTTTAAATTAAAAAGCTCTTTATTGTGAAAAGTTCTAAAAACGTCATCGTTCTTCACATAAATTATTAGTGGGGTTTTATTTGAGATGTTTTTTTTTATGTTTGACCTAAAATTCTTTTATATATTTTATATAATATTTTTGATAAGTTAGACCCTATTTCATAACCATTTTCTGTTCGCAGTCAACGGGCAGTGCTAGCGGCAGCAGCGCGGGCACTCTTGAGTACTCCCTGTTCAAGGACCTGTCCGCGGGTGGGGGTGGTGGAATGTGGACGAACGAACCGCACGCAGAAGCTCCGCCTCCTCCTGTCGATGCGAGCAAAGCGCCTGGTTACAGAGGCGCAGGGGGTGGCGGCGGTTGCTCCCCATGTTCGCGCACGTCGTCACACGGCTCGACACCTCCACCGTACCACCAGCCTTATCATCAGCAGACCTCTATGGGTAGGTCTAACATCTTTAAATAGTTTCTTTTTATTGACGTTGGATTCCAGACTACTGCACTATAAAATGTTTATATATTTTTTTCTGTTTGACATTATTCATTAAATAGTGGAATTAGATTGTGTTCAACATTTCGACTAACTATTGTGTTGATTAAGCAAGCCATAGATTAAATTAAAAGTTTTTTTTGTCATAATAATGTTTAAATATGTAAGATTCTACCCTTAACTTTCAGGCAACAATATGAACGCCATGGACATGAGCGGTCTGACTCGAAATGGACCTATATACCAAGATAACTCACGCAATGGACATAATATCATGGTATGTGTTTAGTTTAAAAAAAAAGAGTTCATGAGAATGTAAATATCAGAAGTGTATGACCAAATCACGTATAGTTATTGAGCATGATCACTACATAGTATAAAATAAGGTCGCTGTATGTCTGTCCCTATGTACGCTTAAATCTTCAAAACTACCCAAAGGATTTTGATGCCGTTTTTTTTTATAGATTGAGTCATGAAGGTCTTTATATACAAGGTTTACAGTTTTTCTGTAGTGTACTTAATATCAGCATTTCACCCAAGCAAAGCCGGGGCGGGTCGCTAGTCAAGTATAAAGTAAAGAATACATCATATGATGCGCCGTAATCGAGAATCGATATTTTGCCGCTATTCGAGTTATAGTGCCAATTTTTAAAAAAAGTCACCTGCAATAGTTTACGTTTTAAACCTATAAAATTGTTTTTTGTTTGTACAATGAATGTATACCCACATAAATAAGTTTATCCTATGAACGCGCTTTCTCTGTTGACCAAAATTACGTAATGTTTTCCGTAGAGTACAAAATGTCATCGATTTTACAGGTATCAATGTCGAGTGGCGTGAACGTGGGACTGGGCTACGTAAACGTGGGTAACGTAGGGAACGTGGGCGTCGGTGTGGGCGTTGAAAACGTGTCTCGACTTAACCCTCGTGCACCTGACTTCGCTCAGAGACACCCGTTACTTCAGCATCAGCATAAACATTCGGCGCAGGTAGCTAATAGTTATGCATCATTTATTTTTGCCCTTTTGTAATTAATTATAAAATATATACATCATCGTTTTATATTGCTACCTGATTTAGACGGTTTTGTGCAATGTTTGATTGCATTTTCTTAGACAAGCGTTTGTTTGAATCAGAAGCGCGCGAAAGAAGCTTCAAAAAACGAAATTTCTATTGATAAATATATCACCACCTAACCGTGACTTATTTTATGTTTTAGCAACTGTTTGCCGGCGCGGGCAACGCCAGTAATCTCAGCTCGCTGCTGATGTCATACCAGCAACATCCACAGCCACAACCGCCACCGCAGCCCCAGCCGCAACCGCAACATCCCTACCAGGTATTATTAATGTTTAAAAAACTTAATCCCAAAAACCGTATAATGAAAATAAAATATATATTTATATGAAACATATAAAATTGTAAGAGGAACTGAATTATCATGTAAATATCTATTATAATTTATAAAAATTTTTAGTCGCTCCTTGACCGCGGAGTAGGGGTAAATGTGAACTCGGTGGGCGTGGGCATGGGTGTGTCATGGGGTGAGGAAGAAGAGAGGAAACCTCGCCCCATTGGTACGGAACGCGCCTGGAAGCTCACCGCCGGCGAAGACTGGCACCACCGCACCGACCATGACAGATACCAGGTAACAAGCCCTCAGAAAACGTACCATCGTTTCGATAATAATTAAATTCAAAAGCTAACAACGCAGCCATTTAATTCTTTTTTTTATATTTATTTTTTGGTCAAACCAATTTTGCCTATGAAATGGAACGAGAGCTCTTTTCATTCTTCATAAAAAAGTCTATAGAAATATCTAGACGCGTAGTCTCAAGATAAGAACAATAGTAAAAAGAGGTGTTGAACTTAGTCTGCGTTTAAAATCTAACTAACTATAATGATATTACAGCAAGGAGTAAGCGGCATGAGCGGTGTAGGCGTGGGCGTTGGGGTGAACACCGGAGTTGGTGTCGGCGTTGAGGGCTACGGCGTGGGTGGAGCCGGCGCAGGCGCAGCTACGGCAGCAGCTCTCTCGCTTATGCATGCGCTACCACTCCACTACATGCCGCCCGTGCCTGATCATCAACAATGGGACCGCCCGCCACATCACAACAACGATAAACAGGTATTACTGCCTTCTATGCTTTACCGGCTTTATTGTTTCTAGGAATTAAAATCCCATCTCAGATTTATCTTCGAACCTTATACTTATGAGAGTGTTTTTTTACAGCAAACCTGGAGCAAGTGGAACCACTAGGGAGCGCGAGCCCAACTCCACTCGACTACGAGCGAACGTTACGTAACGTTGTAGATATTAGCATGAAAGATTACTATATACAGATTATATGTCGGGCTCCCGCGCGGGCGCTCGCACATTTAGACAAATTATTATTATAGTTGTTACTCGGCGCCCACGATATAGCGCGACTAGCTAGTAGCTGCGCTGTGCTAACTAGCCGAACCGAATCTAATTCTGTTCAGCCGAGCGTCTCGCCAGCTGCAGCGCCATCTTACTATATTTTACTATAATATGGCATAATAACATTCGGACATACGATAAATCGACAACGGATTATTATTAAACGTGTATTAGTAATAAATTTGCTTGTACATGAGAATTAAATATCATATATTGATGCACTGTAACCAATGCTGTTTTTAATGACACCTACATTTTTTTTTCAACATTTTCTATTTAGGTTTATTTGGGTAAATGTATATTTATAAATAAATTATTACTACACTGAGAGCTGCTGTGTCTCGAATATAATTATATAGCAAGATTTGCGGTAAGTTCTAGGCAAATAAACCGTTGTCAAATAATTTGAGTGTCTTCTTGAATAGGGCTTTGTTTATGTTTAGGAGAGGTCGCGCAATGCTTTGGTAGATGGCTCTACAATTGTAACAGTTGATGGGTGAAGCTTACTTTAGAGTCATGTTATCCTGCGTATATTATGAACGAATAAAATTTGAGCAGTTGTATTGTATAGCCATTTGACTACCCTTACCTAGTTGAATATTCACTGCCTCGATTACAAGAGAATATTAAAGCCTCATGTTGCCTTGTCTATAGTTATGCAAACTCATCATTTTCTATAGTTATAAATAATAAAAATATATTAAGAAATATGTAACACTGTTTAAATTTATAAATCTAAAAAATGAGAATCCTTTACGCATTGAAAAGAAACACTCATTAACAAAATAATTAGTTTATTAGAGATTCTGAGGTTCAACACAAGTATCAAAAAATTAAAATCTATTAGATTTACATTGCAACGTCATGCTATAATTTAAAAATATTTAATCATTCGCCGTTTCGCTATTTTTTATCTTACCACTAGGTGTGACTTTGTTATTTATAAATTGATTCCTAATCAAACATAATTGTTGTTGTGTTGAAGCACCGCATAAAGAAAAGTATATTTTTCGCAAAATTATGAAATTAGATGTCAACTCAACTTCTATTAATAATTTCTAGGAAACATTGATTCACTATGAATTTTGAAAAACATATATAATGTTTTCATAGCCTAACTACAACTATGTAGACTAAAATATTAAATTTAAACAATTTTTCTTAATTTAGCTTAAGCATTCACATATTTCTAGTCCAATAGGACAGAACAAAAATGCAACTATAGCTCATTGTGCCTTGACATGATCCTGCTCTCCAGATCAGTGTGCATCTTCTCAACTTTTCGTGTGTGCTTCTTGATGGTTTGTTGCTGCTCTGCAAAGTGATCCATCTTGTCGCCCGCAGCTGCTACCTGTAATACCGTCATAACACTTAAAAAACTATTGTGAACAGTATACAAACAGATATGTTTAAATATATGCATAGTACTTATTTTAAATTAAAACTAAATATACCTATACTTAATTTTGATTTAATATAAGAAAAATTGAATTCTAAAATCGAAAATAAATTGAAAAAATTTTCGCCTCGGGCAGGACTTGAACCGGCATCAAATATTTTCGATTTAAAAAATTATAGTGCCTTCATGTGCAATGACATGTAAAAAATATTAAAGTTTTCAAAGTTGAATCCTTCAATATCCATAACAGTAGAAAAAGCGGGAAATAAATTAAGCAAAATAACATACTGCACTAAAGCAAGGCAAATAAAATAAAATAACCTTGGAATGATGCTTGTCGTATTTGCTTACATGATCAGCATGTAGCGTTCGAAGCTTCAACAGGCGTGACTCGTAATGCTGAAGTTCCACCTACGAGCAGCCAACTTTTAGTTTTAAGAAAACTGGTCCAATATAGAAATTTCATGAGAAATAGATTTTAATGTAATATACACCTTTAAAGAAGCCAACTCGTCAACAGTGAAGTTTGCAGCAGCTGCTATCTTCCAGAGGCCCTGTACTTTTGGTTCAATAAATTCTTTATTTGTGGGGCCTGAAAAGGTGTAAAACATATAACTGTAGTATGACTCTTTGGTTATGATGTTAAATGATAACTGAATAGTCTAGTCTAAATAATTCATTTATGTTTAATATAGAAATGGAACTGTTACCTCTGGCAGCGATTCTATCAAGCCTATCAAATCCATCTCTAAGACTCCTGTGCTTTTCTCTTACTAAGTTAGCCTTATCAATGAAATCTTTGGTTAAATTCTCCCCATTGTCATTCACATAATTTATTTCATTAAATTTATCTATCTCTTCATTATTGACAGCATCTATATGAGTACAGAAAACAAATACGATTACAAAAGTAAATCCAATTACATTATTAAAAATTAGCTTATTGTAAACTGCTAAGCTAATTTTGATATGTCAAATGATTGAATTTCAATTACCCAGTAAGTACTTGCTTGTTTGGCTAGTTAGAATCTAATAAAACACCACAACAGGGTATGATTGTCTTCTCACTCACATCGGCTGAACAGCCCGAAAGACAATGATATGCTGAATGATGGCTGTGAAAGCCTTACACAGTTTATTAACACTATAGGGTAGTTTTGGAGAAATGGTGTTCTTATATAAAAAGCAAATAAAACCTTTTATCCTTACTCTTATAGCCATCAGTCTCCCCAGCCTCCATGTTAACTAGCAAATCATAGTACTGGTCTATTTTCTCTTGATGATGAGTAAATTCTTCTTTTAAAGCAGCTAGTTCTTCACTAGTAAACCCAGAAGCCTCTGCTTTTGCCCATAACATGTTTAATTTCTTATCTTTAAATAAACTTTTGTTTATGAATTTATCAGATGCATCATTGTAAACCTGCAGAAAATTTCAGGTGTTGCATCATCAGACAACCAGGAAGCCAAATATATAATTGTTTATCAGCGATTTTAACAAAGTACTAAGGTTATAGTTAATCTACCATGCTAGTAAAATAACACGCTTTTGACAGACATTTTGGTCAGGATGAATACAAAAATCATACTTTTTGGTACTAAAAGATTAATATGGAGCTATCTCCATTATCTCAGTAATAAAAATCCCTCCCACAATAGATGGTAATTACTACTGGGTCATTGTCCAGACATTTATTTATAGATATCTATTCCCTTATAAATGACTATCAATAATATTATTGGCTTTTTGACCTTTTATAAGACTTTGTCTGTCAATTAATATTGCTTTAGTTTACCGCATCTTGCTTTCTTTTTCCCATAGATTTATCTTCAAAGTGCTCCCTTAGACCATAATTATCCATAATAGTAGTTAGTTTTCTCCTTAATTCTGCTTCCTTAAAACCTTCTTTATCTCCACCTTCACTCTTTACCCTTTTATATGTTATTTCTTGTTTATCTTGAATCATCAAATCACTGTACAGTGACTTCAGCTTAGGTTCCGTTAAACGCTAAAAGATTTAAGACTGCATTAGCCTGTCTTTAATTCCATGTCTATAATAAAATATTTTTTACCTGTTGAGCTTTAGACCATAGAAGATTGATTTTATTCATCCTAAAAGGTTTTTCTAAAATTCTAAAGTTTATATCTTTTTCACCCTTAGAATTCGCCGATCGGGAGTATTTGTTTTCACCCAGAACAAAGTGCATTAACACAATTATAGTGAAAATGCCGAAACAAAATTTGAAAGCCATTGTTTTATTGTATCTAACACCAATTTTAAAAGAATATAAACGTTACCTATAATCTAAACTTTTAGTATTTTTAAATAGAAAAAGAATATTACACAAAGTTTACGGATATATTGTTTATTTCCCGTTATTTTATTACTTTTCGATATTATTAGATATGACAACGACCGCCGAGTGCCGACCATCGACATCACTGAGATTGACAAGTTTTTTTTAAATATTTAATGGCCTGGTAACGAGACTTTTAAGCCAAGTCTTATTTTTCACGTCACGCTTTTCTTCTTATGGCGTCTCTACACGTTAGCCAACATATAGGCGAATATATTAGCCAATACGTGTTGGGCATTGTGTAGAACGGGTGTTGGTGATCTATTTGGTAGGTATTGGACTATTGGCGCAAGATCCGTGTGGTGTCGGTTTTTCTACGCAGATCAAAGGGTTATGACGGGATTGTGGCACAGTGATGGCCATAGCGTCCACACGTAGGCGACACGTTCAGTTTGCAGCGAGCGCCCATTCTGTGCGGACGAATTTTTTTATGAGGATTTATTGATATCGAATACGATTATGGCAAGAATGAGTAATGAAGAAACTTCGCTTCATAGAGCTCTATCAAGCTGAAAACTGTCTATGGAATCCGAAAAATAAAGATCATAAAAATAAAAACAACAAGACATTCTACTTATTTTTTATTTACTCTATTAAGTATAAATACACAGTAGAGTCAAACAAGGATCTTTTGTCACTTGGATGACATTGACATGAGGGCGTGGGTGTGAAATTAACAATAAACATATTATCCTTTTTTCGTCCGCACATTGGCCCGAACCGAAACAAACTGATTGACCGTCCAACGTGTGGACGACATCACGATCTCTCGGCCATAATCTTTACCAGTGTTCGCCAATATCTTCGCCAACGTGTAAAGCCGCCATTATACAGACCCTATATAGTCCATTTATTCTTACGAGACATTTTTGGTAAAAGAACACACGATGTTCATGAAATCGTGATTTTCTCACACTAAAAACACTAAGACACTGGATTATATGTTGAACTAAAGAACTACCTCAAATTCACATAGTAAAAACCACAATCTCATGCTAAAATTAATGAAAAACTTAATTTACGAAAATACACAGATTAAAAATTCCTTAGTTTGACATTTACGTCAGGACGCGACGTAAGCAAAGTCAACGACTATAGAAGAGAGAAATCAACTCGCGATCGCGATTACGATTGCGCATTGAACCGTAACTTTGATTAAAACAAAAATAAAGTATTATTAATTGTTTATTGAGACATAATACAATGAAATAAGTACAAATTTAATTGATTTCCTCATTACCTGATTCCTTGGAGACGTGGATAATAAATTGAAGGTCGTCGGATGCTTTAGAAGCAGTCCAAAATAAATTCTTGTGGAATCTTAATCATCGAATGAAGGGCGTCAATACTCACTACAATATCTCTCACTAAGGATTATATTTATAATCTACATTATTTAAGTCAAAGGCTTAATTGTGTTGCCTTAAGAAAATATGTGGTAGTTGGGTAGTGGTAACTACCCATAGCATCATCATATAGTGACCATTCACAGAATGGAGCCAACTAGGGACTTACTTATAAAACTTACATCTATTGCTGAGGGGTTATGTCTAGAATAATTACTATGGTAACGCTGCCATCGTTTAAAATGCATAAACCACAATTATCAATAATGTCATATAAGGTTTGACCTCGACTTTTAGTAGATAAACATCCAAAGGCAATGTGGTGTGCATAAAAATCACCACTTATAAAATCTGGTTTTGGCAAATCTCTTAAAATATTATGCAATCTATACATTCTTATGTTTCTATTAGAAGGAGTACAGTATACACAAAAAAATGACAAAGAAGTATTACCGGTACATACACATACAGCTATTGTTTGTATATCTTCTAAAAACACATTATATAGAATACTATGCTTTATATTTGTTTTAATTAATATTCCAACACCATTACCAGGGTTTTTAAATTGTTTATTGTAAAAGTAACCTGAAATTTAAAGACTGATTGTCTTTTAACCACGTCTCATTTAGTAAACAAATATCAATATCATTTTCATTTAAAAAATTAGTAAGTAAAGGATGTTGTGGTTCGCCCCTTGAACAATAAATTGCGCAAGGCGCAAAGAGGGTGACATGACAGATTGATTCTTTATTAACTTGGCAAATTTTTAATAAGATAAAGAGAGAATATCTTTGATAAAGGTTGTTGTTATAGGAGTGTCATCTGTTTTATTCCCAATTTGAACAAGTGTATGGCCATAAGTACTTCACTGTTCTCAATTATTTGAGACTTAATGTTACTAGCCTGTGAAAGTGGCTTACTTAATATAGATTTATTTACATTTTTTGGTACTGTATTATTTACATTAATAGTATTATCATTTTTATTTACAGGTGTGGAGCATACTGGCAGAGGGGGAAAATCAATATTTAATTTAGAATTGGCAACACTTGCATATGTAATTTTATTTTTCTTATGCGCAATTTTTTCCATTCCCTATAAAAATGTTCTTTGGAACAAATAGAGCACCGCTGTTTGCCATTACAAATCTTTGTATAATGGTTGAATTTAAAGCATTTGTTACATTCTTGGAGAGGGGGACATAATCAAAAACTTTGTATGAAAAGAAATCATACTCCACACATTCTGGTAAAAACTTAGAAAGAAATGTGATGCTAACAGTTTGTGTTGCTATCAATTCATGACCAACATCTTTTTATGAATCTCCTGACTGCTATTATTTCAAATGTAGATGTTAAGTAAATTGACATCTACATTTGAACTCTTTGTTTGATATGGTTGCAGGTACAAATCTTATAATACCTGTTTTTTTTTATTTGGGCTGCTGGTATGTATGCTTTCAAGTCCTGGCTTTCAAGGAAGCTGTTATTATTGTGGTGGGCGGGCTATCCACGCCCTCCTCCATTTTTACTGATAACACTCTATAGGAATAATGTATTTATGCTATTTCAAACAAAGAAATACTAAAACATTAAATTAATTTGTGCTAATGAAAAATAGTCGGCCGCCCTTTTTGCAAATTCCCCAAACGACAAGACAAGTCGACATATCCAGAGACAGAGAGAATTATTTAATAGTTAACAGTTAACACAGAGGTTTGCTGCAAATATTGCATATACCACAGAGTACAATTTTACACTGAATTATACTGCCAAATAAATTGCGAGTATAAATCGTTTTGTCAAAACTTTGACACAACAGCAAAGTTTGACAGTGACAAACTAACATCTGTGAATACAGTAGGCTGCTGCTTGTTGGTTGGTGGTACTTCGCTAGAGAAATACGTGAAATAATCACTTTGCATACCTATCGTCTTTAATGTTAGTTTTTGTGTTGATGGTGTGTAAACTGAAATCCGTACGTGTAATTTATGTTACAATGCACGAATTCCGCACCTGCAATTGTCGATAATGACCTCAACTTCGTGTTTTCCTTGTTCTCTATAACCAAAACTAAAAAGAATTTTCAAGATAGTAAAAGTCGATTGGCAATCGTTTCATGCGAGCTATTATGTTCGTGAGTGAGCACAACTCAAAGAAACATTAATGTACAGCATCTGAGTTCGTGACTGTATACGATCGTCTAAATATCGGTACTTTCTCTCCGATGCGTTGAGAGTGGGTTGTTACTTAACACAGTTGTGTAAAGGGGGCAAGCGAGTTCGAATCACTTCTAATGATAATTCACAAACAGTGTATAAGAATTATTTAGTGTAAGTGTAATGTGTAAAAGTTCGTGATGGTGGAACGCGAAGCTATGCGCCGTGGTGCGGGATGTGGATGGGGAAGCGGGGTTTTTGGGAGATGGTCCTTACGTCGTCTTCTGCTGGACAGCCCTTTGGTGGGTCGGAGATTAGCCCACTCAGGTAATTTATTTTTTGTATTTCACAGCTATTGCTTTAAAAGCTTTTGTTTTATAAACTAAAGGTGCCATATACATTATAAATCAGAAGGTTTTAATTTCCTCTCTAATACTACCCTCATATTGTGAATTCATGTTATTTTTAGGTTTAAAGAGTTAAATAAACCTTTTAAATTAATATTGCTCAAATATCAATAATGGTAATCAGATTTGCATTAATTACTAGAAAAAATTTTAAGAAGTGGGCCAAGTTACATTAATTATTTATTTATTAAATTTGAATTAGGTATACACCATATTTTAAAGTTAATAGAATCTCATATCATAGTATATAATTAACCAACCAATTATATTTTTATCTTTGTGGATAAACAATTTTTCATGTCGTCAGCTACCTACTAAGTACTATTTGACTTTCAATAGGTCTACTTAAAATGTAACATTGAAATAATAGTTTCAATCAAATGGGTCATTGTTGCTCAGGTCATTCCATGCTGTTGTGACCTTTATTTGCTAAACAACACTGTCATTGCCAGTTATTAATTGTTTTAAAGGTTAAAGTAAAACCAGAGGCAAAGCCACTTCAAAAACATGAGAGTGACCAGTTAAATAAGACATGTGGAAATAAAGAAAAAAAGGTACATATTAGAAAACAATTATATTTTTTTGTTAAGTAAGTACTAAGTAGATAAAAATGGATAATTTTGAACTACTTATAAGTTACACGCTAAACATTTTGTCAAAATCATGTCTTAACTTTAAGATCTCCTACAAAAATCCATGATTATAATAGCTGCCTCGCTGAAACCTTAACCCACTTTAACATAGTGCTAAGTCAAGGCACATTAAATATATCTGCATAATTAGAGGATATACTGTTAGGAAGAAGTAATGTGTAAGTAATTCCTAGAATCAGATATCCCAAGTTTCATAAATTAGGTAAATGTATTAAAGTGCAAAACTTGCATTTATCTAACAATATCACTCCGTAATTCTACTACTCTCTAGTTGTCTGTTTAACTAATATATATCGCGTTTTAAACCGTTAAAATGTTTTATTTTAATGTGTACTGCTCGCGTAAACTACAGTCAGTATATAGATATTATTAACAAATTAAACACTTTCTTAAATTCAAGTACTTAAAGGTTTGCATCATAAAGTATGTAGTTATAACATATGACATATATATTGTGTAATCAACTAGTCAAGAAGGTATTTAATTCAATATAATATGAAGTATTTAGATACATGTTATGTATAATATTTATGTAGGTATAAGAAATATTCTAGAATGGCATTGAACATTTGTTTAAACATTTTAAAAGATTCTATGTCTCATAAACTTTACAGATTCGTTATTAAAGGTTATTATATTGTCTAGTGCGAAATATTAGAAATTCAAATTCCAAATATATATATATATATATATATATATATATATGGCATCTTTGTATATGTTTTATTATAAAATTTTTTGATTTAAATTACAAAATATATAATAATAATATTTTACATTTCCTTTGTATGTGACAAACCATCTAATAGGTCACAGAGTAATTCTATTAAAAATTAATCAAACCAAGTAGAAGTATATAGTTATAAATTTCATTTTAATCAATGTATGTCTTCTTATATAACATCGCAACTCTATAGTTAATGACTAAAAATGGATTTACTATGAATAAATACATATAAATTTGCAAAATATATCAAGGCGGCAATTTAAATGATTACTTTATTTAAAGTTTACAACTTCTTGGTTCCTGCTTACGCAATTCCATTTTTTTTTTATTTATATTTATATATGTAAGAGACAATCAAGATATGTGATGTTTAGTAGTGTTATGATAAAAAATATACATATATATTTACTATCTGCTGTATACTAAACACATGACGTCGATGTAATTATCGCCCTCCCCCAGAATTACGGTAAATAGACAACTGTTACCGTAACTATTCAGCTCGTAATATCATTAATATGCCCGTTAACCGTAAACTGTAAATGTTCGTAGCGTACCGTCTTGCAGAATTTGGTACATACGTTCGCCCGTAGCGTCGTCTCCGCCAAAAATTGAGTTTTCCAAACTTTTTATTTCTATGATTAATACATATCTAAAGAAAAATATTTTTAACAAAGAAAGCCGACGTCAAATAGAAAAAAAAAACTTGGCATAGAGTAACACATATTAGGTTGCCTGGAAGATATTGCTAGTTAGCGATAAGGCCCCCCGTTGCATTCCATTCTAGTATATAAGTTTTATCTATAGGTATCATTATTACATTTAGGTGCAATAAAGAATAAATAAACAAAACAATATTTCTACTGTATTCTTGCGGTACCTTATGATGATATTCTATGAGTCAAAACCACTCGAATACTCTTTTATATTCTTTGTAAGGTTATTTTTCTTGTTAAGTAAGGAATCTTTGTTTTTGTTGTTATTGTATATTTATACACGTTTATTTAAGTATGTATAGATTGTCTAGGTGATGTAATAAGTTATACGTTAAATGCAAAATGTGAATTGTTATAATAGTGATTTTTGTAATAAATGTGTAAAATTAACTGCGAATATTATTTTTTCTAAGATCATAACTGTTTTGCATGTTAACGTTTAACCTCAACAGAAAAACGATTCTCCTTGAAGTAAATTATTTTTCACAAGTATGAAAGTAGTGATCGTTTTATTACCGCAACGGCTAACATGTAAAATTACGAGGTAATATTATTTGCACCTAAATGCTTGCTATTTGGCACACAGCGTCAAATACTGTTGATAATAGTGTTATAAAACCTTTAGTGTAATAGATGATCTATTTAAATACATATAATAGATGCGTTACATGTCTTCATTCGATGTGCTGACACATTAGGTTTGTTTATCTAATAATTTTTCAGTATTACTAAAATCAGAAAAAGTTTGGTAATAACTACAAAAAAGGTACTAAGTAAATAAGAATTGAAGTATTGTCTGTAACCGTTAATTGTGTTTTATTTAAAAACCGTCGTAAATTCTCCACGACACTTTTTTATGATAGAGGAGGGCAGAAAAACTTGGAGTTGGTTCGTGATCATCGTCCACAGATAATAAAGCTTAATCGCGTTTCGGTTTCAGTCTTTGGATTTTTGAATATCCAAAGCCATCCAGATCCAAAATAGGTCGATAGCGCATCTTGTTTAGATGCTATAGGTAGCAGTATATCTCCTACCATCAAGTAAACCCCGTGCCATGTCTGTCCTCCTGTATCATTAAAAAAAAAGAAAAAATATGTTCGCGTTTATTGGGGCCGCAACTGCAGTGACAAAGCGCGTGTAAATTAATATTTCTCGAATAACGTATAAGTTCATAATATACGTGTACTAAAAACCTACTTTACTAGATGGTCATCGCCCATCACCAAAGAACATATTTTCTATTTGTTCTATCTAATGGCACATAATTTTCGCTTACAATCGAGGTGGTATTAGATGTGTTTCACGTGCGAAGTCGTATGTGCGTACAATGAATATGTAATGAGAGTCAATCAACAACTTTCGTTTATAACAAGCGCGGAATAATAAGCGGAGACAAAACGCGATTCAATTGTTTTTACATTGATTTTTCTGCTTCGAATGTTCAATGAATCCTCAGCACCATAGGCAAGACAAATTCGTTTCATCGTGTTGTCTACTCTCATGGGCCTCGACCAACCACGCGTGCTTTATTAACTATTGCCATTAAATTCGTGAAGTTAAGAGGGACCGATGGCTGAGCGTACTTCTCGAAGGTCCGGTTATGGCACTTGGCACCCTCCACTTCCAAAATCCGGGCTAGCACCACAGATTAAACATTTCGATAATTTTTATACATAAAATGTATGTAAGTCTTCTATAGTCTGTTTTTTCCAATACATAAAACTTTTTATATAAGTTTGAGTCTGTGAACATGCTCTTTGTTGAGGATGTCCGCTAGAGCTCATGTCTCCGCGACAGTCAGACCGTAAAGGTCATCAAACCTACCCGTTTTGTTAAAAAATCTATTTGATGTTTTTAAAACTATACCCTTTATATAACATATATAGTATAGATGTACAGCGTTTTTTCGTCCCATTAGTAAATTTTACCTTTTCAGGTTTCTTATATGTATCCTAACCCATTTGTCGTCTGGTATCAACACCGCGTATCTTGTCGTATATTGCTTCTTTATTATTGTATATTACCTATTACTTATATATTTTTATACATTCACCAGATTTAAAATGTATTGCGTGGTTATATGTATAAATATGCAGATGTCGTTATCAGGTTGACAAAACCTGTATTTCAATTTACATAAAGAACTAGTTTGTTTTTGTGAGCTACAGAAAAATGAAAGAGTTGAATATATTGCACTGTGCAAAATAAATTGAAAAAAATTTCGGCTCGGCCAGGCCTTGAACCGGCATCGTCAGCGTTCCGTGTTGTGTCTCTACCAATTGAGCTACGAAGTCAAAAAAAAAAAATATTTACGATTTTTAAATTATATAGTGCCTTCACGTGCAATAACATGTAAAAAATAATAAAGTTTTCAATAGTTGAACATTTTTCGCATCACACTTAGAACACGAATCAGCTTTTGACATTCGTGATTGAAGTAAGAAATTTAAAACCTCATAAAAATAGATTCTTTTAAAGAACACTGTTTTTCAAAGTGCAGTTTATTAATGATTTGTAAGCATTATTATGTCCCCAAATACGTTAGAAGCTTATTTAATTTTATTTCAAAACTTTTAGTTATTTGATAATAAGATAATCAGTTGAAATAAATATGATTTTATCAAGCATTATTAGTTTTCAAATATCACACACAAAGCACATGATAACTTAATGATTTAAAATTATTTTAGATTAAAAATAATACAGAAGTGTTCTTGACTTCGAGTCCCGCCTGTGTCATATTATTTTTTGAATAACATATAAATATTAAAGGCCTTTCAATTATGATACATACGCGATTTACAATGAGTAATATATGGGTTAT